GCTAAGCAAAATGCGACTTCAGTCTAATCAAATTAACACTACATCATTTTGTAGCATTTTGCTGTAATTTTATTGTTCAAAAGAGCTATCAAACAGTTTCAGATCAAAGATCAAGATCAAAAAGCCTTGTTCTTGACGTTTCGTTCGAAATCAAAAAGAAAAGATGGTATTGCAGTAACTTCATGAAGTTTTTTTTTTGTTTTGTTGTCATTATCTTGGTGATTTTCAGCCATTACTTTTGTTACAAAAAAGTAGATTTTACACTTTTTTCCAATTGTTTTTTTTGCCTATTTCTCTCTCTCTTCCTTCAACGATAAATCTCGTGTTCTAAACTAATACTTTCAGATGTAAATTTTCAATTTGTAAATATGAAAATACGCAAGTCACAGTCGTCTTCGCAATCCGCTTTCTAACCTTTAGACCTTCAGTGTAGTATTCGCCATTTATTCTCCTTTACTTCTCCACTTTATCTTCCTGTTTCCGTAGAATCGGGTGTTTTGCTGTTTTTGCTATCCAGGTTTTTATTCTTCATTCGATTAAAAGTCCGATGGGAAGATTTATTTTTATGATTTGTGTCCTCTTTCATCATCTTGTTATGGCGGGAATTCGTGCAAACCGAGGGATTAAATAACGTTAAGTCTCTTAGTAATTTCAACAACAACTTGTCATTTTCCACAGTTTGGCTCCTTCTCATTTTCTCCAGCACAAATCGCATCAGTTATAGCTCCAATGTGAATTCCTTTTTATCCGAAATTGTTAATTGCAATTGCACACCATAGAAGGATTAACAGTGGCGGCGCGTGGTCATTTTGACAACCGGGGCAAGCTACTGCGAGACCAAGTCACCCCCATCTACGGGGACAGGATGAGCGCTGTAAGTTCTTCCATCATTTTATGAGTATAACAAACATTCCATCGGTAACAACCAATCGGCAAAAGCGACAATTTTTAACGATAAGAAAGTGTCTTTAAAACCGGTCCAAGTCAAAGGATTAATAAATATAGACATAGTTTATTTTGAAACCTCTTTCAAAAGGAAAGGCAATATTTACCCAGATAAATACAATGTCATATTAACAGAAACTTCGGGAAAGCAGACAAAACCTAAAATAGGGTTTAAAACGTTACTATGAAGAAAGGAAAGATAATGCAAAGATAAGGACATGCGTCGCTCACTCATAGATATATATGCTGCTAGACTTCTACTGCTTGAACATATATGCAACACGCCGCGGTTTCTTGGAAGCAAAATGCTCAATAACGCGCTGATTAAAGTCATGCATCCCAGAAATAACGTCTTTGTGAATGGATAAAACAGCCAAGGAATTTAATCTACCTTGCTTCATTGTGTTTCTGAGATACGTTTTAATACGCTTCAGCGTGCTGAATGTTTGCTTTGCGTCGGCGGAAGAAATAGGCGTCGTCAAAATGATGTCCAGAAATTTTGCAGACGCCGCAAAGGTAGTTACTAGAGTGTTATCTATGAGGAACCCATATAGCGCGCAAGTTGATGTGATGTTCAAAAAAGTTTGATTGGTGTATATACATCGCAATTCATTTTCCAATTTACCCACGTTTATCATGGGGTAAAATTTGGAGACAGTAGCCAACAAATGGATGGGAAATTGACGTGCAAATTTTGAAAAATTTTTGGGGTTCATCAAAGAGAACGCGGCAAGGTGTTCAGACGATCGCCTATTTGATTCACCAGTATGTCACAGCATTCCTTTGCAGACAGAATCAAACGCTGCGTTGTTTGCCCCCGGCGTAAAGAAGCACTCCATGTGTCGTCGTATTTTATTGTTTCCCGAATACGAGATAAAGCATCTGAGTAGTCTGAAATACACGACTGCACAGACGCTCCATCCATTAGCCTTGATTGCAATGCGCCGTATAATACATCCACGTGATAGAATATTATGGAGAAAAAAGCGAGAAAAAATGAAAACTCACCATCTTCTAGCAGACGCTTTAGACCTGCCGCCTCCCTCACAGAGCGTTCGTCCCAAACCGGAGAGCTCTGAATGCCATTGAAACACTCAATGAGCTCAGACCTAATTTCGGACACGCCCTGCACCACGCGTGATTGGAAGTTCCAACGTGTTGGTGCACAAGCTGGGAGACGGCGGCTACATATCTGGCGAAGAAGGTCAGAGCGCTTCGGCGAAACGGAAAAAAATGAAGAAAACCCCGAAACATTTGCAAAAAATATACGGACGAGAGGGGTATCAAGACACATATTTTTAATAACGAGGTTGAATTGGTGTGCATAACAATGTAAAAAATGCGCATGAGGAAAATCTTTTTTATATAAACTTGAACACCATGTTTCGACCCACTCATGACTGCCGCGCCGACATAAGTTTGAGCTATCAATTTTGACTTCGCGTTGTAAGGCTGTAACACTTCTTTCAGTACAGCCGATATCCAGCAAGCCGTGCGATCAACGATTGGTACGAAGCTGTGAAATCTCTCGGTAGGTTTACCATCTTTCACAAACCTAAAAATCACAGCCAGTTGGAAAACGCACGTGATGTCAGTTGTCTCGTCAGACTAAATCGAAAGGAACTGGCAATTCTCAATTTCCAGAGCCAAATGTTGTAAATAAATTTTATACATTGAGTCGAGCAAATCATTTTGGATATCCTTAGATGTCCCTTTCGAAACAGTTGCGGCATCAAGATGATCTCTCAATACTGTATCTAGGGATGCGGTGTATTCCACCATATCCAAAAATACCCCTCTATTAGAAGAGCCAGCCCGTTCATCGTGCCCACGGAGGGACAGCTCGTGACAACAAATGAACTTCAAAACATCTATCAATAGACCGAGAACATGGCGGTTTTTCTCGACGTTTTGGTTGTGCCGACGAATAGAAACCGCGCGTCCTTCATCCAACTGTGCTGCAATATTAACATTTTCGAATGTTCGGTATTTTACTGCATTGTCCAGATGCTCCATAGAAGATTGATGATCCCTGGCACGCTCGGAAAGATGTTTAAGATCTCTAAAACCAAATTTACACCAACGTGAGTCACGGGCGGAAGCAAAAAGTAGGCAATAAAAACAAAAAAGTGCATTTTTGTCCTCGTTGTAACACAACCAATCGTGTTTTTTATACCAAGTTTCTGCGCAGAATGTACGCCGACGCTTTCCTCCGTCACGGGATTGTTCCAGTGAACAATTTTTTGGTTGATAAGGCCCAAGACGTTGTACCTCTAATTTTTGTTCCAGCGGCAGCTGCGAAAACGGAGTGCGAAGTAGTGCATCAACCTTATTCATTATGAGGTCTGAGGCTAAGAAATGCGAAGCCGGAAAGAAGTGAGGAGCTCAAAAGGAATGTGGAAAATCGAACGCAAATGGACTAAAGGTCTCTAACTGATTCAAATAGCGAAACAAGCGATGAAAATGAAGGCGAGGAAACTATCAACTCTTCAAGCAACCAACGAACGAGAAGGAATGCGTGTATACGTCAACACGTTGTTGTAAGAAACGTCGGCATTGTGTCGTCATAATTTCGGGGCTAGCCCCGATGATTTAGTAAAAGAAACAGAAAACAAACGAGACAAACGCGGCGAGTGGAAGATAAAAGAGAGAATACAATAAGCAACCGGGGCAAAATCGGCGTCGCCCCGTCGACGTTCGGCGAAGGCTTTGCGAGCGAAAAATGAACCATGTCGGGAGAATATGGCTAGTGTAGACAGTCTGTGCAACCGATATTGAGGTATTTTTCGAATATTTTTTATTATACCGAAAAAACAACCGGGGCATTGCCCCGGTTGGCCCTATTGACGCGCCGCCACTGGAAGGATACCCATCATTTTCTTCTAGCTCAAAATGCAAATCTGCTGAGGTCGTACTTACGGTTCAATCTGATGATGTCAACAACGGTATCCACGTCCATTCTCGAAAAAGGCTGTTATCGTAAACTTTTGGGGCCAATAATTTAGAATTACAGTATTACAAAAACAAATAATATATATATATCCGTTGTAGGACTGAATTGCATTAAATGCATGGTTATATTCCAATGGTACCTAACTCTTTATTCATCATGGAACTCTCGCACAACATGCGCAAAACTTCTCCTTCCGCACATGATCCCAAAATGCAATTGCCAAAGCTCTTGCCAAAATTTGTAAAGTGTCTATAAAATTTCTATTTTTTTTTCAAATCCAAAAAAAATTCCATTGTCCACGGCACAATGTTCTTTTTGATATGACAGCAAGTACCAAACGTCGTTTTTTATTTGATGCAGACGTAGGAGAACCTCGATAGTTAGTGGATTCCATTGATATACGACTAAGAACCATTGGCATATTCACACAAATGACAGCTTCATGATGAATAAAAAAGGAAAACTACCAATAATTTGAATCAGAGACCGAGATATAAGTTGAAATAGCATTTCGGCTGAGAGAGATGAGATTCAAATGGAGAATGACAAATAACTTTGCCTTTTACAATTGATAATATAAAATTATCCAAAAATTGAAATTATCTGAATATTTTCCAGAAAATCGGAAGCGATAAACTTTACACGAAAACATGCTGCGGTAGAGCAATTTAAAATTATTTTACTTTATTTTTACATATTTATATAAGTTACAAACTATGTATATTCTTTCCCTAGAGTTTACACTTTACAGCAATTACATTTTTTAATTACTGAACTAGGAAATCCACTACAGGCCAAGTCGGGAACTCGTGGAAGACATATAAGGTCTATAAGATCCAATGAAGCGAATCATTAAATAGCATTCATTATACATAAAGCAAGAAAATTTTGACATATAAAATCAAAATAGTAATCAAGCTCTGAATCGAACTTGTGTTTTCCGACTTTATTCTCAATCCCGTACATCTTGGCCAATTATGACGTGTTGTGTAAAGCTGGAGATACAATGATGTTGCCCCAACACGAAACTTAAAATGACTCTGTTATCTTAGTAGCATTATGTGTCGCATGTTCCATAAATAAACTGAATCACACTGTTTATCGCTAAGTCTATCTACTTTTTTCTAGACAAACAATGAATATTCTCTATTATCACCCACCTTCTGGGTTTATTGAAGTCGCCGGGGAAGAGGTTCTGTTTTTCTTCACTTGCGTGCTTGCTTCCATGACACCTCCGCGTTTTACTCCAGCATTTGCCGGAACAGGTTGCGCGCTTACTGCTCCTTCCAGTGGTGGTAATGTTGGTTGAGGACTTGCTGACGCTTCTTCACTGTCTTCGACTTGCAGCAAATCTTGTATGATTTCTTCAATGTTTGCGTAACCGCCTTGGTTTGATTTTCTAAACAAAGTTTTCCAGTTAGTTTGCTGATATTTTTCGTAGTTTTCGGTTAGAATTTGGGACATTTTGCTGATGTAATTGGCCAAACAAAGATCCTCAAATAGGGTTTGTAAAGAATAGTTGGGTAGTTTAATTTCCCTCCTCAATTCCAGAAATGGGAAATATGTATCCCTCCTCTAAACTGCGGAATTTTACGCATACTTGTGGTATATTAACAAAAAAAAATTCCGGATAGTATTACATTTTACTCGAAACTGAGATTTCTAGAATAGTGACCACCGGCTTACCTTCTAATTAAGCGCTCAATTTTTTCTTTCAAAAACCCCATACTGATAAGCTCATCAACCTTGATGTTGCTACTGTTTGAGTTTGGATTTCGAGTGTCCATAGGTTGAGGAGAAGTCGAGTGTCGTATTTCTGGAGGAATATCGTAAGATGCGGGATTACGAATATGAGGTCTGTTCAAGTTTGGATGTTGATCGGCAATTTGTCGGACAAATTCAGTTCCTTTTTGTCTGATAACAAACTCGCACCTGGCACAAATATAAAAAGAAAAATAAGTAATGCCTACTATGATATAGAATTGTGTTCATAAACACAGATTCTCCAATAAAATTAAATTAATAAGGGGATGGGGTGGTTGTACTACATGCTTTTGTAGGCTAAACTAACCTAACATTTAATAATTAATTTCTACTTTCGAAGAAGGATGAAAATTGAATTAGGATGAACTGAGGGTAAGTGGTTAAAACATGTTTAACACCCTGGAAGAGTTTTTTGACCTTTGAACTTTTCAGGAAGAGGTTCAGGAAACTTATTGCAGTAACACAAACTATACAAACGTCTTACCCTGGAAACCACTTTGCATGCTCAGTCCACGGCTCATCATTTGCATCCCAATTTTGCAATCCTCCATTACAATAAAAACACTTCGTCTTATCGCTTTCACCTGAACAAAAAAAAATGTCTTAAATTTCATATTTTTGATTGAGTGGGAAGTAACCACAAACAATTTGAATTTAATATAATGATAAGCAAAATAACTCATCATTAAGTTATAGGGCATGAAGCTGACTTAATAAAAATCGTCTAGAAAATTGTTTTTGTCGATGTTGTTATGGCAAACTTGCACTCAAATTTGCATAACTTCTTCATTAAACAAACCATTTTTTTTAAATGTTCCGTACAGTGGTTCTCAATCTTTTTCCTTTCGTAGCCCATTTTTGTTTAACGAAAAATGTCACGTTAATAATTAGAATGAGACATACCACTCAGTAACAGAAAACAGCACTGTCATTCATTGCTGCTACAATCAAAATCAACTATTGTGACGACACAAATAAAACTAGCAATTTGTCTGTGGCCCACCTCAAAATGTTTTTGTGGCTCAGCAATTTAGTAGCTAAGATGATAAAAAATATCTTACGAGCCCATTGTTTTAAATTCTGTAAGGTACTTCCTGTGCCCTCGGGGCAATTTTAAGTTGTACTATTGTGCATTTCGCCCTGATATGCTCACGCATTAGAATAGACCATCTCTGCCTTGTTTAAGGAAACAAAATAATGTGTGTACCCAGAAAAAAGAATCCAGCTTTTGCAATTTGGCTTGGAGTGGCGAGAATTCTGTTCGGCCAGTTTCGTTGAAAACTTTCAATTCTATTTTGCAAGGTTCGCATATGTGGATTGACTGGCGCACGACATGGAAACAATTCCGCAAGACGGCGCTGCTCCTCTGGAGATGGATCTTGAGGTTCTTGTGGACTTCCAGATGGAAGAAGATTTGCCAATCTTGCCCGTTCGGTTTCATCAGCTTCCCTTCTTTCATTTTCTTCCATTGGAATATTTCCAGAAGTTACTTTTCGTACCATCCTAGTAATAACAAAAAAGGATTTAAAATATGTCCTTAAACACTAAACGATGCGACAGGGGTATTCAAAGCTAAAAAGTAAGCCTTACTTTTTCGCTATGATAGTTGGGAATGGTCCACCCAACCATCATATTTTAGAAATTTTGAATTGCCAGAACTTTTTTTACAAACACTTTGAAATGTTAGATTGAATCATTTAGAAAAAATACCAGCCCATTAACTTCCAAGATTTTTCTTTTGTTTCTGAAGGTTCTTAAATCACTGTTGCTGCTTTCCAACTCATTAAGACCTCAATCCATAAATGATTTGACAATATCTTTGCTGCATCGTTAAATTTATTAATGTGCTTTGTGCATGTGATGATCGAGACCAAAATCCCAACGAATTGAAAAAAGCAGACATTTGTGCTACTTTTCATGTGAACTAGCACAGCGGAAAAGTTTGCAACACTTCTTTGCTTTTATAGAAGCAATGGTTCAACTTGAGAATGATTGCGGTACAAATAATTGCCAAGCAGACTAATTATGTTGCACCTGAAATTGAATGATCATATCATGATATCAATCACAAAATTCAATCAGTTTGAATTTGAAGCAGAGGGTCAAATTGTCAAAAAAATTTCTCTTTTATTTGACTGTTTTTTTGGCAATTTTTGCGGCAGTATTGTTTGAATAATTTCAAGTCTCTTGCAACACGTTATCTACTGATATCTGCTTATCTCATCTGCGCACGGCGTCCAATGCAGTTCTTGCATGCGATGCAATTGGTAGCAAAATTTACTTTAATTTATTTCTAAGATTAAAATCAAAGGATCTGATTTTACATTTGATTTGTAATAGTAGTATTACTTGGAAATTAGGAACAGATAAAATTTTTCGGATTAGATTGTCGGGTTGACTTCTATCGATTAGATATACAGTATAAATCGATAACAAAAAACGTGCCATTTGTTTATTTTTCATATTTAGAAAATTACACAGATTTAGGCAATTACAATTTTTTTTTAACTCGTTTTCACAAAAAGTTTAAATAGCGATGTTGTCAACTTGTTAACATGTTAAAGCGGATTGCGGGAATATAAGCATAGTCCAAATCAATGTCAAAAACACGTTGTCAAAGTATAGCCAGATATTTTTGGAACGTTATTCCAGCTCATAAGCTTTTTTAAAGGAATTTTCGTGCATATAGCAATGGAAGACATAGAATTTCATACTACATGCGCATGCATCTCAAAATGAAAGTTCTAAATGTCAATTATCGGTACTCCCGAAGTATGTGTACTAAGTTAGGGTTAGTCCATAATTTCATTCCGATTTTCCTTGTTTTATTTATTCTTTTATGTTACGAGCTCGGGGACTGTCAGTATTAGCCAAGTGAATATCCCCTTTGTCCATTTGTGTTTCAGTCCATTCACAAAAACTGATGTAAAATAGGCGAACATAATTAGATACCTCCATATTAGTGCTCATACTTCAAGAGCGCCCAATTATTTTTTATTGACTTGTCCATGATACAAATCTTACCTGCATTCTGGGAAATGCTTTCTATGCTGTTCAAATACATTGTCAGTATGTGTCCAATTACGCAAGACACCTGAGCAGGAGAAACACTGGGTGCGATCCAAGTTTCCCAAATAGAAAAATCCTTCCTTTGCTAACTCGCTTGGTAAATATGGCGCAGGATATGACGGCCATTTTGTAAATGTTGATCTGAACAAAATGAATTGATTAGATCGTTATATCCTAGATCTGTTTAAAATTGTATAATATTTTATGGTATCTCTCTGATTATAAAACAAGAGAGCAAGGCTTAAAATGTATAGACGCGAACGATCAATGAACAAGTTAGTGACGGGGCTGTAGTCTAGCATGACGTAATGACAAAAAAGTCAAACGCCAAAACATTGTTTTCATTGGAAAAAGAAACATTTCGGTCGAATTATGGCGTCCCACAGGACTCCATCCTCTGTTAGTAGTAGGCCTACTGAAAATGTAAAATCGATTGATCAATGAGCAATTTTTTACAACAATAGCCCTTACAACACCAATTAGCAAAACAATATATAGGTCCACTTTTTCTATGTTTTCCAAATGGCAGTAATTCTATTTTCAAATTTGCTCCAATCATTTAAAATTTAACAAGTTCATTCACTTATACTTCTATTATAAATTCCCACTTTCTATTTATCAAATTACGGAAACAGCGCCATAATAATATCATTTGTTATTCGATAAATCAGTTAATGCTGCAGACATTATTACAGAATATTAAACGTGTTTCATGATTCAAGCTACAATTGGTAACGGTATTCCTCGAATACGTATTTGATATATTGTGAAAAAAATAGTTCCGTTAGATGGCGCATGTGTGTCGGAATTGTGATTTATTTTTTCATCCGCGAGACACTGATAGAGAGCACGTTTTTTTGTAGATTTTTACTTGACCTAAGCACTGGGTTGTAATATATTTATGTCGTTCCAAATTCGAGGTATTACTGCTCTATTCCGTAAATTTGCCTGTTCGTTGTAGAGTGTTACAATACGCAATTGAATGTTTGAAATAAAATACCTTCTGTCAACTTCTTTTTTCAAATTAATTCTTAATAACATGTCACGATGTTCCGTAGATACTATATTTGCAAATTCCAGTTGCTGTATGACAATATAGTCAAAGTTAAAATAAAAACAATAGAATCTAATTGCTCAGGTTATGGATATTTATAAATAAAGAAATAATAAGAAAATAGTGTGGTGTCAAAATTGTAAAAACTGTAAAACTAGCAAAAACGTTTTGGGATCGACATTAATGCTTTTTCAGAAGAGATAACGTGATTATTAAAATATCATTTTCCAGTCAGTTTATCAAAGTAAAAGAAAATTCAAGTTGAATTATAACAGTTTGAAAAGTATTAATAACTTACAGGTAGCGTCGTTTCATTTAATCTCACTCGACCCATATTAGAAGTAACTTCAGTGACATCCATAGGTGCCGCAGAAGAATTTGCTGTGAAAATACCATAAAAAAAAATTAATAAGTTGCCAAATTGATTAAAGTGTTGCATTGTTGTACAAAAACCAGCAGTGAGAAGCAGCTGAAGATTGTTGAATGCATAAGTGTGTGAAATTTTAACTTACACAGTAACATATTTGCCGATTGGTTTCCTCTTTTTGGTGCTGCCTGAAAAAGAAGTTGAAATTGCTATAATTTAGCGACCAAAACCTCGAAAGTTAATCCATTTACTACTTTTAATTAACCAAAGCTCGGGTGGCATCTCGAAGCTAGTTTCCAGCTTGGACGCCTATACGGACAATATGATGAAAAAAGGAACTTTCTGAAAGCATTAGAATATGACAAAACTAATTTTGGTATAGGGTGCTTCATAGTTTTTTCCAAAAAAAAAAAAAAAATTAATGCTACCTAGGTAGCTTCTTTGAAAAACCATAAAAATCGTTTAAAAATTCATTGGAATTGCGACACATAAATTCAACACAAAATGGCCTCATTTCAATCAGTTTTCTATATTTGCTCATACTCAGCGTCGTGACATGAAGATATACTATTCTTACCGCATAGTTGTCTTTTCTCCCTCCAATCGTCGCCGACGATGTACTTGGAAGGCCTTTAAATACTCGCAATAGAGTTCGAAAATTTGGTGTCGGTAATGCAACATTTAAATAATTACCACCGTTTGCCATTGCACAATCCGATTTGTGCCATTTTCTGTCCATTCCATCGTCGCCCAACATCCAATTTTCTACGGACATTCCGCAACTGAATAAACAATATATGTCATGTACTAATTGTTGGAGAGGATCTATGGCATATTTCATAGTTTGAATACTTTGTGCACCCGGGTTTCTACGAGTTACAAGACATGATATTAGATGATATTTCAAGGGTTCCATTACATTTGAACCCACGTACATTTGAACCCATGGGGTTTAGCACCCGCATATAGATTGAACCCGTGGATATACACATGGGTTCAAATGTACGTGAGTTCAAATGTACGGTCACCATTTCAAGCATCGTGAAAATTAAATTTTTTGAATAAAACTGTGTCGAAAGTTAGAAGAGACTTCGGATTCATCTTCATTACCCCACTACTACTGTGCAAATGCAGTCGCTATATGGTTTTAAAATAAAATATCAAGTAAAATCCACCTGAAGCACTTCACTCTATCTCTAAATCCCGTATAATACAGTCCGGCGGCCGCCAAATCGCCAACTTTCACCGGTACGTTCAGTGGAAACTTTGAATATGTTGACAGTCGATAAAATTCATCAAAATGAGGCCCAGATGGGATATAAACACAACTTTGACCTAGAACACAAACGGATAATGTTAACAATATGTATAAAAAAGAAAATCGTAGTGCTCTCTTCCTAAATCTTGTTATCACCAGAAAAGATATATTCTTCTTCAGCTGGCTCTTGGGCTCGAAATGTTTTTTGGTATAAAATTGTTGCTGTTGTTCTTAGAAAATTCCTATGCTTGTATTTCTTGTTGTTATGAAAACATAGCTTTTCTGTTTAATTACAGGAGCAATTGCCCTCGAAAAGTTCAGTGGTTAAAGATTGTTGTCGGTAGAAGGCTATTTTATTTATTTCAAGAATTTCTGTAGGATTCGTTTTTTGTGTGATGACGTCACCAATATTAAAAAATTGCGCCCCTCGTGGCGGTTCCACTTTCGCAATCATTGCGATATGGCGGTCAACTACGGTACCAGTGAAAAATTAGATACCTGTACTACTTCGTTTCCTGTCCATATATTTGAGCATTGCTCTCTTGTTTTATTCACGGGGGAAATTATAGGCAAATTATTGTCAAGCTTAGCTTAAATCAGTGAACGTACCAGGCGCATCTCTTGCTCCACTGTTTATTGTTCCGTCTAGTTCTATTTCATCGTCAAGACTACCAATTTGATCTCCAGATCTTCGAGTAACTAGAAAAACAATATTATTCATGGAGAATGCTCACGTAAAATAAGAAAATATATGAGCAATTTTAAGGGCGGCTAAAATCGGAATTGTGGGGGATAAATCAAATTATATGGTATGGTTTTTTAAAATTAGGTTTGTAAATTCCACTATTTTGCCAGCGCCTACCATAGACATTGAACAGAAACTTTACTGCGTCGTATTTAAACCAAAAGTTTAGGAACATCTTTTTTTTTTGAGCATATTCGAGCCAGATAAATTCGAGAGAAATAGAGACAAAAAAAAAGAAGAACGCCATATGAGAGCGTCTGCGAACTTCCTGATTAACACGAACCAATCGAGAACAAAATTTTCAAATTTTGAATGTATACACTCGTTTTATTATAGATTTTCATTATCCCATACATGGCACGATATAATATTATTATGGGCTATGATTCAAACTTTTCCTCGTATGGTAACATATTTCAAAATTGAAGCTACGTCAATGGGGTGTGTCTGAATATGAAGCCTATTGGTTGAAATACAAGCTTCTAGGCGACGCAGGACAAAATGGAATATATTGTTGTTCGTTTTATCGCACTTTGCTTTTATTGGAGTAAACATATTTCCCGTTACATATAATTAAATTACCAGCATGGAAATTGAAATTAACCACTTTTAAATATTTTTGATTTACTTACTGTCTGGTTTTGTCGAACCAGCCGCCCCCACATCGCTTCTCGACGCAGGGGCGGAGGGTGGGGAGTTCTCGTTTGTTACGTTAGGTGTTTCCGTAGGTGACATTGTAATTTCCGTCTTTCCTCTTGAATTTAAAATTACGACTTGAAAATATTTCGAGTAAGGATGTCGTTGTGCTTATTGAGGAAAATAACTGCGCTCACACGCAGTGCAGCAAATTATAACCGCATACACAATATACTAGGTTGTCCTATTTATACTCAATAAGCACACTGTACATATAAGACACATTACATTACTTTTTGTTCGTAACAAGGTTATGAATTGCATTCGAAAACATTGCTCCCCCTTTTTAATACACCCAGGAAAACAGAAAACTACCATTAATGAACCCAAAATAAAATAAGTCCGATTAAAAATAACAATTAGCTACTCTTTATTCGGAGTACCAATTTATCAATGTGGGACTTTTTATTGCACATACACATAAGTAAATGATTCTATATCATTGTATTAAGTTTGATTTAGTAAATACAGAAATAGAGTACAACATAACACGACACGGCAAAAGGAATTGATTACGGAATTATTGAAAAACAATTCAAAACGACTAAATTGTAAGGATCAAGTATTTTAACAGATTGAATGAACAAAAAGTAATTTCCAACGCATAATTTTATTCGTTTCATTAGTGTAAATAAAAATAAACCAAAGAATTAGAAAATAATTAGGAGACTTGAAAATTCAGTTCTAATTTGTGATTGTTAAAAAATATTAATTGATTTTAAAGTGTGTTTTTTAAAAATTGAATCGATGGTTAAGACGCATATACACAACATAATCATTGAATTAAAAATAATATTTGAAACAAAGGAGACTTCGTTTATGGTACCTTATTCTCTTTTTGCTTTAATTCTTTTGTTAGCTATATTAAATGTATATCTTAAAATATGAAATAAAGTTAATGGATGATTTTTTTTAGTTGGTATATTTATTCCTAGAATGGGAGACATCTTCCTACATACACGAGAGAAAGAAATTATACGAGTATTGTTTGCATAATACACGTCAATATATATATTTAAAATGAAAAAAGTACAAGAGTGTACGCTTCACGACAGCTTTGTATATTAAAATAAATATTTATCCAGTATTTAACAAGTCATAACATACGATATGTCGGTATGTACAGCAACCCATTTTTGATTTATATTTCCAGTTTAAGCTTCTAACGATGTTTATTTGATTACTTTGGAGTAAATTTCGCAATTCGGTGTAAGGAATTCAGTTGAATTTGTTTGACATTTCTAATTGATGATTGGCCATCCTTGGTCTGTTGTTAACCTCATTGTGATAATACGAGGACTGATCAAGCATGAACATGTACACTAGACTGACTACTAACTGCTGTTCTACAACCTATGTCGCTCATGACGTTTGTGACGGCGAAAGAAAGCCATCACAGCACGTGACTTTCAGTATTGTCTAATAACTGTCAAAACACCTAATTTTTACACTAACCTATAAATAAAAGCTCCTGCGACTACGGTTGTGCATCAGGAAATGAAGAAAAAGAGGAAAGGCCGAAGAAGAAGTAGGCCTTTTGATGCGCTCAATCAATATAAAACCGCCATTATTCTCACAGTCCCTGGTAGCTGTACCAGGGGAATCACCAGGTCTCAGTCTCTATCACGAGTCCAAAGCATGATCATGTCGTGCTATTTTAAAAGTGTTTACGTGGTAATAAATTTTCGATACATAAATCATCAGTAAACCCGAGTATCCCTTCGTTTTAGAATAATATATTTAAAAAGGTTTATAAATCTATAATTCAATGATTTTAAACGGAGATACAACTTATATTCTGTAACTCTCATTTGACATTATCATTAAAAACCTACGGGAACACTCTTTGCTTTATCAGCCATCTGTGGCGTTACACATATCGGAAATTACGTGTTTCTGTTTCAATTTTGTCTGGTGTAGATATTTATGCACAACTTAAATCATAATCTTGAAATCGAATATCTGGATTATAATACACACTGTAATAAAATGTCATGATCATGGGAATTTATTTAAACAGGTATCACTCTCTGTTACCTGAAGTTAGTGCCAAGTTGAGGCAACAATTAATTTTTAATAATATATCCTACCAATATGCTTTCGAACTCGAACGAACCAATTTGTTTTTAAACTCGACGAATTTTGTTGATAATAAAATTCAATTTAACGTGTAGGTTTATATTTGAAAGGGAAATTTACCAAAACAATTTTTATTGTTATACGTGAATAATTAGAAATAAATGAAACTCTTTTATTGGATGATATTAGGTAATGAAATGAAACCTTTTATTACATTACAATAAGTATAGAAAATAATTAGTCTTATTTTATTTAATCACAGCATGCAAGGCACTTTCGGGGGGACCTGAGTGATCTATAAATGTCCAAATGGTATTACCTATTTAACAATAGGAAGGGAAAACTTTGCTGTAAGTAATGAATTGCTGTTCATTATCTTTAGATTATTCCACCAAACACATATTTATTACATAGAAATTTCAGCCTTAAAGTTTTTGTATTGTAAACAGTTAGAGTTAAATATGCTGTGAATATTATGACCATCATAAAAGTTGGCCACCATAAATTACTGTTATACCCAAAAATTGTTTTATCTCTAAATCTCAACTTTCATCGGGAACAAATTTATGACAACTTACAACTATTATACAATATTTCGTTAGCTTTTCATTAGCGTGATTGAAGTCAAGTTACGTATTTGTATCAAGGTTTTGATTCTTGGACATTGGGTAGTCGTTTCACTTTTTGTGCTTGTAGTTTTTATTCTATCTCACTTTATTGACTCCAGTGTTGAAATCAAAATCATCCATCTGTGAGTCCAATCGAGTTGGCTAGAATTTGCACTTCGGTTCCAACTCGGATTTCGATTCAAAACAAAATGTGGATGACAAAAATATAGGATTTTCTGTCTTTTCTGTAATGTTTACTCAACAAATTTTAATCCATCCTAACAGTTCTAATCAGGTAAGTTTTAAGGTATTTGACATTCAAGGATTGAGAAAATTCAAAAATAAACAGGAATCCGACTGTAATACAGTACTAGTATTAACATCACAACCTCCGACTTCATAGCTAAATCCTAATCGTAGATTTCTTTGCTGTATGTTAGTAAATTCTTCTTCTTCTGGCTTTTTACTAGATGTAAATCAACAAAAATATATGAACGTATTTCAAATTGATATACTGGCCACCTCGATATTACTCTACATTACTTTAAAAACCTTATTTTCGCTTAATAATCTTCCCATTTTCTATTCAAACATTCAACCTGAATATCCCAACAAACACAAAATTCAACGTTTGAGCGATTATTCACCGCATATTCTTTTTGTAAGGCATGAGAAATGTTTTTAAAAAAATTGTGGGTGATCAATACGTGATGGGTATGATTCCATTTATAGCAATTCATTTATCATCGTATGTTGTAATGTCTATTTCTCGTTTTGATAATTTATCTTGAAAGATGACTTATTGTGAAGAACGTGACTTAAAAACGGTGAAAGTAAAAACTACGGGAATTTTCAGATCCTATAGGTTTGAAGTAACCGGGACGTTGCGTTTCATGATTGGTATATTTTTATCTGTTGCGGGGGTGAGCTGCGCGATGAAAACAATAAATTCATAAGGTGATATATGAGATTTGTTTCGTTTTGTCTATGTGTTGCGAAAGACGATGTTGTGCGTGACTCGAAAACAGTAAAAACTACGGGAATTTTCAGAGCCTATAAGGTAGACATAGCTGGAACATTGTGTTTCGTGATTGATATATTTTTAGTATAAGAAAGAGAAACGGTATTTTATGCCTGTTTAAGTGAATAACTTATTATTTTCCGAGAATCGACTTTACATATTGGTTTTTCACATGCTTCAGGCCGACGTGAATAACCTAAAACTTAAAGTGTGGCACAATTGGCGTGCCAGGCAACGCCATACTCAGGTTCTGTGTTTACTGATTGATTTCATTGGAACTGACGAGCAATGTTTCTCAAAAGGGAAATCGGATGACCTTTGGAGCTTTCTATTATTTCATTTTATGAATGTCATAGGATAAACATATTTACATCACTTGCTTGGAATTTAACAAATAAATAAATTGATGTACATACAGTGAGGTTATCTCCGGATCCAATTTAGTAAAAGAAGTTTACGAAGCCCTGAAGCAGGCATAAATATATATATATATATATAATACCAATTCTGTATGCTTTGAATGAATGATGGTTTAAAATGACCTAAAAGTGACGAAAAAATTAGGAATTTTCCAGCACTGACAGTGACTCTGTTGTGGACCGACTTAATTTGTGATCAAGCTACATTCTTGTCTTCTGAGGCAAATTTTAACTCAATGACAGGGTCTTGCGAAATATTGTGCAACACGCTACTATCCCAGCTCAAGAATTAGATTGTAAACTCTCTTTTTCAATAAAACATAAAACAAATGGATACGTCGCGAGGATAAGGTACCATGTCTCATCATTGTAACTTGTAAAAATAGAATCGAAATGTGAAATTCATCTGAAATATCATAATGTAACCAAATCGTTATAGGATATGTTCATTCCGACACATTTAAACAACAGCTTACTTAGAGTAAAACGATTCATACAGTTTTACTGGGCTTCAAAATAATTTGTATAGAGCATGTACGCCACTGAAACCAGGAAACAACATAACCGTTCTTTGTGCTGGTAGTCACGGACTCTGAAATTAAGTTTTCATAGCGCTAACCTGGTGGATCCCCCAGTGTTACTTATTGCCACATACGCAATTGTAATTCGTCTGAGTCATAATTCTGATTGAATTGAATAAAAAGATATTGAATAAGGCAATACAAAGGGCGAAGGTTCGTCCTTTGGTCCTTTTGGCAATTCAATAAATTCCTGTGCTATATATTGACTATCGCTATAAGAATCGAATATGCCAAAAATCATAAAAAGTCATCGAACTCTTATGTGTTTGAAATACATTCTGACCTCAAACTAAATATTGTTAGCAATTGACCTTGAGTCTGATATTAAAACCTGATTACAATTAAGTTCATATGTATTAAATGTCAATGACTTCAATAATATTACAAGTAAAAGAAATATCGAATTTGTAATAGTATTTGAAGTAGTAATTTCATACACGACAAACAATTTTTTTGGAGTCATTTTGCCGTAAAAAATTTGTGCGTGAGTAGATTTTCGGTTTCGGTCTGATGATACATTCAGTGGGTCCGATAGGAGAATGTTTAAGCTAAATTGATTCCTACAACTTGAAGTTATCCTGCTTACGTAATGAAGAATTTGCTGAGGTACAGAATGAGTATCTGTTGATATTGTCGTGGTAACCAGGTAACGGACTCAACATATCTCTTTCAGTCTTATACTTAGCTAGACAAGATCCTGGGGGATCCCTGGGTGAGACGACTGAGTGGTTGACGATAAAGTCGTCTTATAACAGCGTCTGTTATTTGTCCCAACGGTGTATGTTTTCAATCTTGTCGGATAAACTTTGTGTTTTGATAATGTGAGGCAAAGAACCTCATTGAATTGACTAGCTTTCATTCGCTCCATATTTTAATTCGATAAATTGTCGTTTATATCCAAGAATGATAATCAAATGAGCTAAAATTCATGAAAAGTTTGTCAGACTCTTACAAGTTCAAAATTTCTCATTACCTTTGATTAAATTGTTGGTATTTATTTCACAAAACGTGTACTGTTAATTCTAATCAATATTGAATATTGAAAATGTGATTACGAATAAGTTCATATTTTGATTGTCTATATTAAGTAATATTATGGTTATGGGTATGATAAATATTGCCGACAAACTGCTGAAGACAAGCAACTTTGATGAGTTTCCCGACTCGCTAAAGCAAGTATCCTCCTCGTATCATTTTATTGAGAATGTTGATAACGCAAAGTGAGACGAATATATCTGAACATTCGGTAAAGATTATTCTGTGTGTATGTTCTTGTAAGAACTAATAGAATAATTTCATAGATTACAAAAGAGGTTTTTCGTATCATTAGTACTTTTGAAATTTGTAAGGTTGTTGACTTCGTTAAATTATCATTGACGTGGCAAACCTTTAACAATATCTCTTCTACCCAGCGCATGACCTGGGGAATCCTGAGGTAACGCCATTCTGTATGCGCAAGCAATATGTGTTAGGCTGTGCCAGAATGGCGCGGATTTAAAATCTTGCGCAATTCATTTCGTATTCGATGACAAATAGCTTTAGTTCGCCGATAACGTCTTTGGTGCGCTTGGCTCATTCAGAAAATTGTCGTTCGTATTCTGTAGCCATAAACGATGACGACCGATTTTACCAATAATAATTAAAAATCCTATTCGTCTCGTTTAAATTTGAAATATAAATCTAGCCTCTATTTTATTGAACGAAATGTAATTTCGAAGTGATGATTCATTAGTTTTATAGATAACTTTAAAATGCGTTTTTGTATTATACACTTACTCATAAAAACTTTTGCGGACTTTTGATTTTAGTCCGAAAATATTACTAGTGAGCCCGATTAACGAAATTGTAAATCAAATACATTCATACAACCTAAAATGATTGCGAAATTGTATACTTGTTGAAACTTGTTACAAAATAAGTATCGGATGGTAAAACATTTAATACCAGGCACGAGCCCTCGGGGAATCCCGGGGTACGGCGAAGATAGCGAAGCACCGAATGGCATTATAAAAGAGAAGTCTAATGGCGCTGGATAAAGCAGATACGTATAGAATGAATGTGTTTGGCATCGATTTATATCTCTGTTGATTTTAGTTAATGAGCAATGCTTTTGAAATACCTAGCGTGGCACAGGCATGAGTGTTATTTGTAACCCAGATTGTAAAGTATTAAAATGGCAAAGGAAATGGATATTTGAATAGAATATTTTTAGAAATGAAAGATCTTCAGAATAGAGTTTGGGTTCTATACTATGTTGCTGGCTTAGTAATTTGTTGATACAGAATAGTTCCAGATAATACCAAATAAACTGTTTTAATGAAATATTTTTTCTTAGAACAAAGTTATATAAGCCGACATGGGTGTACATAATATTTTTTCTTAGAATCTTCAGAAAATAGTTTTAGTTTAATAGTGTTATGTGTCATACTGGTTTAGTGGATTTATACACGGTAGTTTCACTTATTAAGAACAAATTGTTTGATTAAGAGCACCTTTCTCTCAAAAAGTCAAGTAAACCGACGCGAATGTACAGTACAGTACAGATTTCTATGATACTCGTTTTCGTAATATGTGTTTTTTGTTAGCTTTTTTATACTCCAACATCAATTGTGATTCGGAACAAATATTAGCTGAAGACTGTTATTATATTTTTGAAGGCAACGTACGGAATATTTCATCATTTCGCGAGAACAGACAGGCATAGGTGGATTCCGTAACGTGTAATTCCCGATACCCAGTTAATTCATTGATAATATTAAAAGAGAAAGATTTCTGCAGTTTGAGAATATATTCATCAAGGTAAAACTTAGAGTCAGCTAATCCGGCAAAACCCGGTCTGATACTTTGAATATGCAGATTTAGTTTATATATTTATGTATATTTAGGCGCACTGTGGGATATATTCCTGGCAAGACTAGATCCCAACAATTTTTAAATTTTGTATACGTATCTTCGATAATAAAGGTGGTTGCCTTGCTACAGGGTATAACTGTGCGTCCGAAGCGTAATTTGAGGTTAACCTTATTCTATGACAAGCAGCTATGACGCAAGTCGCTCTCTCGATTACGCAATATTTTTTACCATCGAAACTTGTTCTTTAGCAGCACCATGTGGGTGAATACGTTTATAGGTTATTCTGAGACGATTGTTCTCGGTATCGAAATCTCGTTTAAATCATAGTTAAATTCTGACCGGAATCGAAAATATTAGTTGGAATTTGAGATATTCTTAGTTCGTGTCGATATTTTTAACTGCAACAGATAATGATTTAACAGCGCTCAAGTATTAGCATTGGAAATTTATCATTCCGTGGGTAGTTGTTAGCTGGAGTCACTGTAACTCATTTTTGACTCCTTAGTCATTTTAGGTTTCTAGCTAGGAAATTCAGTATAAGAAGATTAGGTCTTATATATGAAAATAAGTGATTAATGACATATCGGTTCCGTTTTAGCTGTTTCTCTCATCGCTGCATTTAAATGAAATAGAACAAATGATTTGAACGCATTTTTTTCATTTCAGAATCTTACAAGTTATCACTACTGTATTAGTAAATTTAACATAACTCCGCGCAATGGAATGCCATATGAAATGCTTTGCTCTAACTTTATTCCTAACAGTTGTACACTGTTCACCACGGCCACAAGATGACAAACAGTAAGTATGTAGGTTAGATTTGAGTTCACTTATCAGCTCGCCATTCGGGGTGTTTATAATATCGTTGAGACATACTAAAGCATACTTCAGATTTCAAATTTCCTATGTCACAATACTGTATCAAAAAAGTATCATCGAGGTAGCAATGTTCACTTGATGTTTCATTCATTTAACGAATCCTGTAAATAGGTATCATTATATAATAACGGCTATTTGCTTTTATGTTTATTTAAAAGGAATCAAGAAACGTTGCAACGCTTGCAAAAATTTCTGACGAGCAACGAGTTTGACAATATCTTTTTATCAAAATATATGGTAAGAATGCGGTTTTATATTCACCGTATTGTTAACACTGTTATTCTTGAATTTTGTTTAGTTAATACAAAATCAGTAACCAGTTTCAGTGTACCAATACCACATTAATTATTGAGGGTTTTGAGACAAAGGTAGTGAGTCAAAAAATTCCAATAGAAAATTACAGAAATTTCGAAAATTCAAATATACAAATATACTCATTCTCTCAAAATAGCACATTAAAAGTTTTCGGTTTCAAGACGTCAATATTTATCTAGAAGTTTTTGAATATGGACCAGGAAGTTGATTAAATATTACAGAATGCTACGCGGTATCCCCATACGGAACCATTGTCTTTAACGTGGTATTTCTTAAATGGGCAGGGCAGTCATGTTTAGTTGTAGTGTGATGTAGAAAAAAAATCACTCGTTTGAAGCCTAAATTAACCATTTTTAGTGTAATTGCTGTCCCTTGAAATTAAGGCACTATTAAGGTTACCAGCTTGTACATTTCCACTTACTGTTGTGCGGGCTGTTTTTCGTTAAATTCGAAGTAAATTATAGTTCTTACAGATTTTCTTTAAATATATATCATAAGTACTCCGCATTAATGCATTCAGATCAGTGCAACGATTATTCACAAAATACAGCAATATATCACGGTACATTTAGTATCCGCCATGATGAAAATACAAAGAGTAAACTTGATCGAAGAGATGGTGTGAAGTGAAACGACGGCTCAGATGAATTTTTACAATAGAAAATTATTTTACCGAAATCCCAATAATTTAATATCTTTTGATAGGAGCTCCAGTACAAAATTGAGACATGCATCAAACTGTACGGTGCAAACGCATCTTATGACATGAATAAAAGAACTTGCTTTGTATGCGGGGCTGAAGATTGCGCAGACGACACTGTTTGCGCAGCACAATGTAGAGGTATGAATAGTTCGGTAACGAAGTACATATTGATGTTGTTCTGTTTAAAATGAAAGAGCTATTCTCAAATACACGCACGAAAATGTCGTACATAAGTACCGTTACGGCTATAAATGACCATCGAGTTGGCTAAGATCAGCGGAAAAGCACATGACGGAGAGGGAAGAAGTGACCGAATTATGTGTTTTATAAATAAAAAAAAGTGTTCCCATAAATTAAAAAAAAAATTTGTAAAATATCAAGTCTCGCAAAACACACCGATAATTGTAAAATGTATAAGCTTTCGAGCGATATAATCATTTGCAAGAAATAAAAGTTTATATTGAAACGGTTCATTACCTGTCGAGATGAGGCGAATTGTTTTTAACAACCAAATTTTCAAAATTGATAAAAAAAATCAGCAAAGCGATCTATTGCCGCACTTTAACATTTCTCTTTGCAATTTCCAGTAGTAAACACCAATAAATGATTTATTACTTTTTATTATTATTTCACCATCAACGTCTCACTTGTCTAAAAACGTGCATTTTACGTCTGCGACTTTCACTATTTTAGTAAAGATTATTTTAAAACTGATTGGCCAACATTTCAAAACTTTTCTTTTCATTTTTGATTAAGATTTGTTGAGAATTTCTCAACTCGAAGCTAATCAACGAAGAACTGACGACCGAATAACCGACCTCAACCGAAAATTTGTAAGTGTTTTTAGATAATATAGGGATATATATATTTAACATAATATTATGAAACAAATTCTATTTTCAGCAAAACAATCGTAATATGGCTGTTTCCTAAATTCTAACAGTCCATATAGGGTTACCGCATTCTAGACGGTCCTAAACTGTGCATGTGAACAAAGTTATTTTACTTCGTACAAATAAAATTAGATGACTTGCCGGCACTGAGAATGGTTAACTCTCATATTTCAAATATGACAAAGACAAGATTATTCGTTGTGTTAATGTGAATTACTTTTTTAACATTTATCTATTACATTTTAGGCTGTGGCTCTTGTTTTTGGTTGTTTCAGCTTTATCTTTGGCGTGATTCTGATACTCGTAGAATGTTTTAAATGTTACAAAGCATATGACCGAAGAGAACAACTCGAATTTGATTTAATAAGCCAAAAGGAAGAAAGAGTAGAAAACTCTCGTGAAGATGTCACACCGACTGCTCCAAGTCCACCAGGTACCATTAGTATAAAACAGGTATACTCAATGGACGGACCGCGGTCCGAACCCGCCTTTTCGAGTACTCTATTCGGACCATATTATTTTAGAGCATTGGTCCCATTAACTTCGAATATGTGAAGGTTTTCCTCTATTAAATAACGCGTAGCCTTGGTATAAAGTATTCAAGATGAAATGTAAAGTACAACGTTTTTTAAAAATTCTGCATTTTTTTCGATAATATTCACAGATTGCATTATTCTCTTAGGAGCGCGAATATATCATAATTTCCCCGATAATACTGTTTAAACATTTGGTAAAATAGAATCACAGTTTCGGTCTGTTTACTAAGAATTAGGCAAGTTTTTCTTAGTCATAAATTGCCTCCTTTTTCAGCAGAAGAACGCGTTTTTGTGGAAGCCGAAGTAAACGATGAAGGACGCTCTGTGGATTATGGATTGTAATACGACTCAATGGCGCTGCGAGTGAAGAAGTGACACACGATTGCGTAAATGGCAACAAATGGTTCTTGATTTAACCGACTGCCGTTTTCTTCGGCCTTTTGGACTACAAAGTGGCTATTGCGATGTGCATTATGAGAAAATGTTCACGTGTTGTTGTATAGTGGGACCGATTTCAAAGACAAGTTTATATTTATTCTAATCGTTATTTGATCGACACATACACTGCACTGTGAACTTGCAAAAAATGTACTCCTGCATGAATATTAATGTAGTACTCACGGGTTAAGTTCAAACGTATAAAAAAATTGTGAATTATGCGATCAAATTTTTGTAGCAATACTTTGTTACATTATATTTTTATTCGCATAAATATATGCTATACTTTGAATTGATGTAATATATGCATGGTACATATTATAATGTTTTGTTCGTCAATTACGCCAAAGGCACGCTACAATACTCATAACCTATTAGTCAAAATAACTCTTATGTGCTCTGAGTCAAGTATTTTGTGAATAATACATAATTTATTTATTAATAATAACATTGAAATGGCTTGCTTTTGTCTTGTTTCACTTGTGTTCAAAAAATTTTGCTCAAGTTAACATGAATTTAGCTCTAGAAGCTTCCAATAATTTTTTCGAAATGTAAACCTAGAATACAGCCTTGGTATATAATCCGACAAGACAGACCACGAGACACTGCGTTAGTGTCGATAAACTCGTTACATAGTCTGGTCATGTCTGATTTGACGTGACTTGGTGTTTGCATAATCGCGAGAGATCTATAGCATTCGTTAAGAAAACGGGTAATTACCCGTGAGCAGCTCTCGGTAATTTTTTTCAAAAGTGTAGTATTACGCATAATCTATATTAACTGTCGTGCGGCCACGTATCATTCATTTCACTGGAGTTCCAAGAGTTGGTTGGTAGCAATAGTATAAACTTCGTGAATAACATAGTCCTGATTTATCTTGATTTTTGACTCAGAAAAAGCGGATTCAGTCGTATTATAGATGTGTTTATTACATTTATTAGTAAGTTTTTATGATAAGTTGAAAAATCGATTTTATGAGTAACATAGAGAAACTCAGCGGTGATTTTATTTTTTGCGATGACCTCTAATTTTCTTCTGCTGTTAGATAATGGTATATACATCCGGTTTTATGTTATTTTCTAGTAATTTACTGTTCATCACAAAAGGGCAATGAATATTTCGATGTCAAATGTATATGTATTTAATTAAGTCAAATGTTTGTATTTTCACATATAATACATGTATGCAATTTTGTTATTTGTGTTATGTATATGCATTGTTGTTTGAGTTCACTTAATTCATATGTGTATCAAATTGACTGTACAGATTAAAATATCTCTTCATACGCTTTACAGGGACCAGTAATACCCTTTTTCAATTTGTTTTAGATAAAATCTTTTCAAAATAGATTTAAATAGATTAAATAAACTCAGTTTCGAAATGAAATACCACACGACCATCATTTATGCAATTTTGTGCATGTCCGTAGTCGTCTGTCAAAACGTGGATGAAAATAATATCGGGTACGTGCTTCAATTTTAAAGTACAAAATGCATGGGCTTATGAAATTAATGTATTTCTAAAAGCCCCACAATTGGAGTGTTCTCGAATGAAATAACAGCGTTTTCTACTAATCCTATCCTAGTATTTAAAGTTTCCAATTTTTCTGCGTTCTGCGACACCTTCAAAACGTTGGCCAATGTACTGAGTATTTGTGACATGTTGCTAAATATGACCACGAAAACAAATTATATAAATTTAATTGCAAATAGGTCGTTTTATTACTCAAATATCGTTTAACATTTCAGAGTCGACAATATTCGGAGAGAAGTTTTAAAAATTTTAGCCGGAGATGAATTCAAAAATCATTACTACATGGCTGAAAAAGTAAGCTAAAATATCTATCAAATATCAAGCTTCGGGATCATTTGAAGCTGTTTTATGATTTCCATTTGAACTTTATTTGTTTTTTAGTTAGGCTCATTTGGGCAAAGCGTATGCATAGTGTGGGATTTGGTTAACTTAATGTGGTCAATCTTGCCGTTATTATTCCCATATTACTGATAGTTTTTGTAAGTGTGCACCACAGATTGCTTTGCTAAATAGTCGCTGTTCTTCATGTTGCCGGGTTTCGTCCTGATGGGCCAATGAATTCGCAATCCTGTACACACAAAGAAGGAAACATTCGATAAAAAGTTTCTATATTTAATTCACTTCGCACTAAACCATACAGTGTCTGGTATTTTACTTCACAAGTAGCTGTCTTTTGTAATCTATAGGACGCCTCTATATGGCATCTGATACACAACTTCATATGACATTCGGGGCATAATTCTGTTCATATGTGGTTGGAATTTTACGACATCGTGGTTGACATTTGACCTTATTTTCGATATATATGTTCTGTTCCATTCCATGACAATTTATACCTGTTAAATCCCAGAGTGTGTTTTCTAGGGGATACCACTGGTAATGACAATACCACGATCAAGCCTGGCATTATTTACTTAATATAACTTCAAGGACATGAATGTATGACGTATACTCAAAAGAAATCACAATTAAAAACAATTTATTTTAGTAGTTGATGTATATGGAAAGTCATATATATTCTGCTTTAACAGGAACATCTTAAAAAGGTCGGCAATTGTATTGAAACTAAGGGACCTAATGCTAAATACGACCTAGAGCAAAAAGAATGCTTCATTTGCAGTGATGACAAATGTTCAGGAAATCCTGCATGTATGGCCAAGTGCAGAGGTAAACATTGTGGCGAATGCTAGACGGTGTTTAGAAAATAAATTGGCCTTCGTGAAAGTAATACATATCTTTCCTTATTTACAATTCTGTTCAGAGTGCGTTGCGTTGGGGATCACAAATAATGCTTTCTTACATAATGCGCCATCAGAAATATTTTTTCTCTCAGATTATGGGAATATTACATAAAATTAAACTTATTGCCTATCTATTGTTAGTATTCTTGGCTTATGCATTCTGTCTGGTTTAGCAAACTAAAACTATATACTTTTATCGTCATTTTATTTCAGACACGATGAGAATTTCAGAGTTGGAGATTGAAAATCGAAGCCTACGTGCTGTAAATAGTGACCTTTATTTCAGATCAGTAAGTGAATTTAATTTCTCATTTCCGAAATTTGAATGAAACATTGCTAAATTAAAAAAAAAATCGAATTTATAGTCTCGCTGATACTTGATAAATTATAATGATCACAACATTTGATTTTGTAACATAATGCCTGCAAGACCCAACGGGGACGGTTAACTACATTTTTCATCAATATGTTAATGTAAGAAACAAATACTGTACTTTCAATACAAGTTTTTTGATCGAATGATAGTAATTCCCGATCAAAACATTGCACCTTTTGATGTAAATTGGGAAATACATCTTTGAATATTGAATTTTTCGTTTTATATTTCATCCCAATTATTCTGACTTATTTACTCGCTCTTTTTAGGATATCAGCTTCTTGATTATGGGGGCTTTTCTAGTACTGGGAGTGGGATTGTCAGTTGCAGTAACTTGCATATGGCTTGCAACAAGATGTGACAAAGCGAACCATCCAGACGGTGATCTCCACCAGAGCAGTTCCGAGAATCTGCCTAAATACTCGACGCCGAATTCAAGAGGTGTGTTAAAAGTAAGGCCGTTAGAGGGCCATAAGAATTTTGACCGGCGGGCAACAGTTTGCCGACTACTGATTTGCGCCATTATAAATTAAATTTAAATATACTTTTAGAAATGGTATGTGTCACCTTATGAATTGGGATTTGTGGTAATTCTGTTAATTTGTGCAAATAAATTTTTTTTTTTTTATTACTGATACTAATCCGTGTTTCAGAATCTTAATAAAGCGAATACCGTATCGATTGCCACTATTTTTAATTATTTTACTTTTTTAGATGACCTGGGCGCAGGAAGAGCATTTTTACCAAACGGACGTCAAGAACAATCACCAATAGAAGAAAATACGGTTTAATCTCCCAAGCACACGAAGCTTTCATTTGACATTTTTTATAACGTTGTCCTTCTATGCAACTATTTTAATTTTAGAGCATCGGACAACAAAAAAATATGTTCAGAAATGATAAAGACAGAGACAGTGCTTGGGGGCTTCTCAACTCTTTTATGTTGTTTTGAAAGTAAAACACGAAAAGATTAAAACAGTGTGCTTTTGGGCTATATTTAAAAGAATTGGCAATCATGATCAACAAAAATTTTCTGCATTTAAAAACTTTTAAACATTACACATATTTTATATGGTTCCATGTATAGTGAAAGATAGATCATTAAAATCATTTCAAGGTTATGAATATAAATTATTTGTATATTCTTCATTCATTCATTGTATATATTTTCTACCAAGCATTTTCTTTTTCGTTTGGAAAAAAATTTGCTTGATTCGGATATTGCAAAAGTTTTTTTTTAAAAAATAGCATGTTTAGCCTGCCCTTTTTCAAATAAAAATAAAGCATTGATTACTTTAACCCTTTTGCCATATGTAAAGGATTAGATTAGACAGAATTGCGAAGGAGTATACATGTTATTTATTGACCAGAAAAAGCTATTTGAATATATTAACAAGTTTCAAAAGTTTTTTTAGGCCCCTTATCAATTATCAGTGTTTTTAAATTTAACGGCAAGTCAGTGGTTGAAATATCCGCTTGAAGTTATGTTGCTTGCTCGATTCAAAGCCTATCCGACATGGTACAGGTTATATTCTGTATAACGTTTCCGGATTAATGAATAAATAAAGATTAGTAAATCTGGATAAAGGGTGTTACCGGCCTATTTAATCAATATAGCAATATTCATCCCAGAGGGCAAAATACTTGTTATTTCAAGGCTTAGTCGAGCAAAAAGGTAGTTCTCAACGCTTAACAACCAGGGAAATGCCCTCGGTTCGGTAAAGGTATAGAATTCTTTTTATCACCAGACGGTATTGTCAGCATGCCCTGATTGGTATTTAAGCGGATAAGACCCTAGGAAGCGGTCGAGTAAATTTTGAGTAGAGATTATTAGTAACAGTGTATACCATAAAGCAAGAGTTTGTCATTTAATGGATTAGTAATACTCTTGGATATTTTGTATCCCCGCCCCTAATGCAAAAATGCGAGATTTGAGAATACCAACTCGTCACGTTAGAATAATAAATTGGTAATTATCCAGTTGGGGTCAGGGTTAGAAATTATATGAAATTTTAAATTCCCAGCAATCAGCATTCCTAACCACAAACTGCATGGTTACTAAATCTCCTATTTCGAGCGTGAGTGGGTGTGTTTTTATTGGCGGGGGCTTTGTACAAAAGATTCACGCAATAAAATATGCCTGCTTTGAATTGCATGAAAAGCACATAAACAAGCTACAGTTCCTTTGCTTGACAGTTTCTTATGTTTTGTACTGTACTGATTATCGAAATCCAAATTATCGATTAATTATGTTATGAACCGCACAAACACATATAGAATTTTATATAAATGTCAGTTCGGAGTCGCTCTCGAAGCAGCTTGTACGACTGGTGGAACAACCAACCTTACGTGAAAACGAACATGGACTTATGCACTGAAGCGTAACTTTACACTTTTACAGGGCTCCCAAAACGAGAGATGGAAAAGAAGGAAAGTTCTGACGTCACCCGTTGATAAAAAGAGAATCTGTGATCATGGCTGGCCAATAAAAGCAAGAATAAAATCTGGGTTATCAAAATTTTAATTCTCACCTCATTTTGGAATAAATGATATTAACCTTTTATTTTATGTGCTACCCAAAAATGTGAAAAAGTTAATACCAAAGATGTCTAATAATAAATTTGTATAGGAACCAGTATACATACCTGTTAGTTAAGAAGACAAACGAAAAAAGGTGAGGCAATATTCTAACCTTGCGTAAGATAGACAGAGTAAAAACAGGACTTAGTGGTGAGGCATTAACAGGACAATAACAGGAATTCGTATGGGCGGAAATGAACCCTAAAGTTTGTAAACACTGGTATCAGAGCAAACATAATTATCCAAACTTGATAAACGCAAGTGTAAGAATCTGGGTAAATTTTATAGTTCTGATTTTGGCACAGTTAAGCATTGATTCTCTAGTATTTTATCGCAGATAGAAATGTAAATAAAATCTCAACCATAACAACTTGCGACAAATGACGCGTTTTTGTGTAACAAACTGAAATTATTTCATTTCGCAGAATGTAATATCGTACTAAATATAGTTCTCGTTCTCCATACGAACCAGACATTCCCGGCTTAAACCAATTTAAACAGGATCTGATACAATCAACCTGGGGAAATACCTGGTAGAGAGTTTAGAGAGAATTTATTATTTGCTATAAAAATGCGCAAGAAAAGATAGTCATTTATAGAATGTAATGCCGAGGTTTTATTCGCAATACGCGGATGTATTATTCTGTGCATATAAATCTGATCTGCACACAAGCAACAGGTTTTAAGAATGGAAGGTTCGCAGTATATTTTTGCTAGAACTTAATGGAACAAAATTCATTTGACGGATTCAAAATTATACTAAAATTTCAATAAAACTATTGCGACTTAATATAGCTACAGACTTACTTACTTACAGTTACTATTACGTAATAGAGTTCGTGGCGCTTTTGGATTGGTCTATCTATATTCCACCCCTTCCTAAAGCATTCGTGGTTTTGAAGAACATTTTTTTTTTTTGAAAAAATACAGTCGCATTCCGCATATATGAAAGGCTCGTGCGGCGCTAAGCGTTACCTCTTTTTACAAGGTGTGCGACAAATGTGGTGTTATTACTGACAGTATTGAATTTAATAAATTGGGCATTGTTTATGACTGAAAAATTATCAATGTTTTTTCTTTTTAGTTATTCGTATTTGTTCAAAGTAATATTTGGCTGGCACTGACCGGCCGTTAAATATTTGCTCAAGATTATCTACTGTGAGAAAAAGAAACAAAATGCGAAAGATTGGAAGTACAGGGAGAGGGTTTATCCCACGCCAATTACCTAATGGTAAATATTTTTTCTCATCGAATACATACAATATTTGAACGAAAATAGATTGCTATAAAGTTAACGATAGCTATTCAAATACGCGGCATTAGCGAAATAATAAAAAAAATATTTTCAAAGGCGAAATGCATTTGAGCTGTTAATTTTAAGGTTTAGAGCGGGGTTAGTTTCAACGGATACATTTACTATATTAGGACGAGATCTAAAAAAAGTAGCTTTTGAAACGATATCGACATATTTGAAAGTGAAAATATACATAAGGACTCCTGTTATGAATTATATTTGATAATATATCGTTTTAGCTCGTGGTAACTTATTTTGTTGCAGACCTAAGGGAGAAGACTACCTATGACGTCGTCGAATCTGACGGAAGAGTTGCTAGCGGGCTACAGGAAGAATCACCAGGTAAGCTCGCTATGTAGTAATACGCAATGCGACAAATTCCTGTAGATTTTCAAAAACATATTTTTCTTCATGCAACGTGGTACATACATAGTGTGGTTTTACAAACAGTTTCAAAACACTAAATAGTTTGCATTCGTAAAATAATGAACAGCGATTTTATAATCAAACCTCACTTTTAAATTGAAAACAATAATGTTCGACGCAGTTAATACCCTGACAGGAGATAGAGGTCATAGACCTACGTTTCTAGGTGTTCTACGCTTTTTATAAAATACGAAATGGACCTTGTGTCTTTCAGTATTCTTATTCTTACCGTCTGAATATTATATTCAGCGATAGATTTTATATTTTGCTCGAAGGCTATTATATTCACTCGTTCCTAAATATTCTTTGAGATCTGATATGTCATCCAAAATTTCGCAGTATTACTTTTCATTCATGGAAACACGGTTCGCCAACCGTAGCGGCTGTCTTCCGTTTTGATTTTGCGGACTCCGCGAAAGTCTGTGGGTTATTCGATACCGGTGGTGCACCTGAGACTAGGTACGGTACACTACTTCGTTTTAGCCTTCGTATGTTTAAGCATCGTTTTCTTGTTTGCTCACGCGCCAATGGTGTATGCGTATCCTATACTTAGCTTAATAGTTTTGTTTTTCATTTTACTACTTAGATCATGTATGGGCGTACATTCTCTCTGGTAATTACTGGAAAGAAGATTACAGGTTGGCCACATTCTTGAAATATCCGCCGGAGACTCCGGTTAAGGTATGGGACTTGGCACGTTGTGGATTCTACTACACGGGATTCAGAGATCGAGTGACATGCTATTGGTAAGAGTAATTTACACTAGAACTAGGGTATGTACGGGAATAGCACCTCTAATATTCTTTTTACAAAATCCATTCTACGCATAGACAGTTATATATATGCAGGGTGTCTCAAAAGGAAGTATACTTTTTGCGTATAAATCCATTGGCGTCCATTGGAGAAACAAAAAACATGGTAGCCAAGTAACGTTTATTTTAGGTTCATGAAGCCAATAGATACGTGTATGGTGGTCCAAATTGCTTATTGTGCCATGTCATTTGAAAGAGTCAAAATTGTAGACATAAATAGGCCTTGGTTTAGATCAGTGGTTGATCAGTTGATTGACCGGAGACCAAAATTAAAAGCTGAAGGGGCTGATACCATTGAATTGTTATGGGCCCGCAACAATTGGCGGTATCTAGAACACAAAAACGTGGTTTGGGAGCCACTGGATAAGATCACTAATCAAAAGCTGACTATTGGAAATTGTGGGTAACAGTTGGTTAAGCAGCCTAAGCCTTGGTTCAAATTGCTACTCAAATTGCATAGCTTCTCTGAATTGTAGGAGAGATTTCTAGACGTACTTAGGCCACAGCCGAGTTGTCAAGTTCACGATGTTGTGTACGTTTCGAGAAAATGAATTTTCGATTTCAAGTCTGTTCAAAAATTTAGTCAATATGTTACTTATATAATTTTTTGTTTATTTTCAGTTGTGGAAATAAGGTAGAGAATTGGGTTGTCATGGACGATCCATGTAGCACGTTATGGCACCTAAGCGATTGCAAGATGGCCCTTGGACAACTGTGTGACAACGTCGTTCTTCAAAACAAATCTCGTCAGACACTAATGGAGTTAAATAAGCTGTTCAAGCCTAAACAAAACCAGGTATTCATTACATTACTAAATGCATAGATCAAATCCCTAAGAATACACCTTTTTACAGTTGCAATCATTTGAGAATCACCAACTTGAAGAAGAATTACAACGCTTGCCAAGGAATGCCATCAGAGAAGGTAGGAGTCGAGAATATTATATTGATAGGCTATACTAGGGATACTTAACTATTTTTGCCGAATAGACGTTTACAAAGCTCTGAATCATCGAGATCCGGTCATACCAAAAATATATTTCACAGAGCGCCTCAGTGCAATTCAATGCCTTTAACTTTAAAGTTGAAGAGCATTGATGTCAGGTCAGGCAATGAACAACTAACTCATCTCGAATTGTTGTTCAATTGCAATCTTGATATCTTTCTTGAGAGAAATTCATAACGGGCATCTGGCAATTGATTTGAGGAACTTAATTTCAGAATTTATTAAATTCAAATATAAGTGCGAGGAGTGTTTGCTTGAATGTCATTAATTTTGTAATCAACGAATTTTAAAACCAAAAGTGACTTTATCCTCGTTCAAAATACTTTCCTAATTAAATTATACAATAGTGCCCGTGAGTATTAATTTTGGTGACTCAAACACGCCGTTAACCATTTAGATTTGAGCGATCTGGGGAACACACCCCTAACTCCTACAAATGTTGCAAACTCGGGAAAAGACGAAGACTTGGCCACGGAGAAAGAGACTGCCAGGTATATAACATAATAATAAGGTATCATATATTGCTACAAAAACAAAACTAGCCTGGCACTGTTAAATGAGAAATCCCATATTTAAGGGAAATATTTATATCTATGTATATATTATTCTAGCATTCGTGGGAATGATGAAAGCAACGAAGCTGGAGGGGATCCATCAGTGAATCACCGTTCGTCTACTGGTGCACCGTCCAATAGAATACGCACTGGAGACGATTTGGATGAGAAAGTCCCGCGAAAAAGACATCGATCTGGAACGACAGATGGTAATTTCAATTTCTTTATTTTGTCACTTAGAGATATTATGTTTTGCAAAGAAAAGACACGGGAAATTATAGTCATCTGTGGCTCGTAATTATCTATACATTCACAACTAAAACTATTTTTTTTTTCTAGAGATAGCGGTTACCTTGTGACATAACGTGCGTATTTTTGGCTGGCACGAAAACATATTTTAATTATCTTGAGTTTAGTGATTTAACAGTACTAAAGTATTGATCATGGCTATTTTTTTCCTTTAACAGGCAGTGCAACAGGTACATCGCAGAAAAGCGAAAGAGTGTGCCCAAAGTGTAAGAAGAACTACAAACCTGACGCTGTTCTAGATTGCGGGCATTTTCCGTGTTGTACAGGTTGCAATGATTCTTCAGCTCAGTGCCCTGATTGGGGCAAAACCAGTGAGGACAACGTTTAATGAAATTAACTAACGTCTTGAAAAACTGATTATGATATATATAGGAATGCTTAGTTTGTATAATTTTGAAATATATCTTAATGTAGCGTTTTATTTTAAACAGAATCATTAGGAATGTATATAATATATACATGCATTTGTTATGTAATTAATATGGTTAGGGCAAATCAGTTTTTAATGCAAATTCGATTATTTACGTTAATGTGTAAAGAAAAATATTTTGGTATGCGATCACAGTGGTTTTGTGAGCTTAGTGATTTTAGTATTAACCCAACGATGTCAGAGTTGGGATTAGGAACTGAATTCTAGGATGATGTCGTTTTGATATTGAAATAGAAGTAGTTTTATGACTCTGAGATCGCATACAATAGTGTCAAAGTTTAATGTTTAGTAGTTTTTTTTCTCAACTGTTTGAGCATAAAAGTGTAATCACAATAAATATAAATCTGTTTTGTTGTTTTGCATCATCTTATTATGTGTTGCGAGGATAAACAATAGGCCACTACTACTCTGGTTAGGCACGTGGATTGTAATTCGACACCTAAGTCTCATTTGGGTTACTTACTACAATAAAGCAATTTAGGAGTGCCGTTTGACAGTGGGTATATATTTGCGGTAGCCGGACGAGTAGTTCTAAAACAACACATGACGCCCCAAGTTGGTGTCCCGAAATTGTCCTGTCCCACTTGCCCCATGTCTGTCATTTGTCCCTGTAGGAGTCCTTGTAAAAATAATGAATCACGGCGCATAAATTTCTTCGTATCTTCCAAGCAATCGTATCTTCCAAGCGAACCAATTCACAGTCTGCCAAAATTGCCAGACTGAACTAAATATACTTCTGGAGATCCATATATTTTATACGAATACGCAAGCTATGCCTTTCCGTTTCAAGTCGCAAACATGTCTGGATACTGAATCTTAGACGTGCCGTCATTTTTTCAAGTATTACATGCATACAATGATAAATAGCAACCAGTTGTAGTGTCTCGCTTCTACCTCCAAAGTTCCTTATCTTGCTATGCTCTTCCCAAAGCAACACATGATATATGCACGCAAAAAGCCAAAAGTAACTAATACAATTAAACAGCGAATAAAAACAGATTAGAACCACGATCAGTTACGCCGTCAAGGATCGGTGAGGTCCTTCTGCTCTCCTTGGCATGTATCATCTTTGTGCATTTATATGGCGCAGGACTAAATATTCATGCAATCAGTGACCATCGAACCATGAACACAACATCCCTCCTTTTGTTATAAGCAGTTGTTAAATCAGACTTTTATTTCATGACTAAGTCTTTGAATCTGGAAGGCAGTTTTCGTTCTCTCCTTAGACGCTCATAGTTTTTTTCTCGCAATTGATTGGCCTGGACGAATTTGGAGCAATTTGGGACACTGTGTTATTTTTGTCAATTTTGCCAATTTCATTTTGAGTGTCATCTTTGTACTTCTTTACAAATGTTGAATTGCGACGGGATTCTTTTCCCTCTTCATCTCTGACTGTGACTTCTCTTCCTTCTCGACAACTTCACACAGAGATTTATTGAAGTTGATTGACATCTTGTCAACTTTATCTTGCTTAACGTGCACCGAATCCCCGACCATCAACATCTGGTAAAATTGCCCCTCCGCTGCAATCGGAGTAGAATTTCCCCTGCAGCTTATTTTTTCAGTCTCTGTATCTGTGTTTTTCGCCGAATATGTTGTATTTTGGTCCGGTTTTTTGGAAGTTTTGTTCTCATCTCTCGACCAAACATCAAATAATAGGACGATACTCCTGTCGTTATATGCCATGTAGAATTGTATGCAAGTAGAAATTTGTTTAATTCAAATTTCCAATCTTTACCTTCTACTTGGGCTATTTATATGGCTTTCATTAAACTTCGGTTTTGTCTTTCCACTCCTCCGTTTGCTTGTGACCACAATGGAGTAGTAGATTTATGTTGAACTCCATGTTCGTCTACAAATGATTTGAATTCATTGGATACATGGTGTGGTGCAACAACCCTTCCTGCGACTATAGTTAATGCTTTAAAAACTAATTACTTTCCATGAAAATTTTCCATTAAAAACTAATCATTGACTTGAAATTAAAATACTGAAGTCTAGTAGTCGAGTGGATTCCCCCGTATTTATTTTCGTAGCGTTGACTAATCCACAGGATGCAATAGTGACGCAACAGTAAGCGTTTTCGCAGCTGCTTGGACACTTTTCACTTGGATTTTAGACAAGGCTGTAATCATTGGCTCGCTTTCCTGGATTTTTTAGTTTTTGTCGCATTTCCGAATATTATGTATAAATCAAATAACTCAATGATTATTTTAATTTCTGGAGAGTTTTAATTTTGTTTCAGTAATCGAAAATAGTCTGCCGATCATCTCAAGCACCTTGCATCCCCCACGATTACGACTTATTAGAAATCAAAGCCAAATTAAATGGCTGTTATAGTCTAGGGGTGGGCAAAATCGAATATTTTCTCAAATCGATCAATTTGAATATTTTCAACGAATACTGAATAGTCGAATAATGAATATGTCTTATACACAACATGAATCCAGATCGTCGGAGGTAGATACTCACTTTAGAAATTAATATAAACATTGAAAAGTCGACAATAAAGCGTGTTTTACTGGTTAATTTCGTAATAATCGCTGCTTGTTTTTGTCACCGCGATCGTTTCGGGGACGATATCTTAATATTAGTAATCTATATACCCGCCCTTTCCCTTTCTTGCAAGTATAATTGGTCGCCGGATATCAAACTTTTATATTTCTGGTATACCCGTGCGCTCACATCAGCGACAGCTGTAAAAGACATTAAGGACTGATTTCAAAACCTAATTAATTTCATTCTGAGTTTTATCCTCTGCCTTGGCCTTGATCTTACTTATATCACCGCCTGTAAATTAGCCGTGCCTGTTTAAAGTACATGGTAACAGATATGCAGATATTTATTAACTGATAATTGAGTTTCTCATGCTTTTCTATGGTGGTCGTGTTATTTTAGTATTAGATAGTTAAACCTCGCAAATCTGCGATTGCGTGAATTCTGAATGTTGATTTAAATAGCGATTAAATAAATTGGCAATAAAGGCATTTCTACGTGGTCATAAGGCATTTGTGCCAGGGTCAGACGCTAATTATAACTAATTCTTTCAAGTTTTAATATATTTTCCAACAAAACAGCAACTTAACGGTTATTATAGCTAAAATCCTTACTGAGTAATGCTAAAATTTTATTTACGAAATTTGCAATTCAGCAACTCCACTTAATGATTCTGATTATGTCATGCCTTAATTATTACTGCCCAAATGCTTCAAAATTTACCAATTGTAATCATTTTCGATGATAATAGGCGCAACAGTTCTTGAACGAGTCAGTGTGCATTGTTACAACAAAATTCACGACTGATTTGCCAAGGATGGAAGGGATCACTAAAAAGCTAATAGAAAGTGCTTTAACGGGGGTATGACCTGATATTTCTTATCTGGTTACAACGTAAAACCAAAACAAACGCAATGCAACGCTAATCACGCTTTGTGGCGTCTTGTGACTGTCGCAATGTTTTGATTTCTATATTAAAGATACAAAGAAACGGCTAAAAAGTGGGACGACACCGTATTTTCAAGATAAAAATGAAACAAGATTCGTGATTAGATTGCATATTGTTGTATGTTTTTATATCGCTGCGTTTATTCTGATTAATTCCAGGCGTCGAGAAATAAATATCGTTTGAGGTTATGTTGATTTAATGCTTTTCGTGCTTTGATCATGATGGCTTTTAAGTACGATAATCATGATGGCTTTTAACTGAAGAAATGGCTAATTTAACTCCCATGCTTACAAATGTACATATCACACATTCATTCTCGTTCGTAATTCTTTTGAAATTAGATTGTCTGAATTGCCTCCAGTGCAGGACCTATGTACAAGTAACTCATACCAGCTTTTGGAAAAACTTTGACTGGTCATTTTTAAATCCATGCTATTTATATAACTCGAGTTTTCTGACCATCTACAATGGACCTTTTCGCAATGAAACGCCGAAAAGTCATTTTAACATTTGCTTTTATTCAATTTTATGTTCGAATCATGCAAGAAATGGCTAATGATATGTCACCAAGCATGCGGAGTTTAAAATATGAAAAATTTATTTTGAATAACTAATCTGGTTTGACGTTTCTAAATTTACGGAACGGTCGGTACGTTTTCGAAAAATATAGAATTGAAACGATACGTTAAGAGCAAAAAAAGCATATAACACCATAACGCAAAGACAAGGACTTGGTCACGTGGTACCAGATATTAAAATAGTAAATTCCATTCGAATATTTTATTATTTGATTGGTTATTCGAATACATTGCCTAGCCCTAGTTGTTACGTGTGTTGTTGTTACAACGACATGGTGTTTTTAAATACGTGCTAAGTTTTGTTGCTATTTTAACTTGCGTTGTTTGGGTGAGGCTCTTCACAACTTTGAGGTTTGAAATTTGGCTCTGAGACTAAAAAGGTTTGAGAACCCCTGGACTTAACGTATAACAAAGTAGCCTCACAATTCGTATCACTTTGGCATGAGATCACGCACTAATGTAGTTTTATGAGAATGAGATCGCGTACCGGAGTGGCACCCTTGAATGTTTAGCAGTATTTTCTCGAATGTTCCAGCTTAAATGTATGATCACAATACACATTAAATTACGTGCATCTTTTGTTGTTTTGCATCATTCTACGAGGAAGAACGATTGGCCGTTATTTCGGTTACTTGCGGTGATTGTATAATTCGGCGTCTCTTTTTATTTGGGTTATCTATTGCAATGAAGCAATTTTGGAGTGCCGTTTGGCTGTGGGGAGATATCTATGGCTACACGAGAAGTTCTAAAGCGAGCTATACAACCAGTGGCGTAACTACCCATTGGATCTTGTGGATAAATCCAGGGGCGGCACGGTACTGAAGGGCCTCAAAATGTGGCAAAACCTTATAAACGAAGCGGAAACACGTTTTAAATGAACCAAGGCAGTCACACACGACCTAATATGGCACTGAAGCCAAAAAATTACACAATATATACGTCTAAACCAGGTGTTTATGGCTCGTGGCCCCCTTCCAGCGCCGTTTTCGCCATTCCAAAAACAAAACGTGTTAGATTGTATTATGTGTTTACGACCTATTATGGAATGCAAGAGCAAACCACAGACAAGAAAGTAAACGCTCTCCAGTATACAATCAATGGGTATCTTGCGATTAGGATACGCTTCTCGTATTAGGCGCAGTCTTTTTTATAGCTAGACGAATGTCAACATCAAGACGGTTTATAAATTTTGTTTTTGTGATAATAAAAATTGGCTTTTGCTCCGACAGAAACCCGAACTTAGTCAATGTGCGTTCCTGTCAAATCTAACTCGCTTAGCAGCAAAGAAACCGATGCCAACGTCTTTCACCGAGGGTGATTTTTGTCGCGGTATTTTGGAGTTCAGATGGACGATTTATTGCTCAATACATACGAGCAATGCCAGCATTAATCACATTCTCTGGCATCTCAATTTACTTTGATAAAGTCAACGGAACTGTTGTTGTTAGTACATCTGTCTGCACTTGAAGGCCCGGGAACGCAGCTATTCATGTGTTCAGCCAAAACGAAACTGTAGTTCCATTTTCGTAATTGCGTCTATAACACGCTAGCGAAGGTTATCTCACAGTCGAGTGGATCTGCCATTCTGTAGGTTAGACCAGACGGCTTACCGGCGAACTATTTTCATTGGTAGATTTCAAATTCCATTATGATCAAACAATTCACGCTCAAGAAAGTGAATACACCATGTGATCGCAAATAATCCTATTCAAGTAATGAAGCTGCCGTGAAAACTATGTAAACGAAGTCGTTATAAAATATATTATTAGTCTTGTGTCCCCCTCGAACTGCTTCGTGCCTCTGGAACCACTGCACTAGTTCAATCAAGTGATTTTAAATTTAAAAATGACAAACATCGTTTATGTGAATCAACACCTTATTTATTCATGAGTCTCAAGCTTCACCTCACTGTTGCGTTTCTTTCACAAGCTGCGAATAACGAAGTCAAAACCGAAGTTGATAAAGTTTTACTGTCTATGCCAGCAATACAGTCCATTGAAAGTGATTTAGTCGAGACATTATCCGTTGACGATATAATTTCTGAATTTGCTTCAATGAAAACTAAACATTGAATTTGAAACTTACGATAAAATTTACTATTCAATGCTTTAATTCTTCTGTTGTGTGTGTTGGGAAGTCTGATGAGCAGATTCTTTACAGATTACCAACTTGAGCGTCTTTGTATAAATCCAATGTTTGTGAATGAAGCATAACACATTTAACCTAATGCAAATCTAACTGTTAACAAAGATCTTAATACAACCAAATACTCCAATCAGTTAAATAGAAAATAACACACACATGTATGATACAGGTAGAGAGAAATGGCATAGAAACAGGATGGCAGAAATGGCATATCCCAATATCTCCCCTTCGTAAAGGAAAAAGATATTTGTTTTTCAAAATATCACAAAATGACAGAGTGAATAAATAACGAAATAGCAACAGGTGAAGAAACATTTGAACAGCAATAAACAAAGAAATAAAAATTGTTCAGTATTCATTATCAAATGTCTTATTTTATCACATAGAACAGTCAGTATAGTCATGTTCATTCAGACAGCCCTTGCTTGTTGTAAGGCTGTAGGCGTCTCAATGCCAGAGGTAATCTTGGTGGATGCGTGGCTGGACGAGAAATAGCTGAGGGACTAGTTTGGTTTGACAAAGGGCAAGAAGGTGGGGGCCCCGAATTTGGAGGGTGGTTAGCTCTGGAGATATGGCTAGAATGTGGCAGGTTGAGTGATATGGAAATTGTGGCTTGGGGTTCGAACAAAATAGGCTTTAGGAATCTCCGGTTTCGTGTGACTGTTCTCCGAGATCCATCCATTCTAATCAAGTATTTACGGTGTTTGAAGCATTTCACAACTTTTCCTGACCTGTCCCATCTTTTGTTGATGGGATTTTGGATTGAAACGTTTGTTCCTTCTTCTAAGAATGGTAGGTCGTGTGCATGTTTGTTGTATTCAGTTTGTAGGTCAATATATTCCTGAGAAAGATTTTTTCTCTAGATTTGGCTGCTTGTGTCCACAGTGGATTGAGCCGTAGGTTTGATGGGTGAATAGGTAAGAAGTCCTTCAGATGCCGAGAAAACAAAAGTTGTGCTGGACTGAGTCCAATATCACGGAGAGGGGTGTTTCAATATTGAAGAAGTGCTTTGCCGAATGAACGACTTTTTGGGGAACCGTCTGGCAGTAAATTTTCCCGGATGAGTCGTTTGGCTGTTTTTACGGCAAGTTCAGCTCGCCCATTTGATTGTGGATAGTGTGCTGACGAGATTCGACCTTTCACACTCCAAATTTCCTGAAATTTCTTGAATTCCTCTGAAGCAAACTGAGGGCCACCATCAGTACTGAGTTCTTCAGCAGAGCCGAAGCGCGTGAAAAGTTGTTCAAAAACAGGAATGATGCGGTTTGTGGAAAGTGATCGATGAAAGTGGGCAACTTCAATCCATCCACTGAATCTGTCTGTGAGTGCTAGGTAATCGTTACCATTTAGATAAAATAGGTCAGCACAGATTTGTTGAAAAGGCCATTGGGGTGGAGGTATTGGTATGATAGTTTCTTGAACTTGAGATGGTGCAATATAGGAGCAAGTGGAGCAAGAAGATTTGAAGTTGAGAATGCATTTGTTCATTCCCGGCCAGTATATAAAATCTTATGCCTTAGCGACCGTATTTGTGCAGCCCTGGTGGGCACAGTGTAATGCATAGGTTCTCAAAGTGCTCCGTACGGAGCCCCAGGGCTCCGCGAGAGAAACCCAGGGGCTCCGCGACCTATTCGATTACTCTTCAAAATACTGACTCAAAATTTTGTAACTGTTCTAAGAAGCAATAACAGCTTTGATAAAATTTGACAACAATATAGCCTCAAAATATGGTTAAGAGGCGGAATTAAAAAATGACATTATTTATAAGCAGGAGCGCAGCCAGGATTCTTAGGAGGGAGGTGGTTCAAAATTGGAATCGGAAATTTCCGCGCAACATTCTTCGCGATTAAAAAAACGGATAACGAGATTTCTGTTGCGTAAAATATTCAATCCATGACCGATGCGAGCATTTAACCCGTCTCGTCGTTATAATGTAATTGTGCTCATCGTTACTCACGTTTGATTCTTGATTACTATTAGGATTACTGAAATGAAAGAATACTATTCTAAAATATGTGATAAACTGCCAACTATAAATAAATTGGAGTCGTATTTTTGCGATCTTGGGATTTGTCAAACTTGATTTGGGCTTTCGCACTTTTAAGATTATTTTTAAGCAGGATATCGCCGTTTAAAAAATCACAATGTCGGGGCAAAATACGAACAATTGAAATTTATTTTATTGCATTCGGCTCCGTCGGTAGTTTCAGAATGAAAAAAGGTACATCACGGATCGCGCGCACAATTGATTTCGTGCGGCTCCGACGGTAGTTTCAGAATGGGAAAAAAAGGTACATCGCGCGCACAATTGACAAATTTTGTGATTTTCAATGTCTATAAAAGCGTTTTCAATCTGAGGTGAGTCTGCTGAAATCAAACGTGTGATCTTCCATTTTAAGTTTCAGTTTTAATATTTTAGAATGCCGTTTTTCAATCAAGAAATTTGAGTTGCGGATATACCTCTTTATTAATTATTATTTTTATCATTTCGTCGCCGATGACTATAATATGGTAACATGTTTTTCACATTGAACTCATAATTCCCCACGAGAACAAAAAAGCAATTAACGTCGTCATTGTGTAACAATACATGTATATGCCGAGGGAAATTTTTGATTTAGGGAGAATAAACACCGGCTAATAATGTTTAAAACACGCCATGTTGATCGAAAAAAATCGGCGATTGTAACAAAATGAAATCGCGCCCGTTATTAGCGGCCTTTTAAGTCTTCCAAAAATGTCCAAAGAGAAAAGATTTGACCTCTAATTTATTAATATGTTCGGCAAGTGTCAAATTTACAGCTTTAGAATAAAATTTAGATTTAAATATGGCTTGTGTTAACCCTTTTAAAAAAGGTTCAGCATTTAAAATAAGTAAAGTACTTTCAACTTGCTCAGGAATATTAATCTGAAAGTAACAATTTTAACATTTATTTTGGGGCTCCGCGAATAATATTCAACTCTTCAAGGGCTCCGCAACACCAAAAGTTTGAGAACCCCTGGTGTAATGTATGAAGCTCAGATGATCTGAGCTGTCGAGGGATAACGAATCTTTTGTTATCTAAAACAATGATCTTGTTGTCGAAACAAGATAGTCTGTTACGTAGTTCCCAATAGGAGCGAACCTCTGGTGAAGTGGCACTTCTTGTGGATGGGAATCCAGAAGAAATAGTTTCATGTAACAGCTGATTTGATTTGTCAGCTTGACAAGCGTTTTGAAGCCTATCGATAGTTATTGCTCGATCCGTAAGAGGTCCATTCTCGTTTTCAATGTAACAATTTAAGGCTTGTATTGTCTCGTGCATGAGAGACCAAGTGGTGTCGTCCTCTAGTTCAGCAGCAAAGAGGTCTTCATCAGTTGGATTAGAGGCAGAAAGTACTGGATTTCTTGAAAGGGCATCTGGTCCTCTGTGCCATTTTCCACAACAGTGGTGTATGGAGAAATCGTATTGAGAAACTTTTGATCTGAATCTCAGCACGCGTGGGTTGCTGATGTCAGATAGTTGTCGGTTGCTGAACAATGGGATGAGGGTTTGTGATCGGTTACTACAATGAGATCTTTGCAGCCGAGGATGAAAGACTTGGCATGGTCTAAGCTCCAAGCATCCGCAAGCGCTTCGCCTTCGATGGGTGCATAGTTTCTTTCAGCATGTGAAGTGTGCCGAGAGCCGGCGTATACGAGATGCCAACCATCAGGGCAACAATTTGGGGCTTCATTTGTACCGCAGGTACAATATTTCTGTAGAAGTAGGTAGCCAATGCCGTCCTTGCTCCAGTCGCATTGAATCAAAGATGGTCGATGAAGGTCAAATGATTTGATCCCTTCTTCACATAGGGTGATAAGTTTCGCTTTCGATTTCTCAAATATAGATTGAAGAGTGTCGTCGCGAAATGGGAGCATAATGGGGGAGATGGCGTAATCCCATGATATTTGGTTTACCAAGCCGTGCCAACTTCGAGCGTCGTGAATGTTTGTCGGAGGTGGAAAGTTTATTATGGAGTCAAGAAGCGCTGGGGCAGGTGCAATCCCAGCAGGGGTAATTTTAAGGCCAGCAAATATGATGGTATCCTGACAGAATTTGAATTTATCAGGATTGAACACTATCCCCTTTTGAACGCTTAGTGTGAGAAAATCCCAAACTTGATAGAAGGATGATTGAATGTCACTCTCATATAGGCATAGGTCATCCACTACATGCTGTACTTTTTCAATGTTTGACTCTTCTAGAATAAGATCAAGGTTGCGATTGAAAATATCTCCTGCAGATTTAAAACCTTGAATAAGGCGTGTGTTCATAAATCTTCCCCATGGTGTGATGAACGTTGTCAGTGGTTGACTTTCCTCATCTAGTGGAACGCTATGATAGCCATCAGTGATGTCCAAAATAGACTTTTTCGTGTTGGGGGGAATTTTGCAGGCAGCTTTGAATGGAGATGGATTATAGTGAGCTTCTCGTATGCACTGGGCGTTCAATTTCTGTAAATCAATAGTTCGCCGGATAGATCCATTTTTCTTCAAGAGTGTGACCATGGGTGAGCACCATGGTGTGATCATGCCTAGAGGTACGGGCTTTACTATGCCTTTTTCGACATCGTCCAGTAGTTTTTGCTTTGCTGGTTTCTCCATATGTATGGGTATTGGAATCGGTGTGTGGCGTGCATATGGGATAGCCTTCGGTTTGAGGTAGATGTGTGAAGGTGGTCCCTGCATTGTGGGGAATGGTGGAGATCGGTCAAAGGCAGAAGCCTTGAAACTATCCAAAATGTACTGTTTTAGTCTAGTTATGTTGTCCTCAGTTGGAGGAAAAGGAATAGACATAGGTCTGGTCGGTAGTGATTGAACCCGTTGATTTGTGATTGAGGGTTTTGTGGGAGACCTTGTGCTCGTAAGAGAGTTTATTGAGCTGGCATTAGGTGATGGCAGTGGAAAACTCTTCGGTAGGATGTCCAATGCTATACATGCATCTTTACTTAAATATAGATGGCGTAGCTTTATCCCAGGTTCAGTAAAGTATAGTTGTTGTTTTGTTTGTTTACCATATCCAATAATATTTATGTTTACGTTGGCATAGCAGTAAGCTTTGATAGTACTACCTCCTACAATGCGAATGCTTTTGTTACATTTTTGTAGAACTCTCTTCGATATGTGCAAATATGAAATATATGGATGTTCAGCGACACATATTGATGCTCCACTGTCCGGTAGTGCTGTCACAGGTTTGGAGCAGATGCTGTTTGCTGTAGACGAAGTATGAGAGATCTGAATTTTGATTTCAGCTAATGAGGAGTGTGGATCTCCAACGTTATAAAGTGAAATTACGCTCAGATTTGCTTTTTCATCCACAGAATCTGAGTCTGGCTGGGACTCGGATGATGTCATGGACTGTGCCTGTATTTCATTGCTTTTTGCGGAGAAGCATACTTTCTTGTAATGATTATCCTTTCGACAGTGAGAACAAGTTTTTCCCTATGCTGGGCATCGATTCTTCCTGTCCATTTCTGTGGATCCATGATTAAGACTGCCACATCCCCTACATGTAATACGTCCTGAAGATGGCTTCTTACTAGGGCTTCTCTTTTGACGTTGTCTTTGTGAGGCAAAGTGTGATACAGAATATGATTGTGTGTGGCTGTGTATTGTTTCTTGATTTCGAATAGCCGATTCGTAAGCGGTGGCATACTTAACAACTTCTTCTAAGGTAATGAGGGCCTTTTTGTCTGCGCATTTGGACAGTATGTCAGCCTGAAGGGTTGTGTTGCAGATGCCCTTGATGAGCTGATCCCGAACGTGCCAGTCGGTTTGATCAAACTTGCATGCTTCGCTTGGGCATATGTATTCACAGTCGTGTGCCACAGAAAGCAGTCTGGCTACAAACTGTGCGACTGTTTCCCCGGTATGTTGCTGCATGTCCATGAATTTTGTTCTGTGCGTAAGAGGATTTAGTTCTAGTGTGACAATGTTCCTGATTTTAGATAGGAATTCCCTTTCGGTTAAGTCTATGAACTTGCATGTGGTTGAAGGTTCTTGTTGTGCACACGGATAAAGCAGTGCAAAAATCAGAACTAGACATTCTAGTTGAGAATTCAGGTAACTTTACGGGCAGCTTTAGTTTGGTGGGCTGAGAAGAGTTGGATATGTTTTGCTGAGAATGATTCAATATTTTAATTTGATGTGCTAAGATAGTTATACCCAAATCACTTTTAAGAGTATTTTTGTCCAGCTGTGGTAATTCAGTCTTAGTGAGCTCATTAGCATGAAATGTATTTCCATATTCATCGGATCTCTCATCGGGGATGCCGAGAGATTTGAAAAAAGTACTCCAGCTGGTAGCATCTGTTAGTCGCAGCGCCATGTTGGGAAGTCTGATGAACAGATTCTTTACAGATTACCAACTTGAGTGTCTTTGTATAAATCCAATGTTTGTGAATGAAGCATAACAGATTTAACCTAATGTAAGTCTAACTGTTAACAAAGATCTTAATAAAACCAAATACTCCAATCAGTTAAATAGAAAATAACACACACATGATACAGGTAGAAAGAAATGGCATAGAAACAGGATGGCAGAAATGGCATATCCCAATAGTGTGGAATTTTATTCAGCTTTTACGACGGTGTTGCGAGGGCGGCATTTCGCGCAAAGATCCAGGGGAGCCGCATCACGCCACTGTATGCAACACACGAGGTACCGAATGAGTACAGGCAATAAAGCCAGCGCTTGATTTGAATTTACAATGACGAATGTGCATGTTGGCTGAACATGTGCTAAATTGCGTTCAATTAAACTAAACGTTAAACTAGCGCAGAAAAAGACTTCAAGAGTGTAATCGCAAAGCCTTCGAGGCGACTCACGTATGCTTGTATCATTCTATGTGTTACGTTAGGTTGGCAAGAAAACACGAAATCGCTATTTGGATTAGCGCGACTGCTAGGGAGTGGCATTTAATAGTCTGCAAATATTTGTCGCAGCATCGAGTGTAGTTTGAAAATGAACTTCGCCCCATGGGATCTAAGATTAATCGTTAACGATTGTTTTGTTTTTGCAATGACGAATTGGCAATGACATCTAGGAGAGCCTTACCCTGGAGCAGAACAAAAAATATGTAATCGCAAATTATTCGAAACAACTCACCCTCCCACACACGTGATGGCACTATTGTATAGAACTGAGTGACTGACTAACCCTATTCATGGATCAGCACGTTTCGCCATGAACTACCAGTCGGGCAAAAAATGCTCAGAGCTTCACGCCACGGTACGTATCGATAAAGTCGGCGGGAAGTGGCAATTTTTATTCGGAAACGAAAGTCAGTCACGATTCGGGACGCTTAGGTCCTCTGACAAAGTCGCCTTACAAGTATATGTCTTTAACTGACCAACGGCGATAGCATTTAACAACATTACATCATCGTAATGTATTGTAATGCGTTTAATGCGTATGTAATGCGTGTAAAAAATATATGAGGAAACATATAAGTCAAGTCTGGTCACTGAAACCAGATTGAATACGAAAAGAATCGGCACTTTCTGCCTGTATTAAAGTACGTTATCTTTCACTACTACTTTTACCTGTGTTGATTTTCTCTGTTGCTTCAATGTACCTTGTCGCCGTTAATATTGTATTACTTACAAAACTTCTCCCGTTATATTTCGCAATACATTATAAAAATGCTTTTATATTTCAACGTAGCTTATCTAGTGCATCTTTTACAACAATTGGCTCAACGAGAGAGAGAAAATTAAACAATATTTTTATGAAATTTTGAAGTTTTGGTAAATTTTTTCCAAACGGGAGTCAGTTTTTTTTTTTCATAATTTGGAGTAGGTCGCACCGTTTTACTGACTGCTTAGTGTCACGGACTAAAGTGTCATTGTTTATATTGTGTGTATATGTAAATTTTATGGTCATACACAGTTATGTTGACTCTTGTTTAATGCTGATTTTTCGGATCTGGACTCCGACCACTCACTACACGTGGAGTCGAAATAAACTTACACTATATTTGAACGTGGGTTCGGGCTACGTCACGTTGCAGTCGACTGATTCTGTCTGGATTCACAATATTTTGATGTTACCGTTGTATTCGCCTGATACTTATTATGGACGCAGGTTCATCCAATGAATAATATATATATATACTGTAATACGTAACCATTAAATACTACGGATACTACTAATATCGTAACATACAAGGATATATGATGATTTCTAAACACTATAAAAAGGTCACGACATGATCACGCTTTCTCCTCGTGACAAATATCGACCTGGTGGTTCCTCTGGTTAAATATTAGAGACGAGGTAATATAACAATATAAATTTGTATTACATTTCTTCATTCATTATCTGTCGAGCAACTGACGGATCGACAACGTTTTGCGTTGTGTTCTACTTTCGTTTGTGCAGTGTTTACCAAAGAACTAGGGTGTGTATAACGCTAATTGTTATCACAGATTGTCGTAGTATGCGCTGAAATTTATTTCTTCTCACTATCAGAAGATATCTTTAGCTAAATCTGAATTTTATATCATTTTCTGTGGCCTAAATAGCAAACCCAAAATATCCGACAAAGTAAATTGAGAAATTTGTAAATATTTTCCTTATTTGGCAATATTTTTTTCTGATTTAAGAAATCTAGAAATACTATTTATATATATATATACAAGGTGGCCCAAAAGTAGGTATACACTTATTAAACTATTTTATATGCTTTGAAGCTACTTGCAGTTCACTTTATGTTACTTGTTAAGTACCACAAAAATTGCTTATTTTTTTAGATAATAAATCTTATATACATACGTATAAAAAATTATAAGACGCAAGAAAAATCGAAAACTAAAGAAAAAGTGATAATGTCAGGTTAGTATGATAAGATTATGTATTAGCAGTAAATAAATAGCATATATTATATTGTTCTCTACATATTGTTATGAAGTCAGTTCTCAGTATATCTAAAACAGATTTGTTGATTTTTAATCAGTAATTGTTCAAGTATTTTCACTTCATTCAATACATCTGTAAAGCTAAAACAATATATGGTATCGATAAATTTGCAATTTTAAATAAATTTAATTACTCGCATTATATTTAGTTCTGTATGGCTAAGATACGTTTTGGCCAATTTCGGACGTTCTTGACTAGGCGTTGCTACCCGCGCATGTTGGGGCGCGGAGATATGTTTTTATCAATACGCGAGTCTCAATGACAGTTGTTGAATATTTATTTGATGGAAACGTGAAATATTTCGTTATTTGATTGTTATTATTCTCTTAATATTCACGCCACTTTTTACGGCCCTAAAAGTTATGCTTTAAATTCAGCCTATTTGTTTGTTTTGTATGTCTCTCTCGATTCGTTGTCGTACGTACGTTCCATTTTAAAACGAGTGGATCGTATTGTTTTGTTTGGTTGAAATTTTCGTTCACCTCTTTTTTCATTAAATAATCTAAGCAGGCAGCTCGAAGTTGTTGAATATTGCTTTAAAATCGTTTTTTGCAACTATTGGACCAATCAATTTCAAAATTCAAATCCTTGATGACTGAGGAAGGCACTCAAAGGCTTTGAATTTTGTTTTAAAATCCCCTGTGATTCCAACAGAATCCAAAATTTCGCTATTTTATTTGAAGTCGTGAAAAACCTTTTTATTACAATGGGAACGCTACACCGTTTAGCTTGTACGCCGATTTATTAAGTCAGTGTTTAGTCAAGCTCTACCGTTACCGTTACATCTGTGGATATGTGTTTAGACTTTGCTTCATGTTTATTATATCAAATACTTCACAATTGCTCTGTTTTTGTCCATGAAATTGACAAATTGCCATAAAATTTGGATACATTGTTTGTCATGTCCTATTCCAAATCATTATTTTAAAATTTTCACAGAAGAGACTTCAAATCCGACGGACGATGACGACGATCTTGGGTTAAGAGAAGCCGTGACAACGGTTATAGATGATAACGTGGGCGAAGCAGGTAAATGATCAACAAAAACTTTGGTTGCTTAACCTCTTGAACCCTGCTGGCCGGTTTACCGGCCAGCCCGAGTTTGCTCTCTCACCCTGCTGGCCGGTTTACCGGCCAGCTTATCGCGTGAAAATCAATCAACTTTATTCCCTCATATCTCAAGAACCACAAAAGATATTTAAGTAAGTCTTATACTGTATGATAGCTGGTCATTAGAACTATCTACACTTCAAATATTGCTGCTATATTTTACAATTATCTGGGGATAATTGGCAAAAAAAGGATGTATAAATTTATTTGATGAAAACAAAAATTAAATGTCAAAAATTGACTTTTTTTTGCCTAAATAACCTAATATACAATTGACAATATATCTAGAGAATTTAAATAGCTTTTTAAAGACGTATCCAAAACGATTTTACGATAAGCCATTCAAATTTCATGGCCAAATATGTTTGATTTTCTGTAGATTTAACAGCGACGCTGCGTCAAAATGACGTTCTCATTGAAGCGAGGCTACGTCTCGTCACGCACGTCTTTACGTATATTACGGAAATGCAACAAAGCGTGACGATGTCCGCAACTACGTTACGTCGAGATGTTATTATTTAAATGTCCGCAGAAAGTAATCAATTAACCCGATTTTACGCATTCAAAATTCGCACTACGCGTTGACTGCCCGCTCAAGCCCTTATTAAGTATGTTCTTACAATATTGAATAGCGTGTAATTGCTCTCTTGATAATTTTGAGATAAATTGAACATATATAATAAGTATTGTATTAAATGGATCACTGCAACAGAACTCCACCTTTTATGACGTTGCACACAACGCTTTCAGCGTCACATCGATGATATATACACACAGCGCTACCAGCACATTCAAGGAATTACAATCGTCTCCGTTCGGCCATTTTGTATGTGCTGTATTTAAAATAAAGCTTTTGTATTCTTGGCGCCCTCCAAACGTCCTTGTATACGTCACAGATATCGTCATGAAAACATCACGAGGAAAATGTTATTTGACACTATTATTTATTAACCAATAGACAAAGGCCGCATCATAGACCGATCCAGCATCAGCAGTGATACAAGCGTATTCTTGAGTATTTTGAGTAACCATCCCCTAACATGCCTGTTTGAGTTTCACAATGTTATGAGAAGTGTGTACAGCTGGAAAAATATTGTTTGTTCGGGATTCCAGCATTTATTGTATGTGAAGACATATCTTTCGTAAAATTACTTTCCTTGTTGACTGATATCTGTTGTTGAGTGTTAGTGATGATTATTTGATGTAGTTATCGCCATCGATGTTCTTTTATACTTTTATACTATGTTTTCGCGGTGTTGTTGACACAACAATGTAGCGTTGTATAATTGTCCCCAAGTGAACAAAATCAAGGCTGTTATTGAATAGAAACTCGAAATGAGTTGCTCTTCACACGATATAAACGAAGGTTATACCTTCCTAAATCTACCTCTGCAATTAAATATTTGAAATCTTAAAATATCAATAAAATATTTTGCATATATACATATAAATAAGTTTCTGCATTAGTAAGGTTCCTTTCAATTTTTTACATAATTACTTATTTCGTGATCTTCATTTTTAAAGGTTATCGCTGTGTCCATATTCCACCTGGAGATACCAGCGAGGAAGTATATAGGCTTGCAACATTTGCAAAATATCCACCTAATAGTACGGTAAAAGTATGGGATTTAGCAACGGCGGGATGTTACTACACTGGGTACAAGGACCGTACTAGATGCTTCGGGTATGTTTGCTGATTTTTTGCTAAGTCAAAGAAATTTCCAAGTTTGGTGTTTATATTACATTATATTTAAAAATAAACAACGTACACCTATTCACATTCATCGCTTTTCGTAACTGAGCAAAACGATTTTATGAAAAAAAAAACGAAAATTATTTATTAAATAAATTAGGTACAAAAAGTTACAATCTTGCAAATTTTTCAAATCGACTAAGAAAATATAAAAACCTGAAACTCTATTTAATCGCAAACCTGAGGTTTGTTTCAAAGTTTATTCAGATAATGAAGTCTTTTTTGTCTACGTGAAGCATTATATTCGGAAAATAGTAACTAGAAATAGTTGTTCGCAAACCTTGGCTGTTTTATTCGAATATCATGTCCAGGTACGACTTCGTACGCAGAGATTCCCAATCTTTAATTAATCACTGTGTACCCCTTCTATTCAAAGTTGTACGAACCCCCAAGTGTTTATTGGAAATATATCAAGTAAATCACTCGGTTCTTAATAGTACTAAGTATTACTATACGCTGTCATCCGCTAGGGGTCTAGCTGGACAACGTTGGGAATCCCTGACTTAGGATTTTATATTTGATACATGATCACGTAAATCGAACTATTGTTTATGGCAAGTTTCAAACGTTTGTTTGGAACGAAAGTCTAATTAAGCGGCTCCTAATATACACGAAATGAAGCAATGCAATTTACAATGCTCCTGCAATACGGATAGTTAGTTTCGTTTATTTTCAACCCGGTTTGATTATTTTTTATATTTCAGCTGTGGTATTGGAACAGAAAATTGGCAAATAGAAGACTCTGTCTTCGACAAGAAATGGCACAAGGAAGACTGCGAGATGGTAACTGGCCACGCCTCTAGAAATATACCTATACCCACGCCGAATTTCTATTCTCTTAAACGGACTTTCTTGAGTAGTTTGGAAAATACGAGGAAACCTGACCAGGTGAGAAAAGCCTTTTGGTAAACCATGGGTGTGCAACATTTTATATTTTTCTTTATCGGCGGGCCATATAACCAACTTTCGGTATCTAGAAAAAATTTAGCGTTAAACGCAAGAGAAGAGAACGCGGTTATCTGTTTGCTTTACACTTTACAGTAATAAAAGCATCGGACAAAACGGAGAGAGATTTAAAGCAGTGAAATAGCAGAAGTCATTATGTATTTGATTCACGTGAGCGACTTTTCAAAAAAAATGTCAAATTAGGATTTTATGCTTGATAAGGAAAAAAATGAGTGTACAAGGGTCACACTGAATGGCTTGGCGGGCCCGGCTGTGGCCCGCGAACCCCCTGTTGCACACCCCTAGAATGAACGGTACTGTCGAACGGTTGATTTGATAATCTATTCTAGGATACTTGGTGCATTACGTGGAGATGGTATTTTTGACAACGCATTTATATAATATTATATTTTAGGTGACCGAAAGAAAAGGTAAAGAAGCTGTTAAGGAAGAAAGCAAAGAGAGAAACGGCGAAATTGCGAACACCAATGAAGAGAGAAAATTGGCAGAAAGACTTTACAATCGAGCATCTACAAAGGAGAAGGATTCGCCAAAAGGTTTGTCATTTTACTACTTTGTGTACACAGCTACCGTATACTAATTTGTCGCCGGTGGGCACTCACTCAAATGTTAAGAAAAAGTTATTATGTTTGAGAGCTTTGAAGTGTCAAGCTAATAGAATTATAGTGGTACATTACGCCTTAGTGAGTACCAAGTATAACAACTGACGTCCACGTCAATACGATCACGGAAAATGCTTTTCGAATTTTGAATAATTTTTTGAACGTTTTTGAATGTTAAATTAATGAAAACCCTTTACCATAGTATTTTTAACAATTTTTTCGTCATTATTTCAGGATCTATTATGGATAAGTTGTGCAAAAATTGCGAGAGAAATCGAGCTAATGCTGTTACGTTACCATGTGGTCATATCGACTTGTGTGACGACTGTGCAGCTGAGAGTGGCATCTGCAAATTTAGAATTTAGGGTTAACTGGTCAAATAGATTGCATAATGAAAACTATCGTCGGAATTAACTTAGTTTAAAGTTTTAATCAATATATGATTTATTATTAATTATGTCTCACGCTACGTTAGATTTCTAAAATTTCATTGAAAATGTTTCGCGTATTTGCGTAGCATGTTGATAGGTTTCTTTGAAATTTTAGATGCGTAGTCGTGAGACAAACAGGATGGGAAGGAGATGGCAACCTCCACGTGGTCTTCCTGGATAATACTAATGTCATCGTGTATCTTCTATCTCGCGATAGATGATACTTTGTATTATAGAATAGCTGTAGCATTACGTTTTAGAAAAACTCGATAGAATATTTTTTCATATTCACTCTTTCAATGTATTGCGATTTCAATTACGCTGTCTTGGAAGTTATGTCATTTAATAAAAGATGTCTCAGTATGAACTGTGTTTCTCTAGTCATTGTATGGAGGGTTGGGCATGTTCAGAAAGGCAAATCCAATTAGAATACGAATTGCAAGTTTATAATAGGATATGTTGATGACTATTGCAAGTTCGGGCGCATAGAATCAACAAGAGACGATTATGGTTAAATATAAGGGTTTATTCGCCGCTTGAATGACCTCTTCTGTAAAGGGCTATTGACCTATCATCTATATCTGGCATGCCAAATCTTTTTTGTCTCGCGGGCCACATTCACATGACGAAATTCGTTGTTGGCCGCAAGTGTTTGTACCAAATTTCAATACTAGCTAAGTCCTGATTTCGGTATAATTTACATAATTCATAGATGGCAAGTTTAAAACATGAAATCAATCACATTATTAATTATTTACTGGTTACTGAGTAAAGCCAGCAAAATATTCGAATATTAGAATAGCAATTTGCTGGTTTTAGTATTGAGTTTTTTATATTTCTGATGGTAAAGATAGATTTCATATTGTTAAATGTATCTTTTGAAAAAGCGATTATCTTCCAGATTTCAGTCTTGCATCGGGCGTCGGGAGTTATTGTGAATCCCTGGTATTTAAAAGTGGTAACTCATTTTATTCTCTCATTTTTGCATAATGTGTTACAACAGGCATGCCTGGTTGATTTGAGATAACCATGCACTCAGTCTTCTTTGCATTCAGTCTTCTTTGCATTCAGAGTCCTTCGTTTTCGACTTTCGGTTGTGACTGCTCTAAGCATATTTTGTAGATTTTCCTCCGAGTCGGCAATTAGCACTGTGTCATCCGCGTATCTAAAATTGTTTAGGTTGTGACCACCTACTTTGACACCTTCATGCTGCTCTATGTTCCGTATATTCATTTTGCTGTAGATATTGAAGAGGTCTGGAGAAAAACGCGGCCCTTTCTCACTACTCTACAAATCGGTCTGTACTCATTGTAGTCATTATCAATTCTTATTACAGCTTCTGGCGAGAATAATCACAGCAAAATCACGCAAAATACTCGAGCCTATATAAATAACATGGTACAAATTTAAAAAGTCAGCTCGCAAACTTGATAGGGCGGGCCGTGGGTTGGGCAGCCTTGATTTATACAACAGGTTTCCAAAATTGATTGACCGAAAAGCGAAGTGATATTTGCAAGGCAGGAGCCAGGATCCCAAACAAGGGGACGATACCTGTACGTATAATAAAGGTAAGGGTATAATTGAATTGTTTCTTTTCCACCTTAGTTTGGCGGGCCATATTGAATCGATACGCGGGACGTAATTACCACGCGGGCGGCGGTTTTTGAACCGATCTCTGTGTTTATTTACTATATGTCTTAGAGTGCAACTCGCTATTAATACCAACTTCTGCGATCCTAAACTTTTATTATTAATTTGTCGAATTCAAGCAAATAATTTCAGTGAATTCAAAGGAAATCTATTGGATGTACATGTCGAAAAACGGACAAACTCTTGAGTAGTTTTGTGGTTTTGATCCAAAAATATTGTGATAGATACATGATAAGGTTGCATGGAAGGGTAAATTTATTTAACAGAATTTCTCGTATTAGGGTTAGGCAATAATTTTATTCCGATTTATTCCTTATTTTAGTTCTGTTACGAGTAACGCCTACTCAGATCTTGGAAATAATAGATATTGACGAAACGCACAAAATTTCTACCACAGAAGCGTTGGTTCTCATAAGCCTTTTAGTTATGTTTAAAATTTTGCTTTCACGTCGACATAAAAACAAGCTTCCTATTTTGTCTCAGCAGCATTGCAAGCTGCACAATGCACAGCACTTGTTATTTCATGAATATAATCTACCAAAAATCAACTCTTAATCAAATTCTCATGAGTTTGTTATGTTGCTGAAATATATATATCTCACTACCCCCTGTCATTAAATTCCAGATTCAGTATATGCATTTAATTACAAATTAATACCATATTACTCGAATTGCCTTTTCGCAAATGTAATAAAAAAAATACAATAGCTAACTAAAATGAATAAGTATCACAGTGTCAGTACTTGACGAGTCTGGTTTGATAAAACATAGTATGATTAGAAGCAAAATGCTTGGCATGCATTGAATTACGAAGCATATATCAATATCTTTCAGCGATAGACATTAATTAATTATTAATTGCTTATATATCGACGCATTTAACACAATCAATCAATTGTATATTCTCGAATGAGGTGTTATATCTGGGTTGGACAACCTTCGATGCTATTCGATATTTCCAACCTGCAATGCCAAACCTAGTTTGAGCAAAGCGCTTTTTACTATACCACACGCTCTCACATCATCTACCGATTACATTCTCATAACTTTATGCTCGATACGTTTTAAGTATGTCTGTTACACGTCTGTGACATATGAAACAATTTTCTGATTTCTTTGCGCACTCTTCACACGAACACAGATGACCGCACGGTAGCATGACAATTTCAGCATTCCTCGTCTTGCACTTTCGACAAAGATTTTGTTTCTTGATTTCCAGCAAATTCTTTGCAATGTCCTCACCTGAAAATTAAAATATTATATATTTCATTTATTTGAAAATAAGATGATACAAATATGTTATTAAAGTGAGATGTTTAATATTATTATTATATATCATCAGCATTTCTTGTTAAAAAACTTTGGGACAAATATCATTCAAATATAATGCAAAATACGTCGAACTAATGCACATAAAGTAAACACACACACACACACACACACAAAACCCCCCTAATTTATTAATTCGAAAAGTCGTTTTTGTTGTCAAAGTATTTGAACAATTGTTTGGGTTTGGCAAATTGATCAGTTTGGAAAAAATTGTCGAGATATTTTAGAGGAGAAAACAAAAAAAACATTTATACTTATTTTATTTATCCCAATTATGGGGTATATTGGTTGCCTGAAGAATGCCTTATATCCAATGATAGGATAGGTTGGGTTACGTACACTGCAGTTGGCGACTAGAGTTATATTTAGTGTTTTTAAAGTTATGTTTTAGATTTATGGATAACGTTTCATACTAATGCAGCTTATGTATGTACATATATTTTCTGTAACGAGGGATTCCGTTCAATACCCCTATGTAAATACATGTATAGTAACATCAGAAAAAAACATTATGTACCTGGAAGTAAAGATGCACTCGCTTCATTTGTAGACGAAACAGTATTTGGTTCAATTGGAACACCCTGCTTCGCATGAATAACTGGTTGACCGCTTGCTGTTCCGACGTTTGACATCGCTCCACATCTCATTGGTGGAATATCATAGGAAACAGCATTTCTAATCGTAGGTCTGTTTAAGTTTGGATCTTGTTCAGCTATTCGACGTACAAACTCATGTCCTTTCTTTTTCAGGACGAATTCACATCTGAAAAATTGACCATTTTAAATTTTTCGTTCATTGCTATTAAACGATTAACATAAATTAGCAGCATAGTTATGTAGTTCTCACTTTTTTGGTGTAATTAAATCTAACGATTTTACCAAAAAAATAACTTGTTTGACAAATCTAAATTCTTGTATTGACTATTAAAATAATATTAAATTCAATTACTGTTTTTTACGGACCACGAGACGCAATTTAAATCCATTTTTTCTCAAAAATCGATCGTGCTCCTTATAAACCAAAGCGACTAATGTATGGCTCCGGTGGCGCTTCATTGCCTACACTAAAACCAGTACACGTATTGGTTTGAACCGTTGGTCTTATATTGTATACAAATAAAAACCCAACATATAAGCAATTTATGGATTCATAATACGGTATTATTCAATAATTTATTATTATTAATCATTATTCATTATATCTTACCCTGGAAACCACCTTGCATGTTCAGTAAATGGCTCGTCGTTTTCTTCCCAGTTTTGCAGACCACCGTTGCAATAAAAACATTTCGTTCTGTCTTTGTCCCCTAGTAAAAACATAAAATACATATTGAAATTTTTGTTCCAACACCACCTACAATTGAAAAAAAAACTATTTATGTTGTATTTGGTAAAATCAAAATCTAGAACTTTTTTGAAAAACATACAATAATAATTTTTCCTAAATTTGAGGTATTTACATGAGTAACATAAAATTGTACTCTCACGAATTTCAAGTTTTTAATAATTTTTCAAACATTTTTAACGAACGTATGCCCAAGCAAATCTGACAAAATCGTATTTCCAAAAATTTGATCATTTTTATTAACAAACCTAAGAAAAAGAATCCCGCTTTGGCTATTTGTTCAGGGGTTGCGCGAATTCTATTTGGCCAATTTTGATCAAATGTAGAAAGTCTGAACTGGTATTCTCTCATGTGAGGGTTCGCAGGATGGCGACATGGAAAATGCTCGGCCAAGTATCTTTGCTCCTCCTCGGATGGGTCTGGCGGTTCAACAGGGTTAGATGGAGCAAGTTGAGCGATTCTTCTCTGGTCGGCTTCATCGGCATCCCGTCTCTCTTGATCTGTCATTGGTATGTTGCCAGATGGTACTTGTCGAACCATTCTAAATTACGAAACATTGTAAATGAATTGTTGTATCGATATTGTGAAACTAGTATAAAGTAGCAATTACTAATGAGGAGTTTTGAAGATTTGCTGCGACCTGGCATTATACAAGCACCAAATTCCATTCTGAATTTCAAAAAAAATGGATGAATTAGTGTATCGATATGTAAAAAAATAGATAAAGCAACAAGTTCGAATGAGGATTTGGAGGATCTAATGAGATTTCTAGGCAGTATCTATCGACTTATACGAATTGTACTACATACCTCAAAATCGGAAACTCTTGCGCAGTTATAGATTTATAATCACCAGGCCATGAAACAGATAAATTTGAAAAACTACTCTACTAAACATTCATCCATTGTGCCTCTGCTTACCTGCATTCTGGGAAATGTTTTCTGTGTTGTTCAGAAACGTCATCAGTTTGAGACCAGTTACGCAATACACCGGAACATGAAAAACATTGAGCCCGGTCTAAATTACCCAAGTAAAACAATCCTTGCTTGGCTAACTCACTTGGTAATAAAGGCGCGGGATATGTCGGCCATTTCGCGAAGGTTTGCCTGTTAAATAAAAAAAGTTTTGTGAATATCTAATGTGAATTGGCTCAACTAATTATAAACATATTATCATCAATTTTTTACAAACTAAATACAAAAAATGCAATAGTATCAACACATAAATGTAGCTTATTAGTTATAACCTCAATTCCACAACTTCAGAAAAGTTTATTATTGAAAAGAATATTGTTCTTTCATTCACGTTGAATGCGAATTGTAGGCAGTTTTTGGAAAACACTAAATATTCGAATATTAATATTGATATTTTTGAAAAATTATACATATTCAAGGTCATATTATTCTCTAGTCTAGAACGCGACAGACATTTAAAACGCGTCATGGATAATTAAAAAAAAATAATATCATACGTTTATCTGAAAATGTATAGTTAAAATCGTCGAAACAAATATAAAATACCACTTAGGTACCATACCTTCGTTCTGCTTCGCATTTCAAATTTATTCTCATTATGAACTCTTTATGTTCCGGCGCAACAATATTGGCCAAAATGAGTGACTGAAAAAAAGATGGATAGTTAAAACCTAGAACATATTTTTACTTATAATTGATTGAAGTAGAACATGGATGATTAAATGTTCGAAGTAAATATATTTCTCTAGCAGGCGATAGCGTTATTCACTCTTTAAAAACACACGTCATTGTATACTTAAACTTACTCAAAAAATTAAATTAAATGAGGTATAAATTCTTATCAATTAATCAACAATTTTACTTACGGGGTAATGTCCACCAACTTCGATTCCTCTAAAATTCGAGGTTACATCCGTAATGTCGTTATTTGAAGACGATGCTGAAAAACGAAATTAAATTTTACAAATGGAAGAAAAATAATTAAAATATTAAAATCATAATGATGACAAAATACCGAAGAGCTGACGTTGGCTACTTTTCTAAGCTAGTTCTATTGACTAAAAATATGGGCATTGAAGATTATACATATTAACGATGGGTGTTGAAATTACACCATAGTAACCACAAAATTCTTGAATTTTTTTATGAAGTTTGCTTGTCGTATGATTAATTGGATAACAAAATTTCAATTATTAGTTTCAAGTTTTTGCAAAGAAAACATTCATGCGTGTTATATTAAAACAACCTTATTAGATCATGAGAATATAACAAGATTTAATAATTTTTATTTACAGAAACATTTATTCTACGATAAAATTACCTTGGGAATAATTTCTGTGACCCAATATACGACTATCGATTCCTTGTACAGGTTTGTGTTCGCCCAAATATTGTCGAAGTAAACTCCTGAAGTTGGGCTTTGGGATTGGAATATTGGTAGTATCGTGTCCGTACTTCATTTTGCAATCTTCTTTGTGCCATTTTTGATCGAGACCGTAATCACCCACAATCCAGTTTTCAACGCCGATTCCACAACTAAGTAAAAATGTATAAATTGAATGGCGTTTTGTTCATGTTATACAACAGCAATTGGCAAACTGAATGTAACATTAGCCAAGGATGGAGTATTGATATCTATTCCGAAATTTGTTAAAAAAAAACTGTTTTGAATTTCATCGCATTGACTAAACACTAAATGATTGCATTAACTATTGCTGTGATAAAAGCGATTATTTAATATACCAGATAATGCCTAAAAATGATGATTTTATTTGTGAAACGCCATTTACATTGTGAATAGAAGTGATTGCACCCGACGTGTGGACCCTAAAAACATGTCTTTTTAATATTTGGAAAATTTTTGACCAAGTTACACATACGATGTATAAGTTATCCAAGTCTTTTTAATTTTTCAAAACTTTTGCCTTGTAGTATTATTATTGTTATATATAACCCATATAAGCATATGCGATGCCAAAAAATAAGTAGTTAATAGTAATTACCTAAAACACTTTACACGATCTCTAAAGCCAGTGAAATAAAATCCTGCTTCGGCCAAATCTGGTGGTTTAATTGGAACGTTTAGAGGAAATTGTGCGAATGTTCCTAAACGATAGAATTCTTCATTGTGCTGACCAGAGACAATGTAGATGCAATTTTGACCTGAAAGAAATGAAAAATTTAATGAATGAACGTTTGACAATTCCCTGCAATATATACACAATGTAGGATAGCCGAAGTTACACCGGATAATTGAAAAACATTCGGATTGTGTCAGCATGACCTCTTTGATTTGCATTTAGTAATTATTATCATTGATTTCCTTTTAATATCAAAACTTGAAATTACCGCCATCAATCAAGGGTAAATCTCATATTTTAACCAAAAAAGATGAAAACCATACTACTAATAACTAAAACTAAACTACTAGTAAAATATAGTAAGTACAATGCAATATGTAAATGTAGTCTACCTGGTGCGTCTCCTATCCTTGCGTTGATAGTTCCATCCGCTTCAATCGCTGTCAGCTGCCTCTTTGATTGACGATCTGAATAAATACAACTTATAGTATATGCCATCTGAATGTATTTTTTCAAATTTTTTTTTTATTCGTATTAACCTAAATATTAAAGCTAAACAATGAATATGAGTAAACATATTGTTTTACGCAAAGGCGTCTCGAAGTAAATTCCGCAATAGACAGCGCCCGCTCGGTGTCGCTTATTCGCCACAATACATTCGACTTATTTCCTAAAACGATAAAACGAGAGAGGCGAAAAAAAGATCTTTTTTCTTTTTATGGAAGAATCTCTCGAAATGAACGCTAATTTCTATTGTTTAAGCGGAAACTAATGAATTCGATAAAAGTATCAGAAAGACTTCCGTCACAATATTAGTAACACCCGCACTTAGCAAGTTTTATTTATAAGTCTATGTTTTTATTTTTCGAGACCATTATGTCTGCGACCGCAGTCGATGACGGATCTGCCTCTTGGACCTCATGAGGTGAGTCGATAAATTTATTTTAAACTCACTTAGAGCGTTTGTTATGCGTTAGTAAATTGAACAAATATTACGAATAATTTTGAGGGATTAATATTTTTCAAACAAACAAAAACTGTGACATGTTACGATGAATGCTTGTAAAAAATTCCGCAACATCTAATTTTATAAATCTACAAAAACTGTGGACGAAATTCTCGAAATAGTTTGATTTTAATAAGCACAAACTTTTACCAAATATTCACGAAACCCGCCGTTAGGTTTAGAGTAATATTAGATTACGGTTGTTTAAAAACTTTTATGACTGCAGCATAATGTTGCGTTTTATATATCGGGATTGTTATGCCGACCAAATTCTGTTGAAAAAAAAAATAGTGTACGCCATGGCGACAAAACAGGGCTAGAACGAATTGTAAATATACTGTAACTTCGTGTTAATTATGAGCGCATTAGTTTGAATGATTTCCGCATTTATGTTTAATTTATATTCGCTCTGACGTTCATCACAAACTTCCATACGCAATGCTCTTTATATTTTTTTTTATAATGAAAACATTTAAAAATCGCTTAAGATCTAAAAAGAATCGTTTTCAGAATTTTGGATATTTAATGATCGACCAGGCGAATTCCTGATAAACGTTTTGCCTATTTAATTTGTGATGTTTTGTAAACCGGCATAAAACGCTAATGCTGCAAAAGTAATCTTATCGCTCCAAATGAGCATGACCGTGAAAATTTCTCGCACAAACGATAAAAAAACTATTTAACTTCCACTTCTGTATTATGTTTTCTTCATTTGTGTGATTATGTTATTTCATTTGTGTAACAGATACCGGTACACAATGCTCGGCATTTCTTTTTTAATCGATAAGTCTTCAAAACGAGAGAATTCACTCGCCGAGGCGAGAGCGCCATATATGGCGCGAAGAGAACCAACTGCTCAACTTACTTTTTTCATTTTGTATTTCAGATCTTCTCTCGGAGCTTCGATGGCGATCAAGTGATGTGTCCGTAGAATTGGCCCTGTGACCATTCGGTGCGAGATTCATTGTATCCTTGCAATCTTAAACAACTTATTTCACACGACGTGATGACGTTTCCAGAGTGGCCGCAAATGATCGCGACCCTCACAAAATAGTGAGATTATGAATACTTTAGTTTGCGTTTATGGCAAACTAAGAAGTACTGAACATATAGAAGTGAATAATATCAAGTAACGTCGAAACTCATAAAAAACAAAATTATTGACATAATTTTTATTCAAATAACGTCGAAAATCATAACATAGGAAAAATATTAAACACTCTTTCCCCAGCGAAACACAATCGGACAAAAGCCCGTCTGCTACAAGTCAGGAACTTATATTCCGATATATTTCTTCGCATGTTTGTTGTAACAGTAAAAGGTTCAGTTATTTCCCCCGGTATTGGTTTGGATGCGCACCACCGAAATTATTCAACATCTTCTCTCAACATTCAACTCTTACGCAAACTCAATTCGACGCTTGTTTACCGCGTTCCAAATACGTCAATCACTAAGCTGAATTGAATATGCACATAGTTAATCCGCTTTACCCTTTCCTCACATACTTTAGAATTTCAGGCCGATTTCATTCCATTGCGTGTGGTTAGCGACGTGAAAGAATTCTCTCTGCTCAAACTAATAGTATTTCTTCGAATGTCTACTTTCAATCGAGCCATTCGTTTTTTTTTCGGGCATTCTTAAATCCAATTTACCTAAAAAACTAGTATTGGATTCTATTCATTTACCATATAATAGAACTGCCTCCAATTGTGTAATACATATGAATCGCTTATTGAATATTATTTTTTACATTGGCTAATTAAAACGAAAAAATTATAAGAATTCCCTATCTAAAGCATGTAAACCAAACTGTCAACTTTTTGTCCTACGCCATTATTGCACCACTCTGTCGAAATAACCGTCAGACAGTGCTCCGTATCGAGTTTCTTTATTTATTGGTGTTCCCTTTGTTGATGCGTTGTGGCATATATCTTTCTATTTCAGAATTTTTTTCTGGGTTTAATTTTTCTTTAATATTTTAATTTTTAGAAAATGGATACCTGTCGCAAAATATAGATTTAAATTAGAGATTTTCTCTTTTATTAAACATGTCTATGGGAGGGGAGCCCTATCGAAAATGTATAACCTTGGCCAGTTTATGGGGAAACACCAGGTCTCTCGCGCGGGGCGTATCATAACTGGTTGAAACCAGTTAGGACCGGAATGCTGCAAACAAATTCTTGACAATTACTTGAAAAACAATGTCACAACGTAATACGTTAATAGCCTATGTTGAAAAACAGATTTCATACTGATTTTACATCTCTGAGGAAAACAATATATAGTATACACTATACACAATATTTATTTAGGTATATTCTTCGCAAAATCCATTATAAAAGGTAATTATGGGACGATAAATCTACCGCATCGCTTTTGTGTTCACATATTTTTCTTGTCTGTAATAAACTTAAAAAAACACACAAGTAAATTCTGTATTCATCATTCCCGTTGGCCAAGCTGAAATTTATTCACGATATTTCAAACTAGTCCTCGTACCCGTAACTCTGAACACAAAAGCTACAAATTGTATTATAAACGGATAAAATACTAGTATTACCCAAAGAACTATGCTCAAGCTCTCCAGTCTCGTACTTTCGTTAAATACCTCTCTTCGCCTATTTCGGTCTTCTTTATTCCTCACTCATTATAAATAAAACTAATTATTCAATCTTTAATGAATCATTAGGTAGTATTGTACGCGCAAGTAGCAACCACGCTTTTTACAGTTCAGGTAATTCATGTGTGCATAAATAAGCATCAGAATAGACAAATGATAAAGAATATTAGTAATTGCGCAACAACAGATACTAAACAAGATTACTCCCCAAGAAGGACAAAATTCTTGCCTGGGAGGGAATTCCCCCCAACTTGAAAACTTTTCTCCAGAGCATCATTTCATTTCTGTCTTAGACTACATTTCAACTCCCATGTTACGGGCGCTCTGTCGTCTGAATTCAAGTTTCATTTCTTACATAGCACAGAACAAATACCTGAATAGAATTTGGCTTTGTACAATTTCTCTTTGTCAAGGAACGTCATTATTTGAATTGCCATTGGCAACCTGATCACTTTTGAGTCACGTAGATTGCGTAGTTAGTTGGCCAAAAAGATCTCATATTCCAACTACCTGTCCTGTACTTGTTACGTCGTGACTAAAAAATACTATCATTTGTAATCATCACGTACTTGCATTTTAAAGCGAAATATATGTACTATATAGATAATATTTCACTTCGGAAACCCCATTTTCAATATCATTTATTTCGTAACGGGGACGTCAATATTTATTATAGGAAACCATTACGTTTCATTACATCATGATGCCAGAAAATTTTTCCCGTTTCTACTTTATTATATAAACTGGAGTATGTAATTTTGTGGGGAATGAGTTGAAATGTACCGAATCGAACAAACTAAATTGTTCATTTCGGGGAAGAACGCAGAACTATTTTTTAAATTCATGAACCTCCAAGTTCCTGTTTGACTTTTGGTGTATCTATCTATCATTCGGGAAATTTGCCAATAACCGATCGCGACGGCTGACGTATTAAAAGAGGAAGCGAGTTTTTTATTCGAGCGAGTACGTCAACAGAAATGATTTATATTAACCGATATATATCCTATCTATACCCTAGTTACCCGAAAAATAGGAATTATTATTAGAAAACGAATGACACTGACGAACCCTCTCAACCGTCGCAACTTCTTAAAAATCCTATTCAAGCATGCTTAGAAATAGGCATGTACATTGAACGTTATCGCCTCATCTTATGCCTCATGTACTTTAACCTCACGCTTCCTAACAATGAAATATATTCATATCACGCATCACGCGCGTGCTTTCAAGCGTAGGTGCATACCTAAAGTATATATATATATACGAGCCATAAAGGTGTTCGTCACCTGTATATACATATATAACTAGCTTCTAAACAATTCATACTTTGTCATGCATTTCTCATATGTGAATTTAGGACATAAGTTTATTCGTTATACCTGGTTTGCAAGTATTTAGTGAGGGTCGTATTCAGATCAAAATCATTGCAGGGTCCTGTCCGCTCGTTACATACAACTACATAGCCGAGTGTAAACATAAAATAGGCAATAAAAAATACACAATACACACAGGCATGTGTAATTTTGAATAACACTCAGGGTACGCGTAGCCAGTAGTACAGAACTGTAATGCCAACTTTCCAAAAGAAACTTAAATAGTTCTTCTTCAAAAACAAATATTTCCTACTGTGCATTAATGCTGCATTCGATATCTTAACAAATGATATATCGTCACGGTAATAACCGAATTGCGTAAGTCAAATTTAGCAGTTTTGAGAAAAACTTCCTAATGGTATTGTTGTGCCATTGAGAGTCAATAATTTCCCATGGTTCAATTTTTTAGTCGTAGTCGGATTTAAATTAATTTATATGACGCAGTTATGTGACGTCATAATGTCGCACTGTGACTTACGCAGAAATGTGCTTATGACTTGGGGACATACGCAATTTTGCAATTTGACTATATACACCAGTCCTGAAAATCAAACATTTGAAAAACGTATGTAATTCCCAGTATCTGCGATGTCTGATCCCCAAAATAGTTTATCTATTCCAATAGCATCATTTTTCATGTTTAAAATAATATATTTCATCAATATAACGCACTCTGCACACCCACCTAAAATAGGACTTTCCATATATGTTAAATAACAGCCAACAGTCAGTCAACCAATATTATTTGGACTCAAATAGTGAATATCAAAGGGCACACTTTTCTATGCTGTGATGTAAATACAAATTCATAAGCGCTAAGTTAGAATCTATGATGAAAAAACTAGAAGAGGCTATTATATACTTTTGAATTTTTTTACACGATTAGGCTGTTCATTCAGAGGTCTCAGATTTTGAGTGAAATTGTTTTCTTCCTGGCGAATTTCTAATGGGGCTTTCCTAAAAGTTCCCTGATTAACGAGAAACGGTACTGCGTATATGAATTTGTGGGTGATGGTGTCATTTACCAAATGCGAAATAGATGAAATAATAACACATAATCAAAATCACTTACAGTATACAGCACAGGCAGAGTATTTGTCATGAAGTCTCAGTTGAAGTAAAAATTTATAAATCTTAGGTCTAATGTCGGAGTGTAAATTTTAAACCTCAAAACCTTAGCGAGTCTGGAGTCGAAGTCTGACATTGTCAGAGTGTTGATGTATGCTGAGAAAATTTGTTAATTCTATGACGTTGTGATTGAAAAGGCGTAGAGTTTGAGTCGTATTGTAAGTTTACCCAAATCGCATTCCCAACTCCTCGGCTACGCCTATAATATACAGTAAAAATTGAAAAAAAAATGCATGCGCGAATTTTAGTGTATAAATTTGATTATCCGTAATACTGATTTTGGAGAGATGGGATCTGTAAGTCGGAGATAACATTTTACGTTCAACATATATCCCATTTTTTGAAAAAGGTTGACGTTTCACTGATATTTTGATTTGAATGTAAATGATAATTATTCAAAATTAATTGAAATAACGGTTACAAGTCTCTACCCAATACTGTGAAATTATGACCTCTATAATACCGCACGGAAATGGCTCACAAATAATGAATGAGAAAGAGAACATCACTTATTACATATTCAAATTCTCAAACGTAAGGTAAATTTACCTAAGCCCAAGAATTAGGCCTACGTTGATTTTTCACAATTTGGTTATGTATTTTAAATTAATCAAATATTGTCGGTAAAACTTGTTAATAATGCTTAATATAGTCCCTATCTTTATCTCTTTTAATCTATCCTTGCTACTGTACTTTTTGTCGTATTCTACAATACTTGAACGCTACGCCTTGGCAATAAACTCCGTTCCCGACCGGTATATTTATAGTAAAATTGTTATTTATAAGGAAACTCATGGACAATTATGGTGATTATTCATTTCGTTTCCTTGCAATCTTGTCAATTATTTTCCAGGGTATAAAATGAGGGAAAGCGTGTATTAGGAAACAATCTTTCAGGATGTTATTACGGCGATGGTTGTGAAACAAATCTCATCTTATTAGGTAAATCCGACAATAGAAACACGATACAAAATCGTTATTGCGTCACAAACCAGTTGAAACCGGAGTCGGACTGTTTAATGTTGAAATAATTTTCTTTCTGAACCCGGTGATCTACCGGATTTTCTTGATGAGCGCTTTTCCCTGATTGTTTCTCCTGTCCTGCGTAAGAAAATGAACAACATGTTTACCTGAATTGATTTCATGAAATGAATGGACAAGTATTATTAACATGATACTAATATATAAATTCCTACTTGATGTACTCTCCAATTGTCCCGGCCAAAATAATACGTTGACGCGATATTGAATAGATTGAATGTCATTGCAAAACAAAACTTGAAATTTTCACAGTCTCAGTAATATTTCGTTTATTCTATTTTTATATTGATTACAAATTTATTAAGCTGGATATTCAACTCAAAATAATTCTAATTTTCTACTTTTCGGCGAATAATTATGTGAAAAATTTTGTTATATTTCGCAAGTTATCATATTTTTTGAGCGAAACAAAGTTTAAATTGCACAAGTTATATTGAAGATTTCGTAATCGCGCGATTTCGAAATAATTAGTTTCACGACTTCGATGAACATCCTATCATACCAAGGGATTTTCCCCGTTTCTTTTTCGAAAAAATTCAGTATTTGTCTTCCCACCATATTTGTATCAGATGGAACGAAACTCTTCTGACTTGTCATTTGTATCGATTTTCGTTGATGAAGGACTTATTGTGGTTTCAACTTTAGGAAATTTCAAGTTAATATTTCGTACATTTTGCCAGAATTTTTGTTAATTGAGTTCAGTTCACGGAAATTGATAAGTTGAAGTTAATACGGAAGATTTTGATTCTTTGTACTGTATCGGGATTTTGTGTAATTGTACTTCACGAGATAGGATTTATTGAGCATAACATTACAACGTAAACTTTTACGTTTGTTCGCTAAAATTCCGCTTGTGATTTCAAAAATATTTGTCAACCTACCATATTTAGACTGATAACATTTATTGTAGATTTTTAGTTGTCAACAAAACTTTTGTGTTGAATTTTCTCCCCCGGAGGCTTCCGATTACTGAAAGTAATGTGACCTTCACTTATCTGTTCTAAAGGTTGATCTGAAAAATTCATCATGACGTGCCTTCTATTACAAACAACAATATTTTTCGTTAGTTTCTTGTGCCATAAGTATTTATGAAATTGATATATTCTTCTTTTCCGGCAAGTAATGGTGGCCTTGTTTAAAACGTTAAAATCAGAAGCATTTAAATCTAATGTCAAAATTGACTAAATATCGTATAGGCACAAAAGTTTGAATTAATTGAGTTCATTTCCAAAATTGGAAACGGTAGTTTAATCAAACATTTTAACCCCCTCAGATATTTTTCAAGAGAAATTGATGCAATATCAAAGGTTATTGCGCAAGTCCAATAACGAGCTATAGTCGTGGATGACGTAATATATTTTAAAATTCTATGGACAAAATTTAATTTCTCGACTACCTGGGGGTTCCCCTGATAATTTGTTGGTATTAATTTTGAAATCAGTTTTACAATGGACGCCAACGTGATAAGAATACCGTGTATTCGGAATAGCTGACTAAAAACGACAAACATGCAGATATCTAGCCAGCTCAACCATATTTTGAAGTATTATTTCTTCTTAGTTTAGATAAAATGAATAAAAATTTTCGATGAACAATGATATATCCAGGTTTATAAATTCTACAAACGAGCTGAGATTTTTTTAAGTACAATGTATATCCGCTTTTTATTGAGGTTGTTGTTCTTTATCATTCACAATAATCCTGCATCGGGTACAATTTATCGGATAATTTTACAACAAAACTTGGTTAAAACCTAATTGCTTTTTCAACACACAAGGGGAAAGAGCTCTTCCTCATAGGTCGCGGTATGGTGAAATTCCCCATCGGTGCCCACCTGAGGAAGTTTATGGGACTTTAATATTACGCAATTAGGTAGTGTGATGTTGAAATTAGAACGTCTGAAGTTCCTGAAAAAATTTGATAAATATGACTAGTTGAATGACTATTATTACGACGACGATGAAGAAAGTGGTGAAGAGATGTGAGTGTATATTTTATTCTGATCATAGAGAAAAAGATACTCCCGTAGTATGTGAACCAAGATGGCGGATACCAGAACGTAGTATGTGTACCAGGTTAGGGTTAGGCCCTAATTTCAGGTACAAATACTACGGTACTCACTTGGCTAGTCCCCGAACTTGTAATAGAACTAAAATAAGCAAAATTGGAACAAAATTATGGCCTAACCTTAACCTGGTACACATACTACGTTCCGGTGTCCGACATCTTTGTTCACATACTTCGGGAGTACCGAGTAAAATCGTATTAATGAAACACGTACCGCCCCGGTAGATTAGTTGACAGCACAATTTGGGATTCGGGTTGCCTATGAACCCTACAAAAATATTTCCACAGCCGTATTTGTGCTTAAGATTTTAATTTGAAGTAGAAAAAATTTAATTGAAATGGACCTATGAATTGTTTTGCCAAATTATTGTTGTTGTTTGAAATATATTTTCTTCCAATTGATATCCAATATCTTCTTCTAATTGATCAATTGAATTGAAATTCTTTGTATACTTATAAATATAGACAAAGGTTTAAATTTTCTTATAGCACCCCTTATTTCAGTCTATATTTTGTTGTTTTATTTTAATTCTGGGGAACACGTTTAATGACGTATGGGAACACATGATCGTGGAACGTGCTCAGTTACTGTTACTTGCGCAAGTCCAATAACGAGCTATAGTCGTGGATGACGTAATATATTTGCGAGACTTACGTTTCTGTGTATTTGATCGTTGTTATTTCGTCCTTCGTTTTGATATGCAGTCAAAATTTTTTGAAATTTTCGAAGCTTTGGTAAATTTTCACAGACTTACTAGAAACCTTAATTAGGACTTATAATATTGAGTAACGCGTATTACTTCATATAAATGTTATTTTTTGTAGTGACATCGGAGATCCTATAAACGACGGGGGAAAAACATCTTTTACGGAAATGATCACAAAAATTTTCTATTAAATCTTCTTCAGGTTTGTTAACACATTTTGAGTTACATTATCAGTTTTTTTAAATTTACATAAATAACATGACCAGTGAAATTTTGTAATTTTATTTTAATAGAGAACGGCAACCAAGCATGGAAAATGTATCGAAAAATATGGAAAACAATCTCGCTACGATCTGGAAATGAAAATTTGCTTCAACTGCTCGATTGCGTCATGCGATGGGAATCCAATGAGACTGGCTCTGTGCCAAGGTAAAAACATTACCCGTAAGAGTATGAACTACTGCTCTAATTAAGTACGAAATAAGCCTTTGCTAAATTGATGCTGATTGTATTCATCTTGTTGTTGTTGGAGCAATTGTATTTGTTGTTGGTAGAAATCGTTTCTCTCTGCGACTACTAGACAAATCGGTTTCAAAATTTTTTCGCTAAGGATGGTAAAAGTCACTAGCAAACATTTTTTATTTAATTATAATTTTTCAATTAATTTATTTTAAGTTTTTAATTTTAAATTTTCTTTTGGTCAATGGTACCCGGTATTTCGACCAAAGTTTTTCGCAGAACGCATTTTTATCCCTTTCACCTCGGTCACGTTGTCCACCAATTATTCAGAAAACTCGTCGAACTCAAGTCCTAACGTATCGATCGATACTGATGCGTCAGAACAGTCATCCACATTGTTGACAAATCTCAGTACTTGTCAGCTACGAACCTTAATGGTAGTAATATGGAACGTGATTTATGAGCTGAAGCGTTTGATTGATTAAATAGCGGGTTTCAGTACAAATCGCATGCTCTACCGATACTGCCATCACTGAAGGTTCTTTCTCACATATTTTAGCGTTGCTCCATATTTTAATTTCAGATTATCTCGATTCTACCATTTTCCTGGGTAACCTTCCACGTCAGAAAAATATTTCTACGCCTTATTGGATGGTGAGAATGAGTTTTGAAGATACTTTAAGACTTCTGCAAAAAATAGTTAAAAAAAGTTGATAATATGTAATATATATTTCTATGGACATTACCTTTTTTTCAAAGTTGTGCGATTCAGTTTCTCTGGTGAGAAATCTTTTTAGTCAATCTTTTTCCATGGTTATCGTAATTTTTTTCTAAAGTATTATTTCGACTCAGGTCTTCTCCATTCACACCTCCACTCTATTCTTTAAAATCAGTTCTTCGAAAATAAAGTTATTTTACGAACAGACGGCTCTCCGTTTGTGTAATGGAATCTAACGTTACTACCATTCTATAAACTTGTGGAACTGTGGCTCCTTTACCTGTACCTTACAACGAATTAAATACCGCGATCCTTTTAATTTTAGATTGGACTCACTGTCGGTTTTATTGTTCTCTTTTTCGGCTTAATCTGCGTCATTGTTCGATTATACCACATGAGGAAGTATCGTTACAATAAAACCACTGACGCAACTGACGACCATTTCAACCTAGGCGGCCCAGGTGGTATTTGCTATTTTAATTATTATTTCCTCAGTACAGCCCAAATCATTTTGGCTCGTATTTAATTAGCTTTAACTATATTCTGAAGTCTTTGTTTCAGACTTTAATACTGATACTTATGTCCATTACTGTATTACAAGTTACACCTCAAGGAAACTCACAATGTAATTTCAATATTTAAACTTACTCCTAGTTTTCGAACCATTGGTTTAGGGAAAAATGATATTTTCTGCTTACTTTTCGAGTTTGCACACTGATAGATCTATACAAGGATCGCCATAGATAACATGCCGAATAAAAACATTGCAGGACATATAGTATTCCAAACACATTTTTTATTTGATTTAAATACAATAAAAAACAGTTGGTCACAAAAATAATTGAAAATATTTTTCAGTTCCAGGACATGAGGCGTAAAGTGAAGCAAGCAAGCCTGCAGTGAAAAATGAATTATGTTTTATGTAGTTTTTCTCTGGATTTTATTTGTTTTGTTGTAAATACTTCCCGTTCGATTTACTGCAGCAAATATTGAGACCTAATCTATAATAAATTTTTTCCTGGGCCTTGTCCATCGCAGTTTTTTTCGATGGAAAATTTTGACTACTACAACTTAATTAACACTTCCCAAAATACAAAATAATTATTGACAGATTTGGTTTGTGAATAGACTTGAAAAATTCAATTAAAAATTGGCCAATAGATATCAAAACCATGGATACGTAATATTGTTTACAATCATGTCTGAGAATCTGACCAAATAAAAAAAGTCTTTGATGGGTCTCTTATATATTTTAATTGTATGTCATTTTCTGTTGACAGAAATGGATGTTTGATGTTTGTATAAGTAATACATGTAACTTTATACAATTGTAGAAAAATTTACTTTTATTTGTTACCATTTGAAATCTAAACTCTAAGTTTTTACAAACACCGCAATCCTCCCCTCGCTGCCCCATCAAAACAAAAGTAAGAAAAAGATTTATGCAACTCAATAAAAAAATAAAACTATGTGGCATCAGAAAAAAAAAAAGATAACCTAAATATATAAGTTTCTTCATTGATGTACGTGTTGTGTTTATAAAAAATAATCAAAGTGAATATGCTCCGCGTTGGTTCCGGATTTAAATTTTTTTTTTTTGAATTTTTTGAATTTGGGACCTAGTGGACATGGTGCTTACCTACTGCGCGATAATAATCCAGTCTTGCGTGTGCTATCTAGCTTTATATTGCTAACCATGCTCTTCTGATTGCCACAATCACTAATTTTATCAACTTTCGAAAGTAAACGTATGGAAGTATATCAAAAATTGTAGTGGGGAAATGAGTGAGTGTGAATGATGAATAAAATACCATTTTTTTACAATTTTTCACAGCTAAAAGTACATTTTTCACCTTTTACAATCTTCAAAAAATTAAAATTATGAGGAATTGCTTTGTAAATGATGTTGTACATTAAAATATTCACAAAATTTTGTTTGTGATGATATTTTTACTATTTTCGGAGAGTCGGTTTAGTAAAAATTCAATAGCAAAGATCACGTAATTTGTCACAAAAAAAAAATTGAAAATGAGAATATAAATCATTCATCATCGTATATCAACTTTGTTTATTATGAAACTTGTATAAATATTTGTGATGCATGCATAATTTTAACAATATACAATTTGGAATAAATGAAACGTAGAAGAATTCCCTAGTAATATTTGAAATATGTTACCTATTCTGTAAGATCTGTCACGTACACATATTGTGTAGTGTAATTGACCAACCACAGGTCGGGAAAGTTTATATAATTAGGAACAAAAGAATGAGTGAGGATCGGTGACGGAGGTGTGGCTTTGCGTTTACAGACTTGAGAAGGCGAACGACATATTTAGGCTGTTAAATTATATTATTTTGCTTTGTTCCGTTCGTACACAGGGAATTTTTGAATACCTAGTGTATTTAGAATCGAATCGAATCTCGAATACTTTGGAGTTATTTGACTTTAATATTTAAACGACGTAAATAGATTCGACTCTTCATTACAAATGGGCTCCCGGAACACATAACTTACTGAAAATATAGAATCGATCAACCAGTCAGTTCGCTGAGTTGAAACATAAGAACATGTTTCATCAATATCTGGCAAGGAAGAAAAGAGTTGTATGCGGAAATTGCATTTTGAAGAGATTTCTTCACCAAAAATCAAGATTTAAAACGATTCGAATAATTCACTATTTAGTTCAATTCGAGTAATTCATCTCAATGTCCATCAAGCACGATTCGAACACTTTGATTTTCGCCTTTCGTTAACTACTTTGATCGCTCTTGTGTCTAGCAAAACATCCACATACCAATGCTTGTAATAATGTTGTCACATTTTCATTTGTTCCTAAACATGTCTATACTCCCATACACTAGTGGTTTTCACCTTTTGGGGGTCGCGAAACGCCAAAGAAATATTCAATCAGTGATATGCACAAATAAAAATATCGGATATGAATATAAACTAGCGGAATCATATAAGGAGCAGCAAAACCCTGCTGGTTAAAAGCCACTGCGCCAGACAAACGATATGTAGGAATAAATGATGTTATACATAGGTATTTTATTAAAGCAGAATCGGGATAATGCCAGAGAAATTCTGATTTAACATGTATCAGCTCCTATAAAGATAAAGATTACTTTCAGAAATGCAGGTCAATAAATTACGGCTGACAAAGGAAAGGATTTTGCTTTTTGTTCATAATTGAACCAATTCATTAAGTATAGGATAATAAACAAATATCATTAGGCTGTTCAGGAAATGATTATTTCAGCAATCATGCCTTTGCCGTAATGGCGTCTAAGCAATGATTCCCAATCCATTCTCAACACGCTGATGCGCAAACTAAGGCAAAACAAACGCCCGAGACAAAATTATCACAAAAAAGCAAGAATGAGAACTATGAAGAACAAAATGTCTTGCCTTGCTTGAAACGTCTAATTCAGGGTGGTCCAGTGTTGCGAGGTTAAAGGGCCGAAAAAACTTTTGAGGAGGTCTCGCGGGCCGCAGTCGGAAAAACACGAAAGTGATCAAAACATCGCGAAATTACTCACTTTGAATATATTTAAAGATGAGAGTTTATTGTTCTAATCAGGTTTTCAAGGAAACTATATGAAGCCTTTAGTTATTTTAAAATGGCCTCCCGGGAAATACCGTGGTATTTTCGGTATCTTTTCTCGTGTTTAGTTTTGTAATGTCGCTTAAAATTATATTCTTTTGTGAAGATATTACTTGAAAACACACCAGACACTGTGGTTAATGTTGTTGTGGAGTAAATGCGTTTTCTCTCAGTTTACCTCGGTTACCTTTTTTACACTCATTGTATAATGAATTGTTAAATTTGAAACCGTCAAAAAACAACCTTGTTAAAATTTTGGATCCCGATGAAAAAAAGCTGGATCGCGCTGCGCTCCGTCAGCTTTGCGATTGGTCCCTGCTGTTACATGGCCAACGCTTAAAAATAGAGGAGTGGTTTGACTAAAATAAAGACACGAAACGTCTATTCAAATGACGAGTTACTTGACGTGAGCTCATGTCATCGGCTTGTTCCTGTCTGCACAAGACAATTCATTCTCCTTTACCGATCACAGCACGTCATTCCCATATAGGCACTGTCTTGACGTTTATAGATACAACAATGAAATTCCGTGATAATAACAAACATCAATCACGACATCGGGATCAGGAAAAGGATTATTCCCAGTTGGAATAGTTTAAAAAGAAATCAAAACTGTTCTGCTAATAAATACAAATATCTGCCAATGGTTTAGTAGTCTACGCTAAAATTGTTCTGCGGGCCGCACCGAATGCGTCGGCGGGCCGCAGTTTGGACCACCCTGATTTAACCAATCCATTAAGTATATAATAATAAACAAATATCATTAGGCTGTTCAGGAAATGTTTATTTCAGCAATTATGCCTTTGCCGTAATGGCGTCTAAGCGATGATTTCCAATCCATTCTCAACACGCTGCGCAAACCAAGGCAAAATAAACACCGGAGAGAAAATTGCCACAAAAAGGCAAGGATGAGATCTACGATAGACAGAATGTATCGCCTTGCTTGAAACGTCTAACTAATGACAGTTTAAAGAATAAAATTACCGTTTTCCCGAATGAAATACTTGAATTATGAAGCATACTGTGCAAATTATCCCCTGTCACGATATATTTAAATTACAATGCTTATTTCCACACAATAAACTATATATTTATAATTCAATGTACTCCATCTGTAGATTAAATTTTGTTTAAATAACGTTGAATACACGATGGCGTATTAAAATAGGTGAAATCATGAGCATAAATGTTATTTTTGGAAATAGATTTCCCTCGCATCAATTTGTTGATATTGGAAAGATACTGATTGTAAATGTAATCGAAGAAAGATTTTTTCCCGCGACACCATTTCAGAAAAAATCTACAAAAACAATTATAAAAAAAAAACAGTTATTTATTTCCCTAATATGTGTGCAGTAATAAGTATTAAGTACTAAAGAATTTTGAAAATACCACTGCAAATACTAAGCAAAATTCCGTCCCGTTTGGGAAACGTGAACTCAAACTAACTCACATAAAAACGAAGTGGTGGATGAGATTAATTTGAATTAAAAAAATCGGCGCTCCCGCAGTATGTGCATCAAGATGACGCACAACCTGGACCATAATCTGGTACACATACTATGTTCAGGTTGTGCGCCATCTTGATGCACATACTTCTGGAGGTCTAAAAAATTTACAATGTTTACATGTGGCCCGCGGCTATCATATCTATGGCCCGCGTGGCCATTGCGGGAGGGTAAACGAAAAATCGAACAAACCGAAATTTGGTGTTGTTTCGTCATAAAAATACCCAGAAAAATCTTTTGATATATTGTTACACCACTAATGTCAATGAATTGACTAGTGTTATGGCTAGCTGAGGAAACCAGCGAAGTTGAATAATGTGATTGGCTAATCTAAATTGTTGGCTTTCTATCTTTTGGGTCGGGAATATATGCTAGCAAAATAGACTTAAATAAATAACTGAAAATCGAATGAGGAATCTATTAGTCTCGGTTGGCTATGTCTGATAACTAAATATTAATGTTATGGCCGAACAATATAATTCCTGCTGGGTGTTTTTTCGCAATCAGCTCAAACAGTATTACAAAAAATGCTGCCTATATGTCAGAAAATTTAGTAATTACTCTTCTGTATCTCAAATTTGTAAAATTCGGTATTCAATCAATCTGCAGTTATTTATAAGTTACGCTATTGTGGCCCGCGAACACATCAAAAATAATAGTGTGGCTCGCGAGGCCATCAACCTTGGACCACCCTGATCTATGCAAAAAAAACTGAAAAAATGAGGTTGGATGGCAGAATACATACTGCGACAAATTTTAAAACAGAATAGGTGTGTAACCTTGGATACTGATTATTACGATAGAGCTTTTTATATCCAAAGATCCATATCATTTTAGATTGAGTAAGAACTTAAATGTCTTCTGATCTATTTTTATTTCATTCTATCCAGAAGCATAAAATAATTATACCTATTTAAGCAACATATTTCGAAGTGAAACCAAAAAAAATACGAATTAAAAATATGCATGCGACATTGTAAAGCGTATTCTTATAATTTGAAAATACCTTGTTTTCATATACAAAAATTAAGGTGGAGCAACGCTGCTTATACCCACATTTTAATCTCACGACCAAAAAATGTTGCGTGCTTGTTATCTCTATGAGAGCAACCATTTTGTTTATTGTTTAAACCAACCCAGACTAATTTGCTTAGAATGTGGAGAAAATCCGAGGTTTTTTAGGTTATTTCCATTAGTTAATTTAGCAGCCCTGGGGCACGCTAACATTGTCGTTTATGCTTCGTTGCTATCAAAAATTCCCCATCACAAACAATGGTTACATGCACTGCAACATTTTTAACAACTGGTTCATTTTTAATTAGGTCTATCAAAATTGAACACATAGAAACATGGAAATTAGCTAGCAAAGCACTCGGGCATTAAAGTTGTAGTTTTATAACCTAAAAACTTGGTCAATCTAAACTAAATTGCAATTTTTACATTTCAAAGCTGTTTTGATGATGTTCGCTTGGCTACTTGGCTACCGTGTGAATATATTCAAAACAAATCAGCATAGTAAGTCGAAAACTAGTTTTCGGCTCTAAAAAAAAAAAAAATCCTACATCATATATTGTCAAATTAGTACATTCTATTATTAGACATCGATACTTCAGTCTCATATTTTTTGTACTTTTTGATGATTTTAATAGAGGTAAAACTTTCGGCAGTTTAACCGTAAAAATTTTAATGTACTGTTTTACATAGAAGTTCATTGTAAATCGCCACAAGCGCATGGATATATGATAAACAGGGAATAATATTTATCAGCCTACACTTCGGCCCTCGTGAGTAAGACTCGGAAAGTGGCATATTATTTTAATTTTCCCCACTTGTGTGATAATTATTCCTCACCTGCAAAAAGGTTAGTCTGACCACAAAATCTTTGTAATACTTTGGTTTCATATTATTACTTGGGTGTTTCCCAGTATTTCTTTTACTGGATTTTATCCTTTTCCGTGCGATTAAAATTTCAGTTTTTTATTCCTTCCGAAGTTTTTGTTAATAAATTTTTTACTGTTATTCCTAAAAATTTATACACTCGATCTGAGTTACAACCACTTTATTCACAATCAAACCAAACAAAAACAAAAAATAATATACAACAGCAGAATTTGTATATAGATAAGTTGATCAAGTCAATTAAGTTGATTCACAGTTATTCAAAAATTCATCAAATTCTCACGTCATCATCATTAAAACATAAATCAATTAGAATATATTGATGACAATCAATATCTACTACCAATAATCTACTAAAATTGAAATTCTTTAAAATTATTCACAAGTCCTTGTCAAACAACTTAATTTCAAATCTATATTTCTCCGGTAAAAACTCTCTTTTCTTTTGCTCCATTTTTAACCTGACTCGGATTCCTCATAGCTTGTGCTGGTTCATTGAGATCTCTCATTAGGGCGAAGTGACGGTTTTCATCAGCACTTTAGTGTAATCGTAAATGCTAAGTTTCCTCTGCAATTGTCACTGCTGATCCTGTACCGCTATCTGTAATTCAAAGTTACCAATATCATAAGCTCATTCCATTGTTAAATAGGAATAAACAATTTCAAATATTTCATACAGGGATTGGCAAGGTTTTCGGATCACGGGCCAAATATCTTGCCAATTTAGATTGGCGGGCATGGAAGGGTGGCATAAAAAGTTACATTTTATAAACAATGATAACAGTGTAACGAAAGCAAACGTGGAAAAGGAGAAGCATCGTGCTAAAACTAAATGTAATCGCAATCTCAACAACTTCCTTTTATCAAAAACATCAAAATTTGGTTTTACGTTGGTTGTAGCAGCATCAGGTGGGCCGGATTGAAATACACAAAGGGCCGAATTTGAGCCGCGGGCCGCAGTTTGCCCATGTCATTTCTTACCTGTTTGACAAATTACTTTGACCAATTTCTCAGCAGCTTCATCGGCATCAGCTTTCGTTGGTTGAACATTTCGTACTGGTTTTACGGTTTCGTATTTCTTGCTCAAGCGGTAGATATTGAATGTCGACATCGAGAATCCAACTACAACAACTACAAATAGTATTCCCACCGATGTCAGTGATATTATCTGTAATATTTGAAAATGAAATTAATAAAATAATGATCATATGCAGTATTTTGGATACATTTGCAAATGGTGATATAACACAAATGGGAATGACGAATCTGTTACTTCCAAGGCAAATGGTTAATTCTGTATATATTCATTGATGATTAAATTATAAAAATGGGGGGCCATTCGGAAGCCTTCGGAAGGTGTGCCACAAGCCATAAAAACTTAGGAACCACTGCTTTAGAGCATAACCCTATCAACAATTACTACTCTATCACAAAGTCAAAGTTCGTACGATGTTCACTTACCGCTAAATTGCGATTACTCGCAGACTCTTCTTCTAAAGCCTTCACACGAAGAATTTCTGAACAGTAAAAACACCAACTATAAGTTAAATCTTAGTTGATAAAATTTGAGCCTATTAATCAGGCTTTGAAATCCTGCACCCAAGAAAGCTAAAACTGGGGCTTAAAAATCTACAAGAATGGTAATGTCAGGAGTCTCGCCGTTTTGGAGTAGCATGTACATCAAATTAATACCTCTTATTTTGAAGCGTCTGTCTAACTTATTGTTATTGGAAGATAAATAAAATTAACTAATAATAACAATTGTTTTTAAAATTGCCTTAAAATGATTCCTTACATTTCATACCAATTAATAAAATCACCACTCTGTATATCTAAAAAACATTCTTTTTTACGAAGCGGGATTTTGCCTCGGCTCAAATATTGCGAAACAATTCGCATATGGAAAATCCATGTCAAACAAGTCAAATCTTGTTTATTATCACATGCGAATTATTCAATTTTGGTTACAATTGATGGCAAAAGTCACTATTCAAATATTATCAAATTCCCAATATCTATGACGCCTAAAAGTGTTGATGTAAAATACTTAAAATTTATCATTAAAAAAACGAATAATAAAAAAAAAAAACAGTACAAGGCTAGATTTAGAATACAGGAAGATATGCCCCAATACCACATCATACACTCGGAAATAGGACTACTGTAAAGTATGGTAACAGATTACATCGATAAATATTGAAAATAGGAAACAAATATTAATTTACCTCCACATTGCGCAACGCACACATCATTCCTTTCGCAATCTTCACGCAGGCAGTTCCTGCAGTCGTTCACACCGTAGTCGTAATACCAATATTTATCGTGTTTGGTAATGCAGTTGTTTCTCATGTTTAGCAGTTCCTGTTTCAATTAAAAATTTTCATGATTTATTTAATGAGTGAGTTATAAGTTCCATTTCAGCATTGAATTAGGTTGAGCTTCATCGTAATAATGAACTATAATTTCCAATTTACCGTAGCTTACCAAATTTAATATACAGTATGGAATGAATTTTAAATAATACGATATGACAACTTTCACAAAATGTGAACTACATATATATGATACAGTCGTAATAACAATAGTTAGAACGGTTCAAGATATTTTCACTCGGATAACAGACATACTACATTAATGATTCACCATCAAGTTAAATACATAACAACTTATTATAATGCTGATAAATTAATTAACAAAATCTCTATGCCGAATTTATTTTAAGAATTTCCTCTTTTGGGACCGTTCGGATACTTCCCCGTCCATGTTGACGAGTATTGTTAATATTCCGAAATAACGTTAGCTCTATTCATAGCGAGAGATATCAGCGACTGCCTGTACATGACATTGAGCGTAGAGAACGACGCAAGTATGCGCCATACAAAAGGTCTCTTGTTAACCGACATCATCTCATATCTTTCGACAGAATAAATTTATAAATCGATATTGGATCGTCAAAGGTTGTTTCCAATTCCCCGATCGTTTTACTATTAGTCAAGCGCATTCGTCTAATAAGTTCAACAAAATACAATCTAATGGCGACTGTTATTGCAATTGTTAGTAAGGCATTATTAAAAATTCCATTATTTTTTATTTACAAAAAGTAATTTAGCTTATAACAGACCTTTGCAACAATATTAACATTGTCTTTAAATTCTCTTTTCATGAATGTCCCCAATTTAGTATTGAACATTGTTTCTACTTCTTCCTTTGTTATCCTAAAAAAAGAGTTGTTCTTGATAATTAGGCTCCAAAAAAATTTAAATTTAGAAATATTTTTAGAGATAGACTTTTTATCAAATTTTTTAGGTAATGGGCAAATATATATATGTTTTTTAGCAAATAATATTTTAAAATTTTTCACAAAATGAATTAATTATAAATTGGTAAAACTGTGAGTCATTGAATTCTCGTGAAATATTAAGGCACGGATCACATAATAAAAAACAGTTTATAAATTTTACTACCACTATAAAATATTGTCGGCTTTTTGAGATTTGTTTGCGGTGTGAATATTGGAATAAAGTCGAGGCGCTATGTTTCAAATCCTCACTTAAATAGGGCATAGAAAAAATCTAAAAACTCGTGATCACTCTGTGATTTATATTTCCATAATGAATTGAACTGTAACTTATTTTATTAACTACGATCCAATATGAAATTTTTATGACCACACCTTTTGCCATTACTCAATTAAACACTCACCCATTCTGTTGTGTTTCAAGCGGTTTATTGTCGTAGTAATAAACGTAATCTGCTGTATCTGTTGTTGTGATATTTGTATTTGTTCCAATGGCGGACGTGTCATTGCTTACTTCTGATGAGGCAAATATACCCACCACAGAGAATACAAGCAAAAGCATAACTGCCGGCACGACGGTTTTAATGATATCTTTGTACATATTTATTAATATTCTCGTTGTTTACGTACGGACAGCGATTCTCATAAACTTAACTACAATGATAAGGTATGACTAATAAAGCTATTAAAAATTTAAAAAAATATTAAAATAATTAATTTAGATAATCATGATATGGGTCTTCTATGACCAAGTGAGTGTCAGATTATATTCTGATGAAGAGATTCTGAGCGCAGTCACAAAAGCTCTTACAATTCGCACTCTTTTAAGTAACTTTTTTGCGTATACAATTCTCTATTTTGCTTTCACTATTTGAATATTTTATAATATATCTCGGTTTCAAACAATTACTACTTTACTATTTAGCTTCAAGAAGGCACTGAATAAAATTAATACCTGTCTACAAGAATATACTGAGGCGAAAGTGACGAAAATAATATCATGGCACTGCATATAAACAAACAGCTTTTACTGAATTTACGAAAACGTCACTGCTAATTTTTATAATTGCAGGTTGTTTTTTACGGGTAAGCTGACGAATGGACGACTCACGCGCATGTCAGTTACTATCTGACCCAACCAAGAAATTCCCCCGGTATAGAATATAGTTCATTCATAAAAGGTTGATAAACGATAGACATTGCGAAATTTAAGTTTGATTTAAAATTTTATTTAGTGATATTTATTAGTGATATATTGATATACACTGGTCAATTTTCGAGTTCCATAGAAATTTTCAGGCGCTTCAGAGGTATGTGTACCAATATGGAGGTAACTAGTTTCGTTCGCCTATTTTACATAAAGTTGTGTAAAGGAACTGAAGCCTATGGGCAGGGTGTATATTCACTTGGCTAACAATGTGCAGTCCCAGAAATCATAATAGAACTAAAATAAGGTAAATCGGAATAAAATTGCGGCCTAACCCTATTTTTAATGTTTGCTGTTTTACTGTATTTTTTCTTATTATTGCTTGGATCGTAACCTATCACCTTGTCACTTTGAGAAAACTCTAATACATTTCAAACTGATTTTTAATGCTTCCGCTCGCAGTCACGTAGTTTATTTCCAATAGAAATAGACATAACAATTTGATTGAATGCGAAATTTTTATTGGTACGTGGTTTATTCATATTTATTTTTACGTTATACTCGTCGACTGGCTGCAGCCCTTCCCACGATTTGTGGATTGTATCAACTAACGAATCTTAGAGACTAGTCTTTCACTCTTCAGTATAAGAATAGTATAATTTATCTTATAACATTCCTTATATATGTTTGGAATGTTGAAGATATCGCGCGCGCATGATGACGTACTTGTTTATTATCCGGTGACGTCGCCCGTTTTCGGCATGTTCCGCCCTATTCTGGTAGCGCACGCGTATTCATTGTTTGAATTTGTCGTGGCTCAGTCGCATATTATATTATTAGTATATTATTGCGAGTATGATGTTGCAATAACTGTACTGAACAAACATGTTATGTTGAACTCTGCGATGTTTTTTTGGAATCAGTCAACTTGTTTATAGCGATTTGTTTCCAAATAATAGGGAATTCCCCAGGTGATGGTTTCGAAAAAAAATGTCCGCCGGTACAATACAAGTCCGTTAAAAACTGTATACTAAAAAGTGTAAAACCTTCAATATATTTTTTGAGTGGCTTGAATCAAAATTTTCTGCAAACATATTTATATACTTGCTTTGAGTATTAATTTTGATTTATGAATTTTAATCATTTTAAGGGAATTTACTCGGAGTGAGATGTCCACCTCAAGTTTGAACTTTGAATCAACCTATTTGTTTTCATTAATTCATTACTCTTCAATGAGATCCTCTTTTTACATAATATAGGTATAAATGGAATATTCTTTTGTTCATTCAATACACGTTTTGGGGATTTATTCGGGTGAGATGTTTACCACGTCAAGTTTCACTCAACTTATTTGTTGACGTCAATTCCTGTTCGATGAGATAATGTCTCTTAATAAAACATTTGCTCAATTTTTTTTGTGAGCCTAATTCTTACTGCTTTCGCTCGCAATTTATTTTCATATAGAAGCAGACATAACAGTTTGATTAAATGTGAAAACTTTCCTTGGTACATGGTGTACATACATATACATCTCTACTTTATACTCGGCGACTGGCTGGAGCTTATCAACTAACGAACCTCGGAGCTTAATCTCTCACTTTTCAAAACAAGAATAGTATCATCTTTCTTATACCTTTCCTTATATATGTTTGGAATACGCACTTGGTGATGCACTTTATAATTTACTCTATGATTTCACATGTGTCGCATGCTTACTCATTGTCAATAGTATATTACGTTACTAAGTAAAGTTTGATTTATTATTGAAAGTATAATGTCGCAATAAATATACTGAAAAACGTGTTATGTTCGATTGTGCAAACTCATTTAGACAAGACAACTACTTGTTTATCTAATGTGTTTCAGGGAATTCCCCAGGTGACTGTTCGGACAAAATGGTCGCCAGTCACAAGTTCGTAAAAAACTGGATACTAAAAAGCTTTAAAATATTTATGTACCTTGAGTCAAAAGACGTATTTTTGAACATTGCTTCGAGTATAAATTTTGATGTATGAATTTAATACATTTAATACACGTTTTGGGGATTTACTCGGGTGAGATGTTTACCACGTCAAGTTTCAATCAACTTATTTGTTGACGACAATTCCTCTTCGATGAGATAATGTTATTACGTAATATAGGTACAAATAGAATATTCTTTGTTTTTTTGTTCGAATCATTTTGCAATGTCATGAGTAATGAGAGAAAGGACGACCCAATGACGCGCAATAAGGGGAATGTGGCATATTACATCTACGTGTCGCAATAATAATAATCTGAACACTTAATAATCTAGTTAGAACCACACTGTTTTACAAATTTCAAACCAACCTTTTGTGAGAATTAATTGTAGTTTAGTGAGAATGGATTTCAGCGAAAATGTTTTTTTATGAGCGAATTTATGTGCGCAAGTGTATTTTGGGTACAAAGAGCATATACTGTGATTTTGGTAAAATCTTGTTATTGTGGTTAGTCTTTTGTTGTTGTTGTTGTTGTTGTTAAGGTGGTTTTGGTTGTTGAAAAAATTAAATTTTCGCCTTAGCTATCGAATCAATTTGATTTCAAATTTTCAATGCATGAAAGTGCGTGAAAGCCGGTAGAAAGGCTCTGACTTACATAATCTTGTATTGTCAAATTACCTCTGAGACTTATCATATCCGATAATTCAATATAAATTAGACTGTTTATTTTAACTAAAGCGGAATCTTTATACTTATCGATCTCGATCGGTAAGTATGTTGATAGGTATTTGTTTGTTTGCTTGACTGTTAAACACTTTCGTATGTTACGCGATATCTCACGAATGAGACATTGAATCTGCTCCAAATTTTGCATGTGCATTCGTATATATCTCATATCTAGGACCAAAAGCCAGTGATAAATTTGGATGAATTATGTCGTATGATGAGCGAGTTATTAATAAATTAGTTATGTGACACGCGGTGTCGCTATTGAGTCAGAGCAAAGGAATTGGAACCGCAGTTGCTGTTTTGGGGGATCCCCTTACTAAAAATGCAGAAGATCGATAAGTAGGTGGTCTCCGATCGCTATCTCGTTTATTTCATTGTTCACATTCATACTGGTACCATTATGTATTGTTGCGTTGATGGCACTGGATTTACAAGTTTCCTCAAAAGCCTTTGAAAGAAACAGATACCGAATTTTATCGGCGATACTAGGTTAATTATTAGTCATTGCAAATTTGCCTCCATATGTTTGAACATTGCTCTGTTGTTGCGAAAATGATCTTCTCCTAACATTACATTTAAGTAAAACAATATTCTCGCATAAATACATTATCCACCTGTACAAAACTATATTCGTGCTAAAATTTTTTGTCGCAAAACTACGTTGTCGTATAAAAGTGCATTCCTATAAAAAATGTATTCGCACAAAATTAGGAAGCTGCATTCTCGGAAACGCACGTTCCGGAAACAACATTGACACCAAATTAATCGAGCACAAGGCTGTTTTGTCATCCTACGTTAGATGCTTTCATTTAAACATTTACTCAATTCTATTGAGAAGAAAAAGCAACTTTATTCGCCCAATTCATATTTTGATGGTGCACATTTATAACAAATGAACAATATTGTACATTAACAACGTATTTTATTACAATTATTACATATAGTGCAAGTTTGCTTAGATAACATTAGTATATTATTTATAGTATATCATTGTAATGCCATTTATCCGTTTACTTTCTGAGGTCGTATACAAAAGTTACAAAAACTGATAAAAGTTAACTGAAATACTGGATATAATTATTTGAATACTGAATATATTAAAATGACCAGCCATTGGTAAGATTTAAAATTAAAAAACATTTGTTTTGTCCGAGTATACTAACAAAAAGCTCCGTCATTTCAGTAAGGCATGCCACACTTATAGCTCTAAAGAAAGACAAGAAAGGTTTCGCATATTTCAACCCCCCTCCCTCCCGCCCTAAATGGCTTGAAATAAATTCACAGTTAGTAAAAATCTTCAAGAACTTCTTGCAGAACATTCGTATAGTCTTCTATTTGTAGATTTTCAAAGTCTCTTGTTTTATCTGTGTACATACAAATAAATCTGTTTACAAATGCTATCTAGAAATGAGTTATTAACTTTTGCAATTGATTTGTGTACAGATATTTCGTGTACAACTACTGATGAAACGCTTATATAATATAGTAAATTCACATTCATATTAATTCATATTAAGCTTTTTATTTCATATAAACGATCACAACTAGAATGAGTGGCCCGTTGATATTCCGCGATGCACTTTAAATTATCATGCGACTTATACAGTCCGAGAACCACAGGCGAGTACGATTGGTCATGAGGACTAGGGCACTAGGCTATCCAGTGCTTCCTCGCTAAAGGTTAATAATACCTTGGCGTTTAATTCCATGACGATCATCTCACGTATAGACTAGACTGCGATAAACATTGTGGAGAATACTAGATAATTTGCAGTGATTCGAAGTTCTTAGTTACTACCCTCGTATGACTGATTGATATTGAACGTAGTTTGGAGGGGCAACAACATGAAAAACAGTTTTAAAATCACAGTCATTTCCATGGCATCTAACAAATTTCATCCTGTCATTGATCATATCCAGTAATACACCTAGAAACAGTTTGAATGTAACAGACAGTCAAATGACTCTTCTGTGAATTTTTAGTTCAGGTTGTATCACTGATGTTTACCTTTTCTTTCTTTTTTTTTGGTATTTTCATTCGGTAGGTTCGACCAATTACCGCCTCCTTTTCTAGCATTCGACTTGTACTCGCCTATTCTGAATAAAAAAATTGCAAGTATCAGGATTCTGTTACGTACGATTGAAAAAAGGTTGATGTACTTGAGACAACACATTTTGATACAACGCGACTGCCTGAGCATATTCTCTATTTTGTATAAATTAGAAAACATATCAGGATTTTATTTTTCCTGTCTCCTGTCCCAAACTAGCTTTTCGCGCACACAGTTTTTGTACTGAAGGTATTATTCTCATAAAATAACAAAATTGAGTATCGAATCTTTCACAGTACCGGTATACCGTCTTTCCGTATCGGTAGTCTGACCATCAGATCGCTGAATTGCGATGCGCAAGGGCGCAGTTTTTAATTTTGATGACGTCATCACACAAAGGGAAAAATGAATTCTGAAGATCCCTCGAAATAAATAAAAATAATGGCCTTATAACAACAGCAACAACCTTCAATCCCCAAAAATTCTAAACAATTGGTCAAGTAGTAAGCGATTTTCAATTTCACAACAACAACAACAATACTAAAAACAACAACAACACTAATTCAGCAAAATGATCCAAGGTTTATAGGTATCCAAAAATAACCAAATAGACATAAAAAAGTTTCAAACTATAGATTACAGTGTGAAACATTAATTTAAACACATTCAATTTCAAATTTCGTATAAAAAACTTCGAATTACTTGTGATATTGACACGAGATGGCGAAGAAACAAAATAACAGAAGCAATATCATTTTTGCCATTCTAATTCTTCACGTTTAATGCGACTCTTGATTATTATAGTCTGCTAACGTTGTTCGCGCTAATGGAAATTTGAGACAAAGTGTTGTATTATATCAAATAGCCTACTTCCGTCATTATATCGACTAACAATGGAGATGGCGGTAATCAAATTTGCAATTTCGCCGGTTGCCTTATTGTTAGGATTTTAGTCAAAAAGAAAAGAATAAAATTTATCGTTACACTAATAGATTCAGGAAGTTATTTGTAATATATCTCGATGATACCCATATGGTTATAGGTTTTGAAGTGTTCGAAGCTTTCTTTCTTGAGCTCCACCGTAAAATGTTGTTCAGCAAACGTACTAAAAACTATCTCGTTTACGTAGACTGAAATCGATAAATTTCAATTTATGATTTATGACCTTTCAACTTTTTGAGGTGTTATTTATTTGAAATTACAAAGGTTGCAATTCTTTAACGACTTCAACAACATCTATTTAATTCAGTGATTCTCGAACTTTTTATGCCGCGTCCCCTTTCTAGAATTTGTCAAGTCTCGCACCCCACATCAGAAATAACTAGCTAACAACAAGCTACATATTATGACATATAGTAGGGCGAAAGTAGGTTTTATTCAAGAAGAATGTTGAAAATACGTGCATGGAACATGAATAATGAAATAAATAAAAAATTTGAAATATAAATATCCAAAATACCGGAGCAAAATCAAATCTAACGAATATTATAATTTTAAATTATTTTTAATTATGTGACACCGTTTGAGAACAACTGATATAATTGTTGTGGTTTTTGTGCAAATACGTATTTTTTTGAATTTGATAAAACAATTCACATTATATCGATAGATATAGTACCATTGGAGATGCATTACAAATGCAAAAAAAATATTAATGCAAAACGTATAGACCAGATTAATTTGATGGCAATGTCTTGAGCTCCTCCTAGATGGTTGAAATTCAATAAAATGTATGCAAAATAAGTTGTTGATTTTCGTGCAGATATAAATACTATACTAGCTATACATATATGTAAAAACGCAAGAGAAAAATCTATTTTCTGGTGAAAATGTGTGGATAATATATGTGGAAACCAATTTCCTTTATTACTAGGAAATCGCGAAGATTGGTGTCACGATTCTTTTGGTTTTAGGAAATTCACTATTTGATACTTGTTTTCCAATAGAATTTTTGAATTACCGGATGATTTCAAAATCGAATCAATTATTATTTCGAATAAATCTGAATCTCAAATACTTGAAAATATGTTATTGTATTTGATTTTTTCACTGGAATGTGTCCCGCAGACACATAAAGTGTCGAAAACTTGTTATCTATCACTCAGACAGTTTGCTTAGTGTTCACACGAAATAAAAATATTTTTCTTTAATAAATCACTAGAAAGAAAAGTCATATGTCAGAGCTGCATTTTGAAAATATGTCCTCAATAAAAATATGAGGAATTCACCTTTGCCTTTGGGTAGACAAAATCAAAAACAAGATGGAGGCGGTCCCGAATTTTCGTCTGAGGACCGATTCGGAGAATTTACTATCCCATTTGGATATTCAATTTGAAATTAGAATTTACTTAATTAAACTGCTCAATTGTCCCGCTAATATGTACTTATCATGGTGCAACGCACCAACATAAATAAACATAGTTTCAGTATCTTTTTGACATTTTAGTAATGGCTCTTAACTTGCCCTCGGAGATCAGCCTTCTTTACTTCCGGGTAAAATCGCATGACCTAAGTTTGAACAAATTTAAAATCAAATTAAAACACCATAAAAAGGCGGTCGCTCATAAACAGACAGTCGCTCATTTACCAAATTGGAAATTAGTATTCCATTAGGATGCTATTCGTATATTTTCTGTGGTCTTCTACAAAAATAACAATAACTGATAAAATTCAACTAAAATACTGGATATAATTTCTTGAATGCTGAGTATAACGAAATGACAAGTCAGTGCGGGATTCAAATTATAGAAAATAAAAAAAAGGTTCTTTTTTTACAAAAAAATCCGTCATTTCAGTAAGCCATGCCAAACATATAGCTCTAAAGAAAAATAAGAAAGGTTTCGCTGATTATACTCCCTAAATGACTTGAATTTTATTCACACTTAGTAAAGATCTTCAAGGACTTCTCGCAGAACATCTAGGTGTTCTTCTGTTTGTAGCTTTTCAAAGTCTTTTGTTTTAACTGTGCGGATAGAAATAAATAGGTTTACGAATGCTATTTAGAAATGAATACTTTATGATGAATTTATGTTAAGTATTCTTTGTAGCGCAACGCTCGGATAGCATCTTGCAGTTGGCTATGTGTATGCGCTTTGGCATAGGTTGGTGTTATAAACAGCAAAGTGAAACATAATAATATTTCATTATCATACTATGGCCAAGGGCGCAGCCAGTCGCAAATTTGATGGGGGGGCATACGAAGCCTATGACTATGGCGTTCTTATCATACTAAGTTGTTTATGTGGGCACATGATGGGTATTTTATAAAAAAAATGGGTTGAGATTTTACGATAAACTGGTGAGTAATTATCTTGCGACTCACAGTTCGATGCACAGTTTGGAACAACTGCCATACTACTATTACTAGTATACACTGCTATCACTACTACATTGGCTATGTGGGTTGGATCAAAATATTTTCATCACCCGATTGTATTAATTTGAAGAACTCCTCTGAGAAGAGCCACATTTTCATCTCAGTAGAGGCTTTAACTACAACTACAGTAACTATCAAGTCTACGTCCGCATGCCCTAATTTTGTACAATCACAGCACGCAAGACAACTTATGGGATACACGAACAATCCTGTGAAGATTACCAATGAACAAAAAGTTTGGGAAATCTTGCTCCAGAGGTTATTTAGAGCAGGGGTTCTCAAACTTTTGGTGTTGCGGAGCCCCTGAAAAGGTTGACCATTATTCGCGGAGCCCCAAAAGAAATGTTAAAATTGTAGCTTTCCGATAAATATTCCTGAGTAAGTTAAAAGTACTTAACCTAATTTAAAGGCTAAACCTTTTTTTAATGGGGTTAATGCAAGTCATAAATAAATCAAAATTTCAAAGATAAATTATATATACTCTTACTAAAGCTGTAAATTTGACACTTGACAAACATATTAATAAACTAGGGGTCGAATCTTTTCCCTTTTGACATTTTCGGAAGACTTAAAACTAAAAGGCTGCTAATAACGTGCGCGATTGCATTTTGTTACAATCACCGATAGTTTTCGTCAGCATGGCATGTTAAACATCTTTACGCCAGTGTTTATTCTCCCTAAATCAAAAATTTTCTTCGGCTTATACACGTATTGTTCCACAATGACGACGATGATTGCTTTTTTGTTCTCGTGGGGAATTATGAGTTCAATGTGAAAAACATGTTACCATATATAGTCATCGGCGACGAAATGCTAAAAATAATAATTAATAATGAAGAGGTAAATCCGCAACTCAAATTTCTTGATTGAAAAACGGCATTCCAAAATATTAAATTTTAAAATAAAAGATCACACTATAAGTTTGCTTTCAGCAGACTCACGTCAGATTAAAAACGCTTTTATAGGCATTGTAAATCACAAAATTTGGTGTAATGTTAGGTTTTCTTTGGTTATTCGTAGTACAGTAACTGAGAAATAGAAACACAGTCAATTGTGTGCGCGATTTACCTTTTTTTTATTCTGAAACTACCGACGGAGCCGCATGCATTAAAATAAATTTCAATCGTATTTTGCCCAGATCTTGTGATTTTTTTAACGGCGATATCTTGCTTAATAATAATCTTGAGTGCAAAAGAACAAATCAAGTTTGACAAATTCCAAGATCGCAAAAATACGACTCCAATTTATTCATAGGTGGCAGTTTATCACGTATTTTATGTTATTTTAGAATAGTATTCCTTCATTTTAGTAATCCTAATAGTAATCTCGAATGAAACTTGAGTAACTATGAGTACAATTGAATTATTACGACGAGACACTTTAAATGCTCGCATCGGCCATACATTGAATATTATACGCAACAGAAATTTCGTGTTGCGCGGAAATTTCCGATTCAAATCCCCACCTCTTGAGAATCCTGGCTGCGCTCCAGCTTATAAATAATGTCATTTTTCGATGCCGCCTCTTTGCCATATTTCGAGGCTATAATGTTGTCAAATTTTATCAAAGCTGTTATTCTTTCTTTGAACAGTTACAAAACTAGTCATTATTTTAAGTAATCGGATAGCTCACGGAGCCCCTAGGTTTCTCTCGCGGAGCCCTGGGGCTCCGTACGGAGCCCTTTGAGAACCTATGATTTAGAGCATGAACAACATGCTTCCTACCAAACTCTTACCACTCACCATATTCTATCAATAAATTGAAAAGTTTGAATGCAAATTGCAACAAAATGATTTTTTTGAGGATTTCATTCCAGATCAAACCACGAGTATTCACCTTTTGTGTTTTCTTTTTTGGAATTGGTATTCGGTTGATTCCACCAACCGCCGCCTTCTGTTACAGCGGTCGTCAAGCGTGTGTCTATTCTGAATAAATTGAGAATGTAAAAGTGTGTTTATAACTATTGAAATCTGTTGTTATATTTGCAACACAAGATTATAGATGTTGCCACAAGGTCTATGTCTCAAATCATCTTTTCGTTCAAATGATTTTCGCGCCAAGGTACTATTTAACATGAAAAAAGTACAATCACGTTTTGTAATATACAGATTCGATCATAAAATCGTAATCCTAATCAGGTATGCAAACTAGTAAACTGCAGAAATATCAAAAAATGCTGTTAATAAAAAAAAGAAGATATTTTAACTAACCAATTAATAAATTACAACGTTAAAAGTTAAATCATTTTTATTTATGAAAAAAATAACCTCAACTCACTTGAATTCTTGACAAGAGATAATGATGATGGAACAACAAAATACCAAAATTATAATTATTTTCGACATTCTGCTTTTTTCACGTTTGATGTGAAACTTGATGCTTATAGTCTGCCAACTTTGTATGCGCCGATAGGAATATGAAAAGACATTTTTTATTATATTAAACAGCTTACTTCCGCCATTTTATCGTAGAACAGTGGAAATTGTGGTAATCAAATTCATGATTCCACCGATCGACTTGACATTGAGAATTTAGTCAAAAAGATAACAATGAAGTTTAGCGTTACAGCTAATCGTTTCTGGAAGTAATTTGTATTATATATCGGTGATAACCATATGGTTACAAAGTATTCAACGCTATATTTTCAGCCTTTAACCGTAAAAAAATGATCATCAAACGTACTGAAAACTATCTCGTTTATGTAGAATGAAACCGATAAATTTTTATTTATAATTACCGACTGATACATTTTGTGAAGTGTTATTTATTTGAAATTACCGAGGTTGTAATTTTACAATGACTTCAATAAGATCTATTTAATTCAGTGATTCTCGAACTTTTTAAGCCGCGTCCCCTTTCTAGAATTGTTCTCGCACCCCACCTCAAAAATAACAAGCTAACAACAAGCTACATATGCCAGATAGTAGGGTGAAAGTATGTTATTCAGAAAGCACGTTAAAATACGTGAATGGAACATGAATAATGAAATAAATAAAAAAAAAATGAAATGTGAATATACAAAATAAATGGACAAAATCAAATCTAACAAATATTATTATTTTCTATTAACTCCACGCCTCCTCAATAAAATGTCTACGCCCCCCCCCCCCCCCCCTTGTGGGCGCGGCCCACCGTATGAGAACCACTCTTATGTTTTTTGTGCAAATGAGTATTTTTTTTACAGTGAAATATATTTATTTTTTACAGTATATCAATAGATATAGTATCAGTGGCAATCATGCGTTACAAACACAATACCTGAATAAAAATGCATTAAAAATTAAATGTTAAAGCAAAACGCATATAGACCCGATTAATTTGATGCCAATCTCCTCCTCTTTACATGGTTGACATTAAATATACTGATGTTTTGTTTGGTGTGTATATGGAAGTGTTCTGCATCGTCTACCGTAATATTTTGAATCATGATTTAAAGTTTATCACGAACCCAAGATTCTCAAACTCTAAAGTACAAAACGAGAATATCGGTCAGAGACCGAGGACTTATCGATCAAATGTTAGGGGGCCCCGCAAAACAGCGCTTTTACTCCATAGTGACACCTTGTGTCCCATCACTAAATAATTAATACCTCGCTAATTATACGACACAATTCGCCCAAAATCAATAGGCTTCTGGCCCGAGATGTGATGAATGCACATGCAAAATCTGGAGCAGATTCAATCTAGTTTTTGTGAGATATCGCGTGCATCTAACAGACAGACAGACAGTCAGACAGACATACAGACAGACATACAGACAAATACCTATCAACATACTTAACGATTAAAATCGATAAGTAATAATGACCGAGGATTTCCAAATATATCGACAGCGTATTTTTAATTTTTACACAGATATAAATACTATACTAGCTATACATATATTTGTAGAAACGCCAAAAAATAATCTGTTATCTGGTGTATTTGTGTGGAGCATATGCGAAACCAAATTCCGTTATTTCTAGGAAATCGGAGAGCCTGGTGTCGCGATTTTTTTTGTTTAGTAATTCACTAATTGATAATGATTTTTCAATGGTATTGACTAGGACTGAATATTTTCGAATATCTGATGATTTTAGAATCTAATGAAATATTTTTTCGAATCATATCAAATCTCAAATACTTGGAAGATATGTAATTGCATTTGATCTTTTACTGTAATGGGTCCTTCAGACACATAAATTGCTGAAATCTCGTTATCTATCGCTCAAAAAGTTTGCTGAGTGTTCACATACAATAAGAAGCATGTTTCATCAATAATTCACTGGGAAGAAAAGTCATATGTCAGAGATGCATTTTAAAAATATGTCTTCAATAATAAAATAAAGAATTCACCTCGGCCTTTGCGCAGACAAAAACAAAAACAAGATGGCGGCAATTCGAAATTCTCGTCTGAGAACCGATTCGAAGTCTTTACTATTCGAACAACCAACATAATTCGGTACACCCGAAGTATGTGAACCAAGATGGCGAACACCGGAACGTAGTATGTATACCAGGTTAGGGTTATGCCATAATTTTAAGTACAAATACTACGGGAGTCACTTGTCTAGTCCGCAAACTCGTAATAAAACTAAAATAAGGGAAATTGGAATAAAATTATGGCCTAACCCTAATCTGGTACACATACTACTATATTTTTTATATCAAGTGTTGATTTAAACTTTAAAGCACCACCTCTGCTACATCACCAATTTGTTAATTCAGAGAATGTTGTTAAATTTGTATCAAACCCTGAAACTCAAACTTAAACTATACCGTGGTACGGTCTACTTTAACCCATTACTAAGTCAAAAACAAACAACCATATAGACAGAATCCACAATATTTATTTGAATTAATTTTTTTCGGAATAACTTTTAACAAAATTATCGATATTCCTTTTATCAATAATCTTCATTGGAATCTTCTACAATGTCAATCGCTGCATCCGAATTCTCATCTTCAGGTATTTCCTCGTCTCTCACGGCACGCTCAAATGAAGCTGTTAAAAAGATTATGGTTTCATTTATTCCAGTGTATGTGAATATTTTCACAAATGAAAAATTTATAGGATTTTTTTTATAGAATGCAATACACATTGTAAATGAATATCTCGTGGACTGTATAGTAAAACGGTACAAGTTATATTTTCAATCAGTTATTTAAAGAAATATTCATTAGCTGAATTGTACATATTATGAATATATATAGAAGCAAACCTAACGATGACAAAACAAAATGATATTCAAAGTGTACCAAGAGTAATAATGGTGACAAACCTAGGTAAATGCTTATATTTTGAAATCTACATCATTGACTTTCGAATCCGAATGAAAACTTGCATGACCCCTGTACTGTTCTGGGGAAATTTTATCAGGGACTCCGGGACCAAAATTTGATCATGTTATCGTCACAGAAATATGGGCGTTTTGATGACCTATATATTTCCTATCCTATATATTTATTATTTTAATAAATGAACAAACTGCAAAGGATGCAACATACCTCGACCCCAGGTACCAGGACGTCTTATTGCAGTATCAGTTTGGGGACTTCTTCGTCTATAAGCAAAATAATTTAAAAGGATTCAATTTTTGATTTTCTACTTGATCTAACCGATTTATTTTTCTACAATTTAGTAGCGTTATTGTATTGCCAGACTGTATTACATGAAACAGTCAATATCTGCGCTTGCTTTGTAAATCTATTTTTTTAATGTCAATTTAGTATCACAAATGTGTTGGTTGCCCAAAAAATATGAATTCCGTTTCATATGCTTACTTTAACCATTTGCCCCACAATATATATCTAACCTGACACAGAACAATTAGACAAGTGGAAACAAGTGAATAGCAAAGTGGAACAAGCGTGCATACAAGTGTGAGACACAACATTTTCTAGACACTGTTATCTTATTTTCAATGAATCTAATACATACTTACCTAAACATACTGGACGAAAGGGAAAAAAGACAAAAGAGAATTAAAACCTTTCTTGAATCCATAGCAGAGTTACAAGTATGACCTGAAATATTGCCATAAATAAGAAAATAATTCATTTCACGGGGTACAAAAAATCAAAAAATCTTTTTTATAAAGATTCCAGGAACCTAATTCATAATAATGAATTTAAAAGTATCTTAATTTTAATACATCTTCTGATTTGATAAGTTTTAACCATACATTTAAGTTAGTTTGAATGTTTCGGAATACGCTTAGACTTCTGTACAGCTTGCGAAAAAAAAACTTACAGCTGCCAAGGTCTGCTATTCACTATGTTAGGTGTATGAACATTAGGTAGACGTTATATCCTACTTTATACACTATTTTATTTCGTTACATTGAAAAACTGTTGGAAATGAAAGCAATAAAGTTGTGTTTCCGCTTATTGTCCCCTTCAACCATACGGAGAGAAATTCAAGTCAAACTTCAATCAATGTATAGGATATGGGCACAGTCAATAGATAATCAAACGATATTTCAATGCGTCGTTAAATTTCATATAAAATAAAAAGTGTTTTTTATTATCCTCTTTCCTGCGTTTAAACAATTCGGAATTTAGTATTTTATGCCAGCAATAAATATTCTATACAAATATTGTTAGTCAATGGGCTTTAGAATAGATCGTTAGTGTTGTGACTGTCATAAACCCTAGCTCATCATCTCATCTAAAGCCTGAACAATTCAGGAAGCGCAGCCAGAGCGACAAGATTCCTGATTTATCAACTCATATCTAAGTAGCATATTATATAAAGCATCGACTACATTACGTGATTTTAGTAAACACATTTGCACCTGCATACATTTGCGCCTGTATATTTGCACCAATAAACTGCATCTCGGACATTCGCATTGTAGCGTTAAAATTTTCTCTGAGTCTAATGGGGCCTAATATTTCAGCAAACATTTTGCTGTTTCATTTTAAATAATTAAATGGGAACAATTTTATTCCGTATTGCTATACCACGTTCGTGTTGGTTGTACATCGATCTTTTATGTAAACTTGGGGTACTTACATGCCTTGTATATCTTACCAATACCGTTTTGTGGGCTTCGTGTTCATATGCTGACCTTAGTTACCAAGCACGTTTATACACAGCTATGTGAATCAAAATTCTAATCCAAATAACCAGACGTTAGTGCAAATATACTTATACATCCTACCTAATTCCCTTGTAGTATATGCATACGGATCCACTAGCATATGGGCATCGAATAGAGGAAAGATACGGAGTTAGTCTCGCGCAACGCAGTTCAAAGATACTTATACATATTGTTAAAATAGTCGCTAGAAGATGGTTTGTTAATCTAAATATTATATTTATTAAATGGTAAAACTCGAATATATATTCAGTAATACCGACACACTTGTGATAAATTCACAAAAAAAGCACAGCGCACAATTTCTCACGTCCTTTACAAAAGTCAATTTAAAAATGTTTTCAATCTGTATACATTTTCAGCACTTTCAATCATTTTTCTCTGGGATACGTAGATCAAAAACTGCGGGATACGTAGATCAAAAACTGCAGAATACAGCAACCATGGCTCAAAATCGTTTTATAAAACGAAATTTATAGTGTTTTGGAAGTAATGAGAGACCAGGACGTGGAGTCAGGTCGTAAACCTCCCCTTCGTGTTCTGGTTTAATACAAAATTTCTGTAATATAGCAACGAGAAACAAGAATATTTCGTGTTTTGCTTGTGAAATCGCGACACACATCCGAGGTCCGCCACTAAACGCAACAAATGCATCAGGTTTGAAAAAATCACCATTCTGAAAAAAGAAAATGCGAGATTCTTTTGAAATTTTAATTTTTAGATTTCTGATTTCATATGCTAGGAAAAATTTAACATGACCCGTTTATTTTATCACGAGCTAGCTAAATGCTTACAGTCACATTAACACTCTTAAAATACCACTATTCTAACGTCGAACGTATATAAAAATATGAACCTCAACAACATTTTAGCATGAAGGAGGCCAGGCCAATGGCCGTCTGCATGACATGTTAGGACACCAAACGACGGAGAATGAAAAAAAATACAATAGTTATTTTAAAAATTTTACAGACTTGGAAATTTTTTAAAACCAGGAATGTCCGATACATTTTGAACGGATTTAGGTGTCTTACAAAATAATTCTACATCGTAAACGCCATTAAGACATTTTTGTGGTGTACATACCTCATCAATAAAATTTGTTGGATCAAATTGAGAAGCGTTCTTCCATTTATCCTCCTGCATGTGTGAAGAATAAAGATTCAAAATGAATGTTGTTTCTTTTGGAATTTTATATCTGAAATATAAAATACAAATTGATGAAAGTCCGAAGGGCGAAAGTAACATAAATTTGATCATATTTATTACTTTATAGCTAGAACTGAACTTAAGGAATGTTTTATTAAAAGCAGCGGATAATTAACATATACGAGGTGCGGCTAAAAAGAAACGGGACTGACGTCACAGATTGCGCAACACGATTAAATATCGGTAATCAACACTTTTGCAGTGTTGCATAATATGTGTTCTTTGTTTAACAGCTGTTTTGACACAATATCGCAATTATTTTTGCTTTTCAGGATCCATAAGTGAATGTGATAAATTTCTCGTTGAAAAAAAATGCTGTGCGAGGTCTGATTGAGTTTTTTGGCGATAGGGGGTTCAATTGAAGAATGACGATTGAGTAAAGAATTAACATTAAATATGGTGTCAAACTTGGAAAAATGCATGTCAACTCGGCATGCATTCAATCATTGAGCTTTCTGCTCCTCAGTCAACTCAAGAGCCTTTGGCATCATTTTGGCACACACCTTTCGCATTCCCAAAGTGTCAACCAAAATGGTGCGGACCGTTTCTTTGTCCATCCCAATTTCGTTGGTAATGACGCGAATTGTTAAGCGACGGTCACTGCGAACCAACTGTCAAACCTTTTCGATGTTGGTATCAGTAGTGGAAGTGCAAGGCCTCCCTGACCTCGGATCATCCTCCACATCCTCCCTGCCTTCCACAAATCGCTTGTGCCATTCAAAAACTCTTGTTCTGGACATGAAAGAATCTCCATAAACATCACGCAACATCTGCAAAGTCTGAGTCGCCGTTTTTCCAAGTTTGACACAAAATTTGATATTAATTCTTTGCTCAGTCGTCATTCTTTAATTGAACCCCCTATCGCCAATAAACTCCATCAGACCTCGCACAGCATTTTTTTTTCAACAAGAAATTTATCACATTCACTTATGGATCCTGAAAAGCAAAAATAATTGCGATATTGTGTCAAAACAGCTGTTAAACATAGAACACATATTACGCCACACTGCAAAAGTGTTGATTACCGATGGTTAATCGTGTTGCGCAATCTGTGACGTCAGTCCCGTTTCTTTTTAGCCTTACCTCGTACTGTGAATGTTTCATGTTCAAACGTTAAGTAAATCAGGTGACCTTTCTTCCTACAACAATAGGATGTAATACATTTAGTGGGCAATATTAAACCAAAGCCATTCCTTTGCTGTCAATTCAAGCAATAAGCAATTAACATTTTAAAATGCTAACTCATTGCAAATGCAATGGATAATTATTTGACTCTTCATAAGAAGATACCAAATTGATTTAAACTTGTTTTGGACGAGTTCCGTAATTATTCATTTTATAGTAACTTTTTCTGTTTTCAAACTGACTAATTTAGAATATTAAGCTTTATTTTCGATACAAGAAGACCAAGTTGAGAATACGAAAAATACTTGCCCTCTTATGTAGAAGTCTTCCACTGCATCTCTTGGTAGTCCGATATGAGCAACATTAGCAAATCTCAAAATTTCGTGCATCGTTGCTTCTGTGTAAGGCATCATTGATCGTTCATTGTATTTTGCTGCTTTTTTATTTCCAATAATTTCGTCAATTTCGTTGTGAACTTTTTTCTGAATTTCCGGGTTATTAGATAACAGTAAAATACCCCACCGCAAGGTGGCAGTTGTCGACTCATTTCCAGCCTGAAATAATCCAGTAACAGTGTTTATGAGAGCTTCTTCTGTGAGTTCGGAATTTTGGGAAATTTTTATCAAGGAATAATCTATAAAATCGACTGGATTTTCTGGGTCGAGCTTATTTTTGTGTTCTTCAACTTCCTCGGCGCAGAAATCAATGATACACTTTATTGTCTCTGTCAATTTAATTATCTTTTTTGGGATCCAAAATTTCGTTATCCATGGAAATATATCAGGAAGACTGTCAGTAGGTCTTTCAACTGTTGCCAACCTAAAGAATTCTTGGTTCAATTTAACAAAATAAATCATTTTGGGGTCATTGAAATCAAATCTTTTCCCCAGCAAAAGACCTGAAATAACATTGAGAACTCCACATTCAAGTAAGTTGGCTAAGTCGATAGCTTCATCGGCACTCGCCATGTTTTCCAACTCGTTCACCACACATTCTGCTTCAGTCATAATTATGTCATCGATTCGAAGATTCGCAGACATTTTTTTCATGGCAAAGTTGAACATTTTTCGTTGGGCTTTCCATGTGGGGGTGCAACTCAAATCATTAACAATACCAGTCGGCTGATCACCCATGAGATGACGAACCATATACTTCAGAGGACGACCACTGATTATTTTTCCATGTTGGACGTGACATTCTTTAATTGCTTGATATCCGTTAACTATAACAAAGTATTTATTGAATGCTTTCAAGCTGAACACATCTCCGTACTTTGAGGCTAATTTTGCAAAGCTTATATGCGGATGTTGTCCTATTAAGTGAACGCTTCCAACTATGGGAATTCCGCGAGGTCCGGGAGGAAACTGTTTAGGTCTTGTCATGGGTAAATAGAAGAGATATAATAGAGAGCATATTCCTAGTAATATACCCGCAATCATATATTCTAACTCAATCATTTTTACTGAAACAACCTAAACAGTAATATGAAATAGATTGCACATAAAAAGCTTACACATTAATAAACAAAGTACTGTAAGTAGTTTTATATATGAGGTCTTTAGTGTGAATTTCAAAATATCGTTAGAAGGTTGTACGTTGTCAACGCCCGAGTTTCTCACCAATTCAAACTTCAGTTTTCTTATATTATAAAAACAACCTTTTTAACATACGGCCGATTTCATTATTTCAAAAACATCGGGGTTCGCCATTCACGAATGATTATTGATGGTAACACCTTTACTGGGCACGAAATGTACATATGTATACGTTTTGCGCAATGGTTTGTTATTCTTACTTTTATTTGTTCAGTCATCATGAGTCCTATACAACTGAATATCTCACCCAAAATCACGCTATTTCAACAATTAATGCGCCACCACGTGGCAGTTCAATGACGCCTTACAAGTTTGCAAATTTACGCCCAAACCACTGCTTATATAGCTCGGTTGCGATCTCATCAGTATCGTAGTGAATTATTGCGACGACTGGACTCGCAAATATAACCAAAAGCTTTGAATGATCATATATGAAGCTGAATGATCAGGAATCAGCTTTCAATGTAAGTCGCATAGGCTTCCTGCTCTTCGCCATTAGATGGTATTCGAGCCCATATTTCTCTCTTGTTCATACATCTCAATTTTTTGAAGACTTTTATGCTTTCCGTTTTCAATTCACCTTATATTATCTATTTGTTTGTCTGCCCATTTTAATTTCTTTTTACTGAACAATCACTGCAATGTACTATCATAAATATTTTGATATTCTGTAAAACAGGTTGGTTGCAGTCCACATAGAACCTAATCCCAAACTGCGCCATAGAATAAATTCGTTCCATTACCCCACAGAATTATTTAGTTAATATAATTCAGCGAGCGATATGTTGAACAGCCGATATCTTTCTTTGTCATCATAATTGCACAAAGGCTATATACCTCCGGGCAAATCTTCTTTCGGCTTCCCTGCCTAGAGGGTGACTTGTCGAAATTTGACGTTTCTGTATTCCTTATTCATGTTTATTTCACTCACTGGCTATAAGTTATATCTTTTAGCTATTACCAGCCAGTTCCTGACAACAAAATAGGCCAAATTATTTTACCGTGACAATAAAAACTTCAACTGATATTATATAACAAGAAGGATTGATTGCCTGCTTCACCATGGCATTCAGCATGGCATTCATACATGATAATCAATAATTTGCTGCAACTAAATCATGAGATATGACATGCGAAATGATAACATACTCTACAGTCTATATCGTGACAATGGTTTTGAATTAGACAAGATAACGTTACAAAATTGTATTGCGTATTCGTATCAATGTCCAACCTTGATAATAGGGCGGCGATAATTGGTCTTGAAGCGTTCATATGAAATACCTGTTTTTTTTTAAATTCAGCTAAAATATCCCGATTGCAAATTATTTTTCATTATCTACTTGAGATTTGCTCTGAACAAATTTTCAATATCTATAGGTTGAAGTCTTGCAACTTGATGATGAAATGAAACTAGATCACCTAGTGGTATTAGCCTACACTAAGTAAATGATTTTTAGTTAACTGTCTTGAGCGAATAATGCTTCCGCTGTAAACGTGACCCAATCACAGTTGAAACTCGTTGATGATTTCATATTATTTTTGAGTCATATTTAACATGTCTGCTCAATAATAACAGGCTCAGGGTCGCTATAATTTTGCGTTTGAACTCAATTGTTTTTCTCTTAATCCTGAAATATTAAGATTGTTCAGCCGATTATTCATTGCGCCAAAGATTGTACACACTATTCAAATATCTGGTTTGTTTCAGCATTAGGGCTGACGTCGCAGCCTGACATAGATATTTTGTGGCGCAGACCAGGATAAGTACTAGAATAACGAAGCGCACAACTGACCAAACTACATAAAATTTAACGACAGTTGCGTTATGGTAAACGATTTCAACTTTTTTGAGTCCGCCAATGAGGTAATTGCGATATACGCAAAATCGTATTGTATCATATATAGCACTTGAGGGCGCTTCGTCAAGGAATAAAACCTCAAATACCAGTTACCTCGATTCATTAAATCTGATTGATTTTTTATAAAAACACCATTATCGTTGGATAAATACAATTTATTTGCAGAAGATATGCTAGTGTTATTATGTACTTCTATTGCACGTAGTAACTACAAAACAGGAATATGAAAAAATAAAAAATAAAAAAATGTTTATGCTATTAAGCAACAAATATATCCTAATGAACAACCATTTGTATAACATGGGAATATTTATTGAACACTATCTATGTACTATGTACTGTCAAATAAATAACCATATCAGATAATCTGGTCTAATCATTCAAATGCTTCCCACTACCGTGGTAATTTACATCAGTACCGGTACGACATTGGTCGAAAAGATGGCGGAATAACACGCAGCGGAAATTTCAGTTGAGATATTGAAACTCATAATAACAAAAGAATATTTAAAAAATCAAACAAAAGTGATATAATTTAAACGATTTTAATCTTTTTTAGAATGAAAATCTGAAATTTATCGGTCCATAAGTCGGATGGAAAGTCATTAAGCAACAAATAACAATTTTGCATAAATACACTGCATGGCAATTAGCACAAACTTTCTAATTCTAAGCATAATTTCTAATACATGCAATAATTGTTGCGGATAGCCAAGATCATAGGCAACGTTGTACAGCCCTGTGTCCGCGAAATTGTGTTTGAATCACAAAAGGAGTTGAGTTTTTTGTGTTGATTTTGAATGAGCGCAACATGATAATTTGATCAATTTCCCAAGCATATATTTGGATGTACTGGCAAGTATACTTGCAGATATTCTTAGACAGTGGATGTATTACTAATAATCAAGGGAGCAATGCTCAAATATATGGAAACGAAGGCTAAAACGGAGTAGTATGGGTATCCAATTTTTTTGCAATACCGGCACCGTAGTCTTCCGGATCGCAACGTTCGCGAACGCGGAACCGCCACGTGGTGCGCAATCTTTATTTTTGATGATGTCATCGCAAAAATTTTATAGTGAAAACAAATTCCATTTTTCATTGAGTTTACTGACATTTTTGAAATAAATAAAAGTGATAACCTTTTAGCGACAACAAAAGTTTTAAACACGGGAAATTTTAAAAGTAGTTGGCCCAGTTGTAAAAAGGGATTTTTTTAACAATCAAAAAGATATAAAAAAAAATAAAAAAAATAACAACAACAACAACAACAGCATAATAACAAAACGATCCACGGCACCACTTTCTTATCAAGTTATGTTTTATACAAAGACGTATTTTCAAGAGTACGATTTCGTAACCATTCACTCAAACATTCAGTTGCCACGGCATCAACTTGTGAGTCCATTTTATTTGCGAAAATCCCTTTCTGCGCCACAAGCCAATGTAGATCAGCCACACCAAATATGCATATAGCTCGCACATAACGTGACTTGCATCTATATACAGCATCACCCCAAACTCTAGTTCTTGTGATTACATCATTTTCTGTTGTTCGAAAGTCCGGTGTTGGTGGGAGACTCCCTGGTACTTGAGGATACATTCGTTGAATACTCGCCCATACGTGCTCATCTGGTACTAACGTATTTTTGTTCCATTCAAAAAAGTCTCTTATTTTAGAATCTGCATGAAATGCATTGAAGAAATAACAACTAAGAATTAAAATTATATAAAAAAAAAACGAAAACGATCTTATGTTTACAACCATGTTTGAAAATCTGAGGTAAAAAGTGTCTGAGCGGTTGCTAAATTTTAATTGTTACGCCACATTATTTTGAATATTAACAAGGAAAACATCCATAGCATTGTATTATCCTAATTAGTATGGTTCCAATTTGCCACCATAAGATAGATATGTTTAATTTTGATTCTCGGTGGAAAGTCAGTAGTACAGTGGTCAGTGAATTGAAAGTTTGTACAGTCTGACATTTACAAATTAGAATTTTATTTTGAGTAATTCTTTTTATTTATATTGGTTCTAAAAATATGAATCCTTTAAATACATACGTTACAAACGAATATTAGAATACTTCATTGGATAACAAAAGAAAGTAACGAGAATAAGAATTGAGGATATAAAATTAGAAATTAAAATATGGTGATTTATCCCTAGATATGGTTTCAACCTTTACAAAGGCTGGGCAATTCGAATCGAATATTGGAATCGAATAGCAAATTATTTAAATCGGTTCAGACGAAAATTTCAAATAGATTTTTCTATTCATCAAATTTCGAGGTAAATTCTTTAATTGTATGTTAAGCCACCTCCCATTGGAACTTTTTGATCTCTGTTTTTTAATTGTTTGACAATTCCGAAACATGCCCCTCTTGTATTTTATTATGCAATTCTGAGACATAAGTTATTTTTTGTTTCAGTGATTGATAAAACGTGTGTCTCACTGGATGTGGTAACTTATACAAACTGAAAAACTGGATGATGGATTCTATCTTTTCAGTAATTCATATGTCCAGAGGAGCCATACAAATGAAAAAGTCAAGCACAATTACGTCATTGTATTATTGTTTAGAGAAGCCTGTTTGAGATCCGATTCGAATAAAAAAAATTGATTCGATTCAGAAATTAACAAGTGATCAAAATTACTCAGTCCTGATCTTTACCATTCATAAAATATTCCACGGCCTTTCTTGACCAAATAAAATAATCCGTCCCAGAGAACATCTGGAATCCATGAGGTGGTGGACTCTTTTTAACATATGTTGCAGTTAACCATTCGTGTCCAGTCACTATTTTGGTTGGAAGTTTGAATTCATACTTAAACCTGTTATTAGATGAATAATATTCAACAAATAACATATTGATAAATGATAACACATATGTAGACAGAATACAGGTAACTATAATTTATGCTGTAACAAATGGTGGAAAATTTTAACAAAGGGTTCTTTTTTGTATCGAACTCACTAAAAAACAAGTTCGCTCGTTTCAGAAAACCATGCTAAACTTATGGCCTTATACCTAGCTATAAGTCACATTCACTAATATATGTCATTTTGTAAGCTACATTAACATGACGCGCTTTACATAAATCTAATACCTAACTTTCGAAACGCGAAATCCCCCCTGAACCAAGATTTCATTCAGAAGATATAAAACTAGGGCGTGGATGAGGAGGACATTTCGTCTATACGGGGGTTATAATATGTAAATTCATAAAGTAATGCACAGGACGCAAGTGGAATATTATTAAAGATAACTGGTTGTCGTAATATGATTGAACAAATACACGCATAAATAATCGTTCAATATTCACGCAAAATGAAAGCCTTAGACAAGTGTTTTCAACTATGGCTCGCGGGCCAAATCCGTCCGGCTTGATAATTCAGTCTAACCCTCTTGATACTGCTACAACCAAACTAAAACAAAATTTTGATATTCTAGCTTAAAAAGAAAGAAATGGGTTGAGATTGCGATTAAATTTAGATTTTTCACGATGCTTATTGTTTTCCACTTTTGCTTTTGTAACACTGTGAATATTGATCATAAAATGTGAATTTTCAGGTCACACTAACATGGGCCGCTTGTTTAGGTTGACAAAATGTTTGGCCGTTGGACCAAAAACCTTGCCCCCTCCCCCTAATGGTCTCTAGGATTTAAATATAGAATATTTCGCGACTTATGTACGGTGTATGCACGGTACTGGGGGACTGCGATACCTCGGGCTCCGCAGACCCCGATAGAAAGTACACTTCCCAAAACGAACACGCAAAATTACCTATTTTGTTAAAGCAAGCACAAGAACTTCACGTTATTACTGACCTGAGCAATTTATTTTCCCTGTCAACAAAATTTGCAGAAGCCACACTGTTAGTACCGTTTAAATTCTTCAAAGCCCGAACAATCTCAAGATTTGTTTTTGTTGGGAAATCAAGACCACATAAGTTGAATACGTAGTTCCATTGGTGAGATTTCTCCCTGAAATATACTTTTTTTTAACAATTTTTTGATCAGATTTTCAGAAACTTTTTTTATTGAAAACTTCTTTCCGCCAATTTCGTATTTTTTTCCCCTCCCACTATTTGTATAAAAACTACTTTTTTGTTCAATCTTTAATAGGTCTTTAGTTAGTGTATGAGAAAATTCAGCTCCGATAAAAATGGGTGCATGAATAAGTATTACAATAATGATAAGGAATATTAGTAATAATACAGAAAATGCAAAGCAGAAAGTACGGTGCTGCCGTAATACGTGTACCAAGATGGCGCACAACCTGAAAATAGTATGTGTACCAGGTTAGGATTTTCAGGTTGTGCGCCATCCCGGTACATATACACTACGGGAACGCCTAAAGTACAACGAATTTATTCTCTGCAAGGGAATTCATTCCTAATCGGAAAACGGGGTCGTATGTGATTGTATTCAGTATCTGTTTTTATTACGATCCAGTTGTTACAACTTTTTTAATATAAGCTAGTACAGTGTCGTATATCGCCTCATATACTACATATATGTAATGTTTATTTGCTACAAAATGTTTTCTTAATGTTAGAAATACTTACATTCCTATAAGATCCGTCAAACAGTTTAAACTGGACTGAACAATCGTCCAATGTGTGTAATATACTTTCGTCATTGTTGAAGCTAGAAAAACATTATCAAAGCAATCTGCAATTTCTTTAACTCGTTTCTGAAAAGTTGGATCTGATTTTTGATCGATGTGAATGCAATATATATTCTGAGGATGATATATCAATCGAAGAAGATTCTCAAATGAGTGAAGGCTCCTGTAAAATTACGCATGAATTGAAATTCTCCACCAAATGACTACGAAATGATTTTGCGTGGTTTGCGTAGGTCAGGCGGTGAGATCGGAGTAAAATATTTTTGAATCTGGCGTATGAAGCCGGAGTCGTAGATAAAAGAGACAATTTTTCTAGGTGCAGTGATTTTGAATCCGGTAATGGTAATCGGAATCGGAATTAAACTTAAAGTCATTTTAAAGTCGTCAATCTTTCGAAAGTCGAAGTCAGGGTCGAAGAGAACTTTTCTGTGACACATGACATGGTTATAGTTATGACTCCGCATGCACTATATAATAAAAAATTTGAATTTATTTTGATTATAAAGCATTGTAGTTATGAAACGGAACGCTAGGAGTTGACTCTGACTTTCCAAGTGTTTCAGTTACTGACTGCATTGTTGAATTCTTGTTATAAAATTGTTTACATTATCCTTCATATTACCAACGATACACACTTGTAAACACTTATGATGTATGCGATTGGATATTTCTCTTCTTCTTCGCTCAAAGGCTGAGTGATATACTTCCTTCTACTTTTGAAATAAGAACAATTCTTTGTCCATTCTGCAACTCTTTCGTCAGAAAGATATTTCTTTTTTCTTTCCTCAAGTTGCTAACATAAAAAACAAGCTAGAAATGTTGGAAGTGGGGTAAAAACAATGATTGCTCTTTTCAATACAGAAGTATCTAAAATGTATATACCAGTCCTCATATACATGCAGATCAAATACATAAATATACATAGCACGCGATTCTCTATTGTTTCTTATTATATCCTCTTTGATACATCCGTAAACAATATGGAAAAACAAAAAAACCGTGGAAATAGGAATTCTGCATTTTTATGTTTTGATAAATTAACTCCAAGAAACAAACAAGAAGCCAAGAGGTCAATACACCCGTATATTAGTTAGATAATATGACAACACATAAAATTATATTTCACCTGAGCCAATTGTAGTATCTATTGCGATTATAAAGTATTGTAATAATGTTTGCAAACAGAAAGAAATTTATTCACGAATATTACGATTCATGGTGAGCAAAGCTTATATTTCCGAAAAGATAATGAGGCAAATTTTATAACCCCATTTCCTTACCTCTGAATTAATCAAAGCAACTTCCCTCCTAGCTTTTTTAACAGCTTCGTTGTTTCCGTCCATAATTCCTTTACAGTCTAAATTCCTCAATAAAGGACTTCTAGGTATTCCAATAGACGTTGTAGTATCCAGTGTTGTTGTTTCTGTGGTTGTGAAGGTGTTTGTGGTAGTTATAACGGTAGACGTTGTATTGACCATTTTTGCCTTAGTCGTAGTTAATGATTCTTTTTCTTCTGTGAATGTCTGTTTCAAAATGGTGTTATTGTTGACATATTTTGAGTCGTTTTTCTCTATGAAAGTTCGTTTTGCTTCCGAGAGAGATGAATTATCCTTGAGCATGTATGGATAACGTTGGCTAGTAGTGTATTGTGGCATCAAATTTTCTTTAATATTTCCCTGAAACGCAATAAAACCGAAAAATAAATTGAAAAAGTTAGAATATAGGAAAACAGAAAAAAAAAACTATGTATACTATTTAAAAACAGACATGGCCAACAGACGGCAATGATGTCCATGGTGGACGGTGGCTGTGGCATGGGTGAAGACGGGAAAGAAAAGGGCAGAAATGTGAGGTAACTCACCATGATAACATAAATTGAGACGCAACAAAGTAAGACGATTGCGAGTTGCTTTTGCTTCCAAATCTCCATCTATTAAAACAGTTGAATATACGTTTCAAAATTTAACTACATATATAGTAAGCTTAATATCTAGATCAACTTTTGAATAAATATATTATGAACTACTTTAAGCTGTGTTTGAGTGTTGTAAAAAATGTTTAGTTCAAAAACATTTTTAGAATCTAGACATAAAGAATATATTGAAAATTTACAGGTAATATTTGTAAGGTAATATTTGTAAGTCTGATCAATACCAAAAAATATTAAAGCAATTTTGCAGGATTTCGTTATGATAACTTACCTTCTGAAATAATTAAAGTTTGAGCTTCTTACATTATAATAACAGTCTGTTAGCTATACCTAGAATTTAAGTCATTATATAAGTTTGAAAGTTGAAACGAAAAGATTTTTCTTCTTACTATTTTTATTGAAATGTTACATAAGTCGATTCAATGAATGATATTCGTTATATACACACTACACAGGGTCTCTCTCACTCGATGACACAATAAGATAACAGAGAAAATCCTTTTGTTAAATTCTGAAATATTTGTCAAGTATCAATGTGGGGGAAAAGTTATTCTACCTGATAATAAAACTAACCATATATGGAGAGTACTATGTTATTGCGTAATGAGCTGATATTCCTTTCTACTCGTCCACTTTCTACTTAGGATCCATCCGTATGCGGCCATTTTCACAAGGATACTTGAATGAGATAGTATCAAAGAATTACATAACTTTTTAGAAATGAAAAGCAAGAATATGTGCTATAGCTTCTGTTAGATCATAGTCTAACTTCTTCCGACAAAACAGGATATAAATAAGCCAAACAGCAATGTTATATATGTTCAGCCATATATGCCTAATAAGTAAACGATCTTATATCTTCTTTCGACCACTTCCTATCTTCTTTAAAAACATGGCTTTTGTTATTATGAGTGATGAGTTGCGTTTGGACAATTCTGAACCTCGCGACCAAGACTAATCAATCAGTGAATGGCCTTCACAAAGAGCAGGATATAAGTCCGGGTTAGTCCCAAAATATGCTTTAGTTTTCTTCACAAAAGCAATTATTAATAAAGTATCATAAATATGAAAGATTCCATATTATATTTCCTAGGTATGCGAGTCGGCTTTACTACAAATTTTCAGTATTATTTATCTTTCTTTGTCTACTGGATTTGTCAAATATAGAAACTAGCAAGCCACAATGTAAGACGAAGACAAGATAAATCATAATGAAAAAGACGAGAGCTGTGCCGAGGCGATGTTCTGGCATTTTTTCACAAAACTAGGAATTAATGAACAAAATTGATCTCTATCACCTGCCAGGATAGCGTCTCTCCATTACAGGTAAATAAGAAATCTATGTTACGAGCTTTACCGAGATGTTTTCTATCGATATGCTTAACCGTTAAACTAACGCATTCCTCAGTCATATGTTTTAATACTCTAATCTCACTGATTTTTTACGATACTATTTCATGAAATCAAACGACAAATGATCACATTTTAATTTCTTGGATTAAGTTTCCAATATGTATGCAACATTGTTTTAAAACGGAAATGGGGAACGCAGCATCGAGAAGCCTATGAACATGAGCGTCATCAGAATTGGGCCATGGATTATCAGCCACTTTTTAAACATTAATCAAATATAAATTATCTATTATCCGCGTTTCATAGCCATGCCAATGTAGAAATTGTTTAAAATGAAAATTGTATTGATCGAATTTGGAACGACTTACGGCGAAATGATTACAGCTTTATTCATTCCCGCTTTTGGCAACATTTGCATGATCATACTTTTCAAGTCTATCATCGCCTCTCACTTTTATATCTCAGAATTTGGTACTGCACAAAGATTTACACCTTAATCATAATTTTTCATTTAGGCTAAATACACCTTTAAATAATAAGTTTCCACAAGCAGCTACCGGTATCTAATGGTATTAAATATGCTACTAATTTTTAAGAACCGGAATCTTCACGGATACGCATTAACCGCCCCACAAATTACACCAAGCGTGAATTTGAACCCTGCAATGAGAAACATAATTGCGGTAGTGAGTTTCACGTCACCGATTGTTAACATAGTCTAACGCTTTAACCTCGCGATCATTGCGACCAGCACAATAGAACGACGATTTCCTAATAAAACAACACTTTTGTTTGCTAAAGGTGTTAGTTACTTGCAAGTTCAAATATTTTGAATTGTGTATGAATACATATGAATCAGTAGCTCACTTTGACTGGTGTACACGGAATGAATTCTGAAACGTTATTAAATCTATGGTGAAAAAGCCATTCAGTCGAAGTAGCAAGGAATAATCATGGGAGAAAAGTTCAATACAATCTGAAAATCTATCATAGCAATATAGGTTTTGTAAACTTTTAACCTTTATTTTGGTCTGTGACGCAAATTTGAGTATTCAATATATTGAACTTTAAAACCAAACAAGTCTACTTCACTCTACAAATTTGGTCTTGAGTGAAAAAACAGGTGGCATATACTGAACACTTCGTCATTGCCACAGATTGACTTTACTGAACATAATTTGAAGATTTATATCCGTATTTTTATATATATCGCATATAAGCAACAACGCAGAAAATTCTAGTATTATTCCAATATTACACTACAAATTTTAAAGTTGCAAGATTCTTAAAATTCATTTTAGGGAAGTAAATATGTCCATTAGACGTTTGAGCACAGAAAATAAACCGTTATATTACAATGACCATTAAAATCCAGCACTGATTGCCTAACAATGAAACGTAGAATCACGAACTATTCAAACTATAAATGTGATACCGGTCACAGTCAGCACGTTAACGCACTGTGGCTTCAGCTATTCACATAAAGAAATGTTTGTAACAAAAATGACTGGGTTACATTCAAAAGTCCTAGAGATCAGCTACTAAACTAAGAACACTAAGATGCTGAAACACAAACAACTGCCATCATGAGTACCTATACGGTACAGCGACTCCAGAACTTCATATATAGTTCTCCTCTTCGCTTCAACCAGACATTAAGTTAGATTATTTGGTGGAAATGAAGTTTGATGAAAAACGTCAAACGCAACATTTCCCCCTCCGTTATTAAATTATAGACGAGCACGTAATTCCAGGTCATATAACCTGGCTATAGATTGTTAATTTATTGTTCTTGGGATGTCTAAAGTATTTCAGAGTGGTACGCCGTTGTAGTGTGTGTTTATCCTTGGTCCATGCTTGATCAGAGATTCCTCACAATCGCGTCTGTGCAAGTCACGGTCGGGCGGCGAGTTCGTCATTGTTTTTTTGTTTTTTCTTGTAAGTGTAGATGACATATCATGCGTAAATTTGCGCCTATATTACTCTTGCTACGTATTACAAAGTCATAGTGGCTTCGCTATATATAAAACAGATATAAAATCGGCGTCCGACGTTCCTTCAACAAAAAAGTTACCTTTGTATATATTCATCCATTTTACTACAATGTGATTTTAATGTGTACAAATTTTTCACAAAGTAATGTTTATTCGTATGTATATTTGTCATTTCATTATAGTGTGAATATGTATAGTGTAATTGCAAGTGTGTCTAAGCTTATAAATATAAACCACTTTGTGTTTACCAGCTACGTATTTCATGCGACCGTTGCCAGAATACGTTACATACAAGTGGCGTTTCTCGAGTGTTTGAACAAAGAGTGATTGCTATTTTATTTAAGGATGTCCAAAAGGGATCAGATTGGCGGGAAATATATGCGTAGGAGAATAGTTACATCCGCTACAGGCGTTCAAAATACAACAAGTATTCTCAAAAATCGTTTCAGGCAACTATGCAGTCTAAATAACGTCCCACCACTTGCTAATGTCATGTTAAACCGAGTAGCTTCTAAATCACAAAGCACATGAGAATATTTAATTATAATATTGACAAAGAAAATATTACAAAATTTTTTTAAATAAATATTCATGTTTAATTGAGTCAAATTTTGAAACGGGCAAGTGGCCAATTACTAATTGTACACGCTATTATCTGACTGTGGTTTCACTATATATATTCCGTACAGGCGATTTAAACTACTAATTACACAATATAAAACACCCTTTAATTTGGTCATTTTAGAAACAACTCAACACTAACAAATAGGGATTAGGTTTAAAATAATGACAATACTAATCCACATTTTCTTTAATCAAGCTTAATCTAATGTGGAAGTACGCTTATATATATATATATGTCCTTCTGTCAACGCCTAACGAATGATCTGTATCATATTCCTTGCCTTCGGTTATTAGAATAAATGCTGAACATTACTGAAATTTATCTCAAAAAAATTATTTATCATTGATGATGTACCGATTCACTTCCACTCAATGTACGTATTTTAAATTTTTTGTTCTGAAACTAACGCAAAAGGAAGTAAACAACGTGAAATGAATTATGAACGTCATTCCGATGGAAAGACTGAGAATTACCTTCCCAATAAAGTTGTTAACGCTTTACGGTCAACCCAATAAAAGCCCAAATTCGAAATAATCCCCGGATGCTATATCGAGAACTATTTTCTAAGCTACGTATTGAATTAATAATCTCAAAACTACATGGTTGGGATGGGTTCGAGTATGAGACAGGCCAAAAATGGGCTTATAGTATTCTGAGAATAGATTATACGCCGGTGTGTAATCATTAGGGTTATGCGGTGAAATCCAACCGATTTGGTAACGCCGTCTTGTGGATTGTGAATTCTTTTTCCAAAAAAGTAGAAACAGCGGAACCAACGAAAATAATCCAGGCCCAGTCTAAATCAGGTAGGCGGCGATGCAGCGTATACAACAAACCAAAAAAGTGCATCCTTTTTTCAAAATGCCAATCCTTTAAATCTGACCGAAATTGCCATTCGAAAAAGTATAAAAAGTACGAAGTACGGAGAGTGCAAAAGATTTGAAGCTTTGTCAAATAGAGCTTGGTCAAAACGAGACCGTGTTAAAAAGATCGAGAACAAAATATTCAGGTTTAAAAAAAGTTGACTGAAGATAGCAGCCGACATTGGAACTTGTATATCATTATTCTTTTACGTATTCTCGATGGGACCTCCATTCTTTTAGCATGGTAATTTTGACATTGTTTATGTGGAACGAATTGTTGGAAAACGGAAATGAATGAGGTGATCAATACACTTTCCAGCATAAGCATCAGGCTTTGTGCGTTATTCCAAGTCTTACTTTGAACTCAAATAGCAATAATTTTGTTGCAGACGTTTGGAGGGGTGTCTCGTTTATTTGCAAAACCGCTAGTTTAAAGCGTATTGTGCAATTAAAAACCATTATTATTAATCTCAATATCAAATTTGTCCCCAACACTATTGCGATAGCAAGAATATACATAGTCTATATGTAAAATTCCTTTCGACTATTTTTCCTTATATGGAATCGTTCCGGTCAGATTAAAAACATCATATCTTTACCCAACAACAGACTCCGATTAACAAAATATTCAGTGATAACAGTTCAAAGTGCAAACCTTTTACTGTTTTATTCAACAAATTTGACTTTGATGGCGGACCTCTACAGATCTGAACGTGAAACACCGCTTTTGATTGTAATGTCAAATATCCACTTGCTAGCTCCGATACTAGCAAATAGCAATAGGCATCTTCTTCATCACTACTCAGATTGCAATGTTATTATAAATATTCAACGGACTTACTTTTAAAGACTTGACAACTCTTAACAATGCCCCCATGGTTTAAATAATATGTTTGGTTTACTGGTCAACTTTATTTTGAATGGTATGAATAACAATAAGAATTAAATATAAAACCGTAAATTATTGTTGTATGTTACATCGGAAAAGCTCATTTATCTTCATAAATTAATAACTGAATACAATGCAAGAATAAGATATTGTACATAAACTTGAAGCCATTTTTCCATGTTTACTTTCGCTTCGGATCCGTATGTTTCTGCTGAATACTTGAACGAGACAGTATTAGAGTAGTAAGTAAGATTAAGTTATTTCAATTTAACAATACAATGTTTCAAAAAAAAGCCAAGCTGTTGTGTGCTGTTTAATATTTTTGAATATAACATATTATAACTTAAGAATACTATTTATGGTGTTATTATAATTGGTAGATTCTAAATCCCTTTATATCCAAACAATTCATGCTCAACAAAGTGAAACACGCCGAGTAATGACCTAATCAAGCAATGAAACTGGGAAGCACGGGGAGTTCTCTGCTGTCGATAGAAAAGTAAAATAAATTTTGTGCCTACCAATGTGCTCTGATGCCCCCGTGGGGGACGGTGCCTGGTCGGGGAGCACTGGTTATCACTAAAAGGCAATTTGTGTTTACCTCTTTATTTTCTTTTCAAGGTCGTGTTCAAGGGTACTATTCTTTTGCTTTGCATCGTGACATGTTTTAACTTTCGAGGATTCATTTATTTGCCCCTATACAGAATAGTTTTAAAACAATGTATGTTGTTATTGTTGCTTGACTACATCACGTAAAAGTATTTGTGCGTATATGTATTCTAAGAATTTCAATTCTTGAATACACAAATAAGAGTAGGTATTCATTTTGCTAATATCTATGCAAACCCTGTTGTTAATATTGTCCTATGGTTCATCAAACATGGTTGTACAATAAATGAGAAACTTACGCCGTAAGCGAAAATAAATATTCATTTATTTAATGAAGTAGCATTTCTTTCTTCAGTGATCATTGTCTCGGTGATTTTGATCATGCTTCACCTCAGAGATCATTTTGTCAGCAATCGGTTTGCTCTTTATTTAGTTATAGTTACGTGATTTTGTGATTTTATTTGAACTTGAAATAAACAGGGTACTCAGGTCGAAGATGCCTCTTTTATAAATAATTCTGTTACAGATTCAGCATGCTAACTTAGAGCGTTCTATGTTGAGGAAGAGCTGCCAAGCGCACAGGCATATTAACCGAGGTATATTGTTAAAAGGTATTTCAGACTATGTTGAACGGAGACAATTTCCGTGTTTTTTTTTTTACTTTTGTCGGACTATTTCAAACAACGAGCAATCATTCCAACCTATTTTATGAACGTGGAAAATTACAGATTGATTGGAGATGGCCATAACTGTCTAAGACTCTAAGTGATGACTTTATAATCAAACGCATTTCTGGTGTAATTTGGACCGATGGTTGACCGCGAACATAAATGTTACTCGAGCAGGGACAGGGAATCAAATGTGAGCTAATATGTTTAGTCTGTTATGGAATGAAAATAATAAGTACGATGAAAAATATGTCAACATTTTTTTGATATTCCCATTCACAAAATTTGAAACAATTTTTTAAATCCCATGCCGATATTTTTTTTTATCATGATATAGTTTTTATCAGCCTGAACGTCATCGATAATTCAACTTATCTGGCGATGTTTTGTTAAGAAAAACATAAAATAATGTTGAAGCAGATACCTCTCGTACAAACTTTTTTGATTTCTGTTCTATTTATTTTCCATTTCTATAGATATATAGATTTTATTTTTATTGAAAGCAAGAATATAATCTTGATCCAACATGGCAGAAGAACAAACGCAACAAAATCCAACTCTACCGGGACAAGTGGCACCAAGTGCGCCGAGCACGGTTCCAGGGTATGAGAATACCGGAGCAGTGCAAGCTGTCTATACTGCTCCCACAACAATTATTATGGCTCCCGTGTCTCAGACTATGGAACGTGAAAATGATTGGTCTTCGGGATTATGTGGATGCTGCAACGATCCTAAATCCTGTGAGTATTTTTTCAAACGGGCGTCTGATATTGGGCACGGAGTGAACATATAGATCGTTTTGATAAATATTTGTTGTTCTTGTTGCTGTTGAGATGATTGATATTCATGTGGAAAAATTTTATCCGCAACCAATAAATCAATCGCTTTGAATTTGTGTCCTAATAAATACTGAAATACGTATACAAAAAAGTAAGTTGCTAAAAGTATATTACCTTTCTTTATTTTGGATATATGTGCCTTTCAAGGGATGCGATATTTCACCATGAATTTTGATGTTTTTGTTTCAATTTATGGAAAGTTTTCTTATGCTTTTTAAGTTGTCTGTCGTTCACAAAAGAATACGTGATTAAACAAATTTTAATTGAAGTTTTATTTTCAGTATTATGCGCAATGTTTTGTCCATCATGCTTCGCGTGCAACCTCGCAACAAGGTTTGGTGATAGCTGGGTGTACGGATGTTTGTGCTACTATCATCTCATGCATAGTTCAAGAGTGGCAATACGTTACAGGCACAAAATCAGGGTAGGTTAAATCTATTCTATCTACTTTGTATTCTTGCTGCTTTTTCATAACAATTCGCACTAATGTGATGCGAATGTATTTATAAAAATATGTGTGTTTCCTTTTTACAGCCAGCATGAATTTAGGCGTGAAATATTTTGACTTCTTTACCGTACATTCTTGAAACCTTCATGTTCTGTAGAAAGTGACTGATAATATGTAATTGCATAAACAGGGTAATTTGTGCGACGATGCTATCATGAGTGGTTGTTGTTGCTGTTTGAGCCTTCTACAAGTCTATCGTGAAATGGACCACCGTGGCGAACCTTCTGGTACCTGCTTTGCGATTTAGAAGCATCAGTTTTATATTATATTATATATTACGTATAATGTTCTAGATATATTAATTTACCCATAACCTCATCCGTAGCTGACTGACCGGGCTTATGTTCAATATTGACTATACGTGATATGCCGGTATGCTCTATGATTTTGTATAGAACTTTTTTAAATTGTTGTTTGGAATGAAGATAAAATATAATGATTGGCAATAAATTTGTGTCTTAGAAATGAAGCAGTCCAGGGTTCGTGAAGTATAGTAAAGTGTAACTACGGATCTCACGACAGTTGTTGTTATATTTGCTTAAAATATTCAATTCGAATTTATAGGGTGGTTTCTAAAAAATTATTGAAACTTCACATAGGAGCGACTTTGCATTTAATTTTAACTTCCCTGTTTGGTCATGCCATCTCCAATTAAAAATCTCATTTAGTTGGAGTCGTGATCATAGCTCAATAGTTCAAACAGCCCAATCAGCGTCAATACAATTTGTTGTGGTTTAGTAGTACGGTATATATTCCGACAACCAGCTCTATATAATTGAGATTTTAAGGAAAGATTTGAAAAAAAGAATTGCTTTGCTTTTTCAAAAAAATATTATGCAAGGTACGCTTTTGCAAAATTATAGCAAATTTTGCGTGACCAATAAGTAAAATATTCATGATATCAGTCGAATCACAGTCCTGTAAACGTACCGAACAAAAAAGGGACCTCCTGAAGTATGCGCATCAAAATGGCGCACAACCTGAACTCAGGTTGGGTACCTGGTTAGGGTTCAGGTTGTGCAACATCTTGGTGCGCATACTTCAGGAGTAGTCAAAAAATATATCAGAATGGAAAAAAATGTCACGATTAAAATCAATCTTCTTGATTTCTCCGCATCATGAAAGCCAACCAGTGTTTCAGCCAGCAATACCAGAACTTCTGTTAGTTCTACATCAACCACCACCGTTCTGTACTACTATTTTTCAAAATGCATACCCAGCGTAATATATACTATAAGTCGAAAGGATCTCGAAGATACAAATGTTGCGAACATAAAACGTAAGCATACAGCAAATAATTCCATACTAAATTACCTCGCTTCAAAATACCCAAACACTTTATTGTTGAAGATATGTGACATATTAATTTCACGTCATTGAAATAGTGCAGAGCTTTCACAAAATCCATAATCTCGATTACACTGATTTATTTACTTTAGACTAGCCTGTTTGATAAAGGCGTCTTAACAGGTACAATACCGATGTTTGATTTATCATTGCTAACATACGCTCTTGAATATAGTCACACTTAACAGCAGCTATTATTAACAGATAGATACACTTACTAGCTAAGTTGTAAGCTGCGTTGCAGATATATTTTCAGTGGAGGCTTAAAATTTGATAGGAAATGGGGCAGACGAAGACAAGTGAGCAAACAAATCGAGTCTAATATTGTCTACCAGAATAGCCAGAGACTTTCAACGGTCGAAACAATTCATATGGCGGTAATCATGTCTAATTCGATATTTGAACTAAGGTTACTGTACCGTCTGCCGCGCGTACAACAACAGACCTCAATGATAATCTCAAGTAGGCCTAGCTAACCTTCATTTCTGCACTTGAAAGCGTTCTCGCAGACACTTTAAATGCTCGATAAATATACATTTATGCCAAATACGTGGGATATATTGTGATTAGCTATCGCGCAACGTAACTTCCAAAAACCCAGTAATTTATGTAACAGCCTACTACAGAATACCAACAATTGCATATCGTAATCTACCTTTCTACTCATTGAAAATCCTGCGTCCGTCGATGGAATGATATTTGCATGTTGAAGTAACGTGCGATCATCATCTTTTTGTAGCAAATTTTTTACCAGTTGGACTGTCCTACTTAATCATCTTATTTCTATATATATTATTTTCAGTCTTCAGATACGTTGTATAATGCATGCATTTACACCAAGCAAAGAATATGAAAACAAAATACTTTTTACTATGTCTAGCCTGCGTTAGCGGAGTAACAATATATTTTGTCATAGTAAGTTACTTTGATCATAGTTATAGTTTTAGCCTCCCGCTCGCTAACTTTAAGGGTATTTTCTCATTTCTACAATTTCTTTATTGTTGCACTGGGCAGCTTGACTGCTATTTGAACTACGCTTATTTTTAAGTGGATTTACCGCGATAAATTTCTCTCAAATCACACAAAATATCTTGGAATGTTACCAAGTGTTCAAATGATGTTGGAAACTATAAATTGCAATGAGTTGTTTGTAGGAAATACTGAAGCGATTGAGAAAGCAAAAGATGTAGTTGACTGGATAAACGACGAGGTAAGATCAAACTCAAGAGTGAATAACAATTATAAATTTGAAAAGTTGACTATTTTTTTCAACATTTTTCAGGAATATCGTTTTGAAAAACAAAATTTTTTTTATGATGATAGAATATCACAACTAACCAGAAATTGCTCGGAATTAAAGTCCACAAGAAAATATATTACACAGCCACTGACAGAAGAAGAACGAAACTATCCAATTGCATACATCATAAGCGTATATAAGTTAGTTTTCCACTTTATTGTATAATAATTTGTATAATATTTAAATACACAAGGGCACAAGGGGGTTGGGGGAGGGAGACGGTCTGGTGGGAGACGGTCTGGTTGGGGGACAACGCTAACTTACGCCCCTTTCGTTCTGAACAAGACCAGGTACTAACAGTCTCTGATGTCTAACAATATCTTGAAGATTCGCTCCTCAGACTTTCTATCGAGCCTAACCCTGACCTGATACACACACTACGTTTCAGTGTCCGCCATATTGTTGCAATACTACGGTGGTACCGATTATTCTTGTTCAAGGAATTAGATGTGCCATGAGGTCAAGATAAAGTTAAAAAAATTTAAGATGAAGACCAAACAACGACATTCTATTTATAGGGGACTCTATTCGTTTGAAAATCTTCTTCGATTGATATATCATCCTCAGAATATATATTGCATTCACATCGATCAAAAATCAGATCCAACATTTCAGAAAAGAGTTAAAGAAATTGTAGATTGCTTTGATAATGTTTTTCTAGCTTCTACGATGACGGAAGTATATTACACACATTGGACAATTGTTCAGTCTAGTTTAAACTGCTTGACAGATCTTGTGGGAGTGTAAGTAAATTATATACTCAAATAGTTCTCATTAACATTGGAATTCATTTATAAAATCGGCAATAATCTGATGACCATTAGTGAATGTTTTATATTGATGTTTTTTGCGTACGAAGTGAACCAATCGATAGTTTTGATAAATTGTTGTTGTTGTTGTTAGTACTCTTGTTGTTTTTTGTCGTGAAAAAAATCAATACTGGACCTATTGCATTGGAATTCTCAATGATTAAAGATTGTTGTTGTCGCTAGAAGGCGCACCGTGTGACAAATCTGCGATCGCATTTCAGCGATCTAGTGACCACCAAAGTGGGTGCTTAGATAAGAAAAACCACCGGTACTGTAAAATTTGATACTACTATTAATATTTGGCTTTCGTGTTCATATACTTGAGTATTGCTCTCTTGTGTCGCAAAGCCAAGCTTCAGAAAATATCCATGATATAGTAAAATAACAAAACTATTCATAAGTCCATTTCGTGTCCAAAAAATATTTGTAGGGTTCTACGTTTACAAAAAAAACGAGTTCATAGATCAAGATTTCCAAATTCTTTTCAGAAAGAAGTCTTATCAATGGAACTATGTATTCAACCTATGTGGACTTGATTTGCCCACTAAATCAAATCTTGAAATCGTTAGGGCTTTGAAGAATTTAAATGGTACTAACAGTGTGGCTTCTGCAAGTTTTGTTGGCCGGGAACACAAAAAGCGAAGGTATTTTATTTGAAGTTTTTTTTATAGAATCCCTATGACGCAGTAAGCATTCAACGTCACAAACTATCAATAAATTTTTGTCATCGATGAAAAGTTTTAATTATAGGCGCTCCCCGTTCCGCCATTATGGATAAGATGCATGAGAAAGACCATCAATACATATTATTCGATTCAGCAACACAAACATACCAAAATGTACCTTTTTGTATTGCAGATATAAATACAAATATAAGATCCCGGGATCATTTTTGGATATATTACCATGGAAAACTAAACATAATCACGTGTGGTTAAAGGCAACTAACCAACGAAAAGTTGCACCTCCACATGGAATTCAAATGTTTTCGGGGACAGATTATTTTATCTGGACTAGAGAAGCCGTCGAATACTTCATAGGCGGTAGGATATTCTTGAATTATTTGCTTCAATGTGTTGACTGCAAGCTGGCTTTGTTTGGACTAAACAATTCCTTGATGTGCCAGGCTCGACGATTCGGCTAATTATTCGGAATACGCTTGCCATTGCAAGAGGATTGCTTGTCTCCCGGCTTCCTCCACCGCCCATGCATCTGAAACAATTAACTAGATAACTAATCCCATACCACAGCGGTTCCCAACTTTTTCGTACGTTCAAATTATTAGGGAAAAACGACTATTGTTGCATTGTGCTATAACATCCGAAAGTAGCCTACTTGGTTATCCGAGTTATGATTATATGCCTGAGTGTTAGTTGTAGTTGTTATTAGTAAACAGCACACGTCCAAAGAAGCAACAATAACTGCAAATAGTAAGACGAAACGACTGAAACCCACTCACTCTGAAACTACCTCAATAGATGATTTAGCATAAACAATCAGACGAGCTCAAGTCAATCAGGCGAGCGATAGTCAAACATGCCTGCAATTCTTTCTGCCGTTTTTTGGGTAAAAGTGATACGCTCAAATATGCCTTTAATAAATTGAAGCTCCAGAAGTATGTGTATCAAGATGGAGCACAACCTGAACTTAGTATGTGTACCAGGTTAGGGTTCAGGTTTTCCCCCATCTCGGTACACATACTTCGGGAGCACCAAAAAATTAGCAATCTTAATTTAATGGTATCAAATGTTGATACAATTTATATGTGATAATGTTACAATGCTTGTTTGGCATTAGGACTCTCAAATAATATTTTAATAATTTTAAGGCATAATATATGAAATAAAACCAGCGACTCATATTTTTTGCAGATCAGAAAATACAAGATTTCTTTGAATGGAATAAAGATACATTAGTTCCGGATGAACACGTTTGGGCGACGATACAGAGAATGCATCCGCAAGTTCCGGGAAGTCTTCCCCCAACCCCCGAATTCCGCGCCACAGAAAATGACGTCATCACAAGGACTAGAACTTGGGCTGATGATAGAACATATCATTGTCAAACAAAATACATCAGATCAATTTGCATATACGGGGTAGCTGACCTTTTCTGGCTGGTAAATCAGAAAGGAATTTTTGCAAACAAACTTGATCCAAATATTGATGTAATCGCTGTGGAATGCTTGTCAGAGTGGATGAGGAATCGAACATTGTCAGGGTTTTAAAATGAGCTCGAATTCTAATCGACTCAAAAATTAATTTTTTTCTGCAAAATGAAGTAATTGTAATGATTGATCTGTGAGCGACGCATTTATAAGGTGCATTCGGTGAATCCACTGCTATTTTTACTGTTTGTATTTCAACCGACTCAAAAAATAAAACGATTCAATTTTTCTAAAATTTATACCCGCCATTTGATTATAGTTGTAGCTGATAGAAAATCAATTCAGTCATTCACTATGGTAGACCTCACACAGTTAGTTAAATCTACCGTATGTCGAGTTATTGTTACAAAAACGTCATAACTCGATTGCTCGTTCATTGACTCTCCGTATTGGAGATGTCACTAACGATTTGCCAATTTCATGACAAACAGGAAAAAGAATTGATCACTTGGATTTCAAGATTAACTGAACATAGTGATAAATTGAAGAAAGATAAACGGATTATTACCTATAAATTTGATAATTCAGACATGCTCAATTAAGGATCGTTGAACTTTCAGTTCAGACTCATAAAATCGAGGTCTGACTAGGGTGGCATTAGCAGAATTGATACACCAAGTTAGCGAAATGTATGTTAAACATCACCAAAAGCCGTTGATATTTTTGATGCCTAAATGTTCATATACATCATCCACTAGTGGACACCACACTGCACGACCACGTAACCGCCAAACGACGATGTATACGAAACCAACCTTAACAGTAATGTACACGTAATTCGAGACTATACTTTTACTTTAGCTTTCAGCATCTATAACTATAGTATAGATAGTATACAGTATCTATACAAACAATATAATATTAACTTCGATGAAAACGGTAGATGACTTACACCACCGAAAATTCACTTGAAAGGGTCATGTGTTGAATACAAATCGGTATCAAAAATTAAATACTATTATTAGTATAATATTGAAGATCAAACACAATGCTAGGTCGTAATATTTGTAGAAATATTTTGCTTCCGAGGTGCCCTACAAAATATATGCCACTTTACATATTTACGGAATTTGAAAACCTAGCAGAATGACTGGCGAATTCGCTTTGCAAACCGTCTGCGTATTTTCAAAAGAATTTGGACTCAATTGATCTAGTTTTCTCATATATTGTATTGAATATAATATGGGCTTTGCACAAGGCATTGCTAAAATCGCGCAAAATTGAATTGATTCTACAATAATCGGAATTGGCTGCTAGAATAATTACAGGGACTGTAGCGACCTTTCCTTGAAATGGATTTCCCGTATCATTTGGTTTTGTTTTCAAAATCTTTTATTTTGGTCACTTCTTTGTTGCCCTCATTGTTCAGATAGGCACGCATTTTTTTCATGCCCGCATTTCAACTAAAAATGTGAAAATTCAACTGACATACAATGGGCCTTTGCCACGTTATAACTTTAGTGGAAATGACAAAAACATCCACAATTTCCGTGAATATATGAACACTATATACATTTTTTTTAATTATCTACAACTGATACAAACATATTTAATTTTGCGTTCAGTTTGTAGTTAAAGTGCAATTGAGGGCACAACTTCACTGTTGATGAGTAAAATTATAATATGCTTCCACTCGATAAAGTTTTCTCAGTCGCAGCTTGATTCAAGTTTCTTAAGGTAGTAGAGATTGAACGTCCTTCCAAATTATAACTGAGACTGGGCATTTTCGAATATCTGATAATATCAAAATCCAATCCAACATTTGTTTCGAATAGAATCTTGAATACTTGGAATATATTCAATTGTATGTGACTATTTCATTGTGATGGGACACCTATATTACTGAGAACATGTTACAGACAGTTTGCTGATCGTTCACACACAATAAGAAACGTGAAAGTATGACTTTTATAAAAAGTGGGGAATTCACCTCGATCTTTGTCGGTAAAATAAGAAAACAAGATGGCGGCAATTTTAAATTTTTGTTCAAACGGATTCGAATAATTTAATATTCGATATTCGATTCAAAATGTCCAGCCCTAATGATGGCTGCTGACGTTTATTGACTTCGAACATGCGCATACATTATGACTTTGGATTGAACAATATAAAATTATGATGATCAAAATAGACTTATCTTTGCTTTTGAAATAGATTAAGAACTAATACCAATATCAATTATTTGAAGACGAATCGTGTTGTTTTTGTCACTCTGATCGTTTTGCTTGCAACCGGATGTTCACCCACACAACACAGGTAAGTATTGCTTGTAGAATGTAAATTGTCTTTCTAGGATAAAGTCTGACTGACACTAAATCTTTTTGAATGAAATGACGATTACGAAGAGCTATTTTAACCCATTCCACCTATTCAAATGACGGCGCGCCCTGCGACGTTTAGTAAAAGGGTTAAAACTTGTGAAAATGAAATATTGTTAATCTGTCAGACAGCTTGCAAATTAACCACAAAAAATCATCATATTTTTGAAACTGTACCCATTCTTTCTCAAGTATTCTCCCACTTAGGAATCAACTGATCATTAGTCCTTCTTGAATAATCTGTACCATACTCCCAAATTTTATTATCGTGATGGTTATTAATATGATTGGATGAGAAAACGTCGTTAAATCATAGTAATTCATTTTTATCAAAACATCTTGTATTTTTTATACAATTTCATCTTGATATTTTCTACGAACTTGCAAAGCAAGCCGACGTTAACGAATCTTCTGAATGAGTCAACCAACAATAAATAGCATTTTGTCTCAACGTTCCAGAATATCGCAAACTTTTTACTTTGTTTTATTATTTAGTTGAATCAGGATTTAAAGGTATGCGTGGAGCTCACTTGAAATTTACAACCCATATACTTGCATACTTAGATACAAGGGTATTTTTATTTTTTTCTAATAATTTGGATGCAACAAAAATTAAAAAAAAGTAACATCATTTCAAAATTTATTTGTATTTGGGTTGGTATTTCGATGCCACGACAACAAATGAATGGGTGCATTTTTTAGATTATTTTGATGTATTGACAAGTTACTGTCGATCTAGTGTAGAAGGGTTTCCTCTCGTTATCTTGAACGCGTTCTGCTACGATAAAATCAGAAGATCCCATTGCCCGGATGCGACAATATTTTAAAAACAGCATAAATGATCCCCAAAACGACTTAATTAAAACAGACATGAACAATAACGAAACACAGACGTGCTACACACAAAAATCCAACCCGACTATATGGTTCCCCAGCCGAAACGTAGCACACGACAACAATATACCTTTTTACGTCCCGCGGAGCCAATTGAAGCAATTGTAACGCTCAATGAGAACAGCGTATAAGATAAACAAGAATCGGGAGACAACACACGCACAAATCCTACACACTAGTGGTTTTTATTTATTTGCTATAATATACCAAAAACAAGCACGCGTGACAAAAATTTCAAGATATTATTGCAAGGCTATGTATAGTTTTCGGCGCCCGCTAATGTATAAACTTACTATTGTTTCTCTAGAACCGATAGAAGAATACCCCTCCCCTCCCCCCAAAAATGCATTCAGAATGCTGGAAAGGAAACGTATTTACGGAGAATGTATTGAATATCAGTAAATCAATAAAGTTTTTTTGCCAGAATCTCAGAATAAAACAACAAGTTGGAGCCTGCAAAAACCACTTGGTAGTAAAAACGTTCGTATGGCTTTACAACCGTTTCATGCACGTAACATAAGATAGGAAATTGTTATGAAACTATTTTTAGAACGGAAGTGGAAAGGCCAGTGTGTTTCTGTTTTTACATAGTTCATATACATTGCTACGCGGCGATCATGATGAACTATGATTAATTTCCTGCCTACTTGCGGTTATCGTGGCATGAAAATGCAACATTGTCATTAAAATTCCCAATACCATTAGATAAACTAGTGAAAGTGACAGAAATATGTAAATCAGACTGAAAATAAAGAGGTCGCGTGTTTTTGTTTTTCGATGTATTCAAAATAAAGTTTACTTTAAATAAAATATCTTATTTAATCAAATAGCATTTCAGTAACAAATATATGAATCCTAATTCTCGGCGAGTCCAATCCAAGTATGTGATCAATGCGATTAAATGATAAAGATGTACGGGAAACAAAAACTAGATTATCACCAGATTCAGTTTTGCTGTTTGTTTTTTTATTGCGTTTACATCCTAAAGATGTTTTATTACTTCGTATGATTAATCAAAACGAATAAAATCGAATCTAACGTGACCTCTGACCCGACTCGACAGCGAAGATACTTTACCTGTGTCACTTGAAATCAATGACTCTATTTTTTATTGAAAATCAGACTCAGACTCGAGTGTCGACTGAGATGCCTTGTGAGTCGATTCGTCCATGAAATCGAGATTTAGGAAGCTGTACTGAGTATAGCTTCGCAGCTCGTTTGATAGCTTGTCTTGTCAAAAAGTCAGCATTAAAGTTACACAATATGTAATGAATATCCATGTACCAAAATATCAATCAAAAAAATCCAATATTATGTGTAATTGTAAAATAGCCATCATGGAAGAAAGATTTTAGGTGCCAACTGGGTAGTAAATATATGATACTTTTTTTACAACTATATTTTCATAATTCAAAGGTAATTTGTGTATTAAGTATTGTGAATAAATACTACTTACAATAATGAAGGATAAACATTTCGAATCAATTTTCAAATTTAAAAATTCTGACCTGACGAATGCTTGGTGCGTAATGAGCAATTTCCACTTCCATTTCCTTTTTCACAAAAGCTTTATTCAAACTTTCATTTTATTTGGGGTTTGCAGGAAACAGTAATAAAATCACTATAAAAATTTAGAATGCAACGATCTAGGTCTATTGAATCATTAGTTCATAGAAATGGGTAAAGTATTCTGACTGTATACACGAATTGTGGAAATGGTGTTTTTGTAAAAGTATTCAAAAATTTAGCGTCGGCTACCGATTTATTCAGTGCATGTTTTTTTTTTATTTAAAACATTGCAGAAAATGAACTTATTTCAATTTTTTTGAAAATTACACATATTTATATATATATTGTGATCGCAGGCGACGTAAATCAGTGGTTAACTCTTAGCTTGGTGACAGTTTAGAACAAAAAGCCGACTTTTTAGACACCGGGCCTGTTATATTCTTAGTCAAAGCCCAAAACTGCTAAATTATAACCTAAAAGTTGGAATTAATATATTATTTTGAAAAGAGTTTGTGATTGATAAAAAAATCGTTGATTATGGTATCTAAATTGTATAAACTATCATTATATATATATAAAACAAACTTAATACTAAAATACAAATAACTTTATTGTGTCGCAAGTTTAAAATTATAGTGGCAAGTAATAGGTATATATATAACTATAATAAAAAATATATATACTTATACCATAATAATATAGACCCTAGGATTTGGAAGAAAATTTGCGGACTTTACTTTGGAACCCCAGTTGGAAACCACTGGTCTATGTATTCTAAAATATTCAAAGATAACAGATCAATTTGATTTCAACAGTTTACTTAGTAAATCCTAATCACAAAATCGAATTTCAAAAAATGAACCTGAAAATTGTTGCATGTCTATTTGTACTTCTGGTGATTGGATGCACGGGAATAAGGGCAGAGTGAGTTTTTCTTTTATCAAATTTTGTTACAAATTTCGAATGAAGAATCGTGACCTCCAGACGTTTTCACACACGGTCGTATTGGATCAAACGTTTTGGCCTAAGATGCCAATTACTTAATTTGTTATTGAAATTAGTGAATATGAAGCACTCCATTATTTTATACTAATATTAAAGTTTAAATTATTAAAATGCTCGAAATCGTTCATAAGTATTCTTGATTGAGATTAAATTTAAAGTAAGTGGACAAAATGGCAAATTGAGCAAAGACGAATTCTCTTATTATTAAAATGTAAGTTTATTTACTGAATGTAAAATTTATTTGTTTACCGATGACATTTTTATACCGTTCATAGTTGTGATCAGATACCCGGAGAAACTAAGAAGGACACTACATATCAAAATCCCATAAAATGGACGGCGCAGTCTCTCCATTGGCTAGGTAAGAGAATGAAATATATACATATTAAAAAGGTATTGATTTTGAAATTTAGTTGTGTTATAGAAATACCATAAGGAATATAATACAAATACACATGTGTGATACGAATTCTACTAATAATATTAAATTTCAATACATAAATAAAAGTTTTGAGTAAATGTAATAAGTAAACAAATCGTTTGCATATATTTTGGCAGAATATCCGGAGAACGACGATATCATTGATAACAACGACGAGGCTGATTTATTCGAATGAAGCGACCTGTCCTAATAAAATATCTATTCAGTTCTGAATTTATTATTTTTCGAACATAGAACAAACTAAATATATTCTTATGAAGCTCTGAAATAGCCTTTGTATCCAGTAAAAATTAAATCACTGATTTTCTATAGTAAATGCTTCACTGTTAAAATTCAAAACGTTATATATTTGATTAATTTCAGTTTTCAAAGCTATTTCAGAGCTTCCAATAATAATCTTATATTCTGTGTTCCAAGTTTCCAAAAAGTAAACCATATTTAAGTTCGATTGGGAGTATACGAAGCATATGTATTTTGAAATAATTATTAACATTTTTAGGATATGTTGATGATATCGGACAATTCGGAGTATTTACTGTGTTTATGTATGAAATGTGCTTTGTATATGTGCTTTTTCGGTTTGAAAGTTGTTAATATGATGACTTGATCAAATGCATACATTTTTAGTAGAGTTCAATTAATTCTTTTGGGTTTATTTAGATAGTTGCCATATGAAATACTGAACACTGTTTGTGTGAATTTGATGTTTTATACATCAGTTAGATATAAAATTGGCCACAGCTACTTGGCCAAAAACCATGGTCTATAATTTACAATAATGGACATAATAGAGTTCATGATGAGGAAGATCATATGTATAGTCAAAATTTGGTAATGTGATGCAGTTGGTGAGTCGTTTCATGCGCTAACAGTTTCCCCGATGGTATTATTCATTGGGTGCGTTTCCTACCTATTGTCACTCAAATTAAGAATAGTCGAATCCAAGAGTCGGTAAATACAGACCCGCTGCCGGTGCATAAAGAGTTTGTCATCGTGCTTATACTAGCAACTATCGTCACTTAAGAAATAGCAGGGATATAAGTTGACCTCATTTTCAATATTACCTGACCAACACTCAAGTCATTCACTGTTTGGAAAAATATTCACTAAAGTTCTGAAATTCAAGAACACACGGTTTGTCGTTTTGCTGTCAAAAACTTATTTGATATACTTGTAAATGAGGCAAAGTCCAGCTAAATATCGATAATTTCAAATAACAGTTCGGGTATGAGTTGATTCGTATTTAAAGCTTCTCACACCGTACAGCTTGGGATTTGTGGCACATGCCAGTGATTTTTATTCTTTTTTTTGTTTTTTATTATGTCGTGTCTAAATACACCCTGCAATAGGGTAAAAATAGAGAAACACCCCAATCCGTAAAAATTGTTTTCTGGGTTTGTTTGTTTGTTTTACACAAAATAGGCATAAAAACAAAAGGACAATTACAAAAAAAAAACATTATTTCCACACGGTGGAAACATATTAAATGTTTTGCTCAATTTTAGATATGTTTTTGGAAAAAAATGCCTCATTTCAACTATTGGTCCAACAGATAACCAATTTCAATACATAAAAATGGAAAAAATTATTAGAAAATAACTATTTATTTTCCTAATATTATGAAACCAAATATATCCATATTTGTTGAAAATTTGGTGAAACTCAGACTCGAGTGACGACTGAGATGCCTTGTGACTCGATTCGTCCATCAAGTCGAGGTTTAGTAAGCTTTACTGAGCATAGCTTTGCAGCTTGTTTGATAGCTTGTTTTGGCAAAAAAACGCCATTAAAGTTACACATTAATTTCAATGTAAAGAATATTTATCAATCAAAAAAATTCCATATTATTTGTACAGAATTGTAAAAATAGTCATCATACAAGAAACGTTTATTTTGGGTCGCAACTTGGTGCCAAGTAAAGATTTAATATTATTTTCATATTTATTAATAATTTCAATGTAATTTGTGGAAAAGTATTGAGAATAAATACTATTAGCAATAATGAAAGATAAATATTTCAATTTATTATTTTCAAATTTGAAAATTTTGCATCGTTTTCCTGATAAATGTTTGGTCCATAATGAGTAATTTCCACTTCCATTTCCCTTTTCACAAAAGCTTTATTCAAACATTCATTTTGTTTTGGGTTTGCAGGAAACAGTATGAAAATCCCTATAGAAATTTGGAACGCATTAATTTAGGTCTATTGAATCATTAGTTTATAAGAAATGGGTAAAGTATTCTGACTGTATACCCGAATTGTGAAAAAGGTGTATTTTGTATACAAAAGTATTCGGAAATTTAGCGCCTACTTCCAATTCATTCAATGCATTTTTTTATGCAGAACATTGAAGAAAACGGACATATTTCACATTTTTGAAAATTACACATATATATATTGTGATCGCAGACGACGTAAATCAGTTGTCAACGACGTCCAGAGCTTGATGACAGTTCTGAACAAAAAGCCGACTTTTTAGAAACCGGTCTTGGTATATAGTCAAAGCATAAAAATGCTAAATTGACACCTAAAAACCCAGGTTAAAAAAAAAAATTTTTTTTAAAGGGTAGCAAGTTTAAAATTATACCGGCAAAATTGATAAGTATTTAATTATATTTATACATATATCAATATAGATTCTCGGATTTCAATGAAAATTTTGCGAACCTCTGTACTGTACTTCGGAACCCCAGTTGGACACCACCGGCCTATATATTTTGAAATATTTCAATATAACAGATTATTTGATTTTAACAGTAAGTGCTAATCACAAAATCGAATCTCAAATAATGAATCTGAAAATTGGTGAATGTCTATTTGTACTTCTGGTGATTGGGTGCGCAGGAATAAGGGCAGAGTGAGTTTTTTCTTTTTGACTTTTATTACAAATTTCGAATGAAGAATCGGGACTTCAAGACGTCCCTACACATGGTCGTTTTGAACCAGACGTTTCGCCATAAAATACCAATCATTTATTTCGGTACTTAAATTAGTGGAAATGAAGCATTTTATTATCATTTATTATTATTCAATTTTTAATTATTACAATTTTCCAAATCGATTAAAAGCATTTTTGATTAGGATAAAATTGAAAGTTTGTAGATAAAATGAATAAATTCTTTTGAAGCACAGAGGGTACAAAACTCGAAAACCGGATTAACTTATTGCTAAAATGTAAATATTTGTTTGCTATTAACACTTTTTATACTGTTCATAGTTGTGATCAGATACCCGGAGAAAGTATGAAGGACACTACATATGAAAGACATAAACCCTGGTCGCCGGATATCCGATTGTCAGGTGAGAGAATGAACTTAAAAAAAGATAGTTTTAAAAATTTAATTGTGTTATAGAAAAATAATATGGGATATACCATCAAATTTATGTGTGTTACGAATTTTACTATTGATAATATTTTTCATTATATCAATAAAAGTAAAAGTGACGAGAAAACAAAAAGTTTGCATATATTTTGGTAGGATATCCGGAGAACGACGATATCATTGATAACATCGACGAGGCTGATTTATTAGAATGAAGCAACAGGTCTTAATAAAATATCTATTCAGTTCTGAATTCATTATTTTTCGGGCATGAAACAAACTAAATAAATTTTTATGAAGATCTAAAATAGCCTTTTCATCCGGTAAAAACTAAATCACTGATTTTCTATAATAAATGACTAAATTAGTCCAGTTCCAGGTTTCAAAGCTATTTCAGGGCTTTTAATAATAATCTTATATTTTGTGTTCCAAGTTTCAAAAAAGTAAACCATATTTACGTTCGATTGGGAGTACGAAGTTTATGTATTTTGAAATAATTAATAACAACATTTTTCGCGTAGGTTGATGATACCGGATAATTCGGCGTACTTACTGTGTTTTATGTATGAAATGCTTTGTATTTGTGCCAGTTTTCTTTTTCAGTTTGAAAATTTGAACAAACATTGTTAAAATCACGAATTGATTAAATACATACACTTTTTCAGCAGAGTTCGATTTTGCTTATGGGTTTATTTGAATAGTTGCCACGTGAAATAATGGGTATTTTCGCAGTGTATGTACCAGGTTTGGGTTAGGTCATATAATTTTATTCCAATTTTCCTTATTTTAGTTCTACTACGAGTTCTGTATGTGTTAACCAATTGAATACACCCCCTGCCAATAGATTTCAGTCCCTTTGCACAACTTGATGTAAAGTAGGCGAACAAAATGAATTACTTCAATATTGATACACACAATTCAGAAGCGCCAAATACTGACTGGTCTATGTGGATGTCATGTGTTAGACATCTCTTTGTTATAAAAGTGACTAAAACTACTAGGCTGAAAAATTAAAAAAATATGGACAGAATAGAGTTGATGATGAGGATGATCATATGCATAGTCCAAATTTCGTGGTGCAGTCTATGAGTCATTTCGTGCGCTAGAGGTTAGTTCCCCGATTTCATTATTTATTAGGTTTGTTATCTACTTATTGCCACTCCAATAAATAATGATCGAATTCAAGGGTCGGCAAATACAGGCCCTCTGGCCGCTGCCGGTGCACGAAGAGTTTGTTATCGGGCTTACACTAACAACTATTTGAATTTTAATGATTGATAAAAAGTACAGATATATTTATTTAATTACTTTGAATTCGAATTTACTACATTATGTCAAATATATATTCTCAAAAGCAAGCATGTTTCTTCCTGACAAAAAAAGAATGAGGTTTTTTGCAGGTAGAAATTTTAGTTGCACTGCGCAGGAAATCGGAGTGAATTCAATGTTTTAGCTGATCGCTGGTTAGCGCCAAAGATTTTTGTCATGCTTGCTGAACAATAAAACATTACAAGTTGTGTTCGAAATGCTACAATTGTACGACTTTCATCACTAAATGAATATCTTAGATACAAGTTGAGATGACTTTATTTACTGATTTTTATTATTACTTACCAAAATTCAAAGAAGTCATTCCGTCTTTGAAAAAATATACTTGAAAATTTAATTACACACGGTTTGTCGTTTTATTGTCAAAAACTTGTTAGATTTACTTGTAAAAGAGCCAAAGTTTTGAGTTGATTGGTATTCAAATCATTTTACACGGTACAGTTCGGGATTTGTGGCACAAGTCAGAGATTTTTTTTTTTTTTTTTTTTGTTATTTTATATAAGTTCAGACTAGTGTGCCAGACTCGAGTCAAGTTTGACATGGTCGGACAAATTTAACGAGGTATTTGACAAAATTTAACCATATTTCGTAGATTTATGTGCTTCGACATGTATAAATACATCTTACAATAGGGTGGAAACAGAGAAACACCGCCAAGCGGGAAAAAAGTTTTCTGGATTTGTTTTACACCAAATGGGCATAAAACCAAAAGACAAATACAACAAAAAACATTATTTCCACACGGTGGAAACATATTGAATGTTACAGTTGTTTTTGATATGTTGTTAGAAAAATGCCTTATTTCAGCTAATGGGCTAACAGATATCAAAGTTTTAATACCTGAAAATGGAAAATATTATTAGAAACATACTATTTGTTTTCCTAATATTATGAAAACGAGTATATCCATATTTACTGAAAATTTGGTGAAACTCAAACTCGAGTGACGAATTAGATGCCTTGTGAGTCGATTCGTCTTTCAAATCGAGGTTTAGGACGCTGTACTGAGCATAGCTTCGCAGTTTGTGGAGTATTGACAAAAAGCGCCATTAAAGTTACACAACATTTCAATGTGATAAATATATATTTACCAAAATCAATTAGAAAAATTCTATATTATGTCTACAGAATGCTAAAATAACCAACATATAAGAAACGTTTATTCTAGGTGCCAATGGGAAGGAATTGAAGATCTAATATATTTTTTTCATATTTATATTTTTATAATTTCAAGATAATTTGTTAAAAAGTATTGAGAATAAATACTACTAATAATAATGAAAGCTAAATATTTCGAATTTTTTGCATCGTTATCCTGATGAATGTTTGGCCCGTAATGTGTAATTTCCACTTCCATTTCCCTTTTCACAAAAGCTTTATTCAAACTTTCATTTTGTTTTGGGTTTGCAGGAAACAGTAGGAAAATCACTATAGAAATTTAGAACGCAACGATCTAGGTCTATTGAATCATTAGTTCATAGAAATGGGTAAAGTATTTTGACTGTATACACGAATTGTGGAAATGGTGTATTTTGTATACAAAAGTATTGAAAAATTTAGCGCCTACTTCCGATTCTTTTAATGCATTTTTTTAAGCATGAAAAATGAACTAAATTCTTTTTACATTTTCTAAAATTAAACACATATATATTGTGATCGCAGGCGATGTAAATCAGTAATTGACGACATTCTGAGCTTGGTGATAGTTCTGAACAAAAATCCGACTTTTTAGACACCGGGCCTGGTATATGCTTAGTCAAATGCTAGATTGAGACCTAAAAGTTGGAATTAGTTTATTTTTTTTTTAAAGAGTTTGTGATTGATAAGAAATCGTCGAAAATATTTGTATATATCTAGATTTTATAAACTAACAATATATATAAACAAAAAAAAACTTGATACTAAAAAAAAATAACTTTATTGTGTAGCAAGATTAAAATTATAGTGGCAAGTAATAAGTATATATATAATTGTAACAAAAAATATATATTCTTATATTAATATAGACTCTCGGATTCAAATGGTAATTTGGTGAACCCCTGTACTGTACTGTGGAACCCCAGGTGGAAACCAAATATTCTAATATAACAAATTGATTTGGTTTTAACAGTTTACTTAGTAAATTCTAATCACAAAATCGAATCTCAAAAAATGAACTTGAAAATTGTTGCATGTCTATTTGTAATTCTGGTGATTGGATGCACAGGAATAAGGGCAGAGTGAGTTTTCCTTTTATCAAATTTTCTTACAAATTTCGTATTTAGAATCGAGAGTTCCAGACGTCTCTACACATGGTCGTTTGGAACCAGACGTTTCGAATTAGGATACCAATTACTTATTTCGGTATTGAAATTATTAAAAGGGAAGCATCTCAATATTTTATAACAATATTCCATTTTTTTGTTTATATAATTATCGAAATCGATTAAAAGCACTATTGATTAAAATTAAATTAATACTAAAATGTAAAATTTTATTACTGTTCATAGTTGTGGTGATCAGATACCCGGAAAAATTGAGAAGCACACTACATTTCGAAGATCCAGAAGATGGCCGAAAACGTTTCTCCCATTACTAGGTAAGATAATGAACATATTAAAATATGATTATTGCGGCTTTTTTGTGTTATGGAAAGGACATATGGAATCATACCAATACACATGTGTGTTACGAATTCTACTATTATTAATAAATTTCAATACATAAATAAAAGTTTTGAGTAAATGCAATAGGTAAACAAAACCTTTTCATATATTTCGACAGGATATCCGGAGAACGACGATATCATTGATAACAACGAAGAGACTGATTGGTTCGAATGAAGCAACATGTCTTCCTAAAATATCTATTCAGTTCTGAATTTATTATTTTTCTAACATAGAACGGACTAAATATATTTCATGAAGCTCTGAAATAGCCTTTTCATTCAGTAAAAATTTAATCACTGATTTTGTATAATAAATGCCTCACTGTTAAAATATGAAACTTCATTTTATTAGTTGATTATTTCCACTTTTCAAAACTATATCAGGGCTTCTAATAATAATCTTATATTTTGTGTTCCAAGTTTCCAAAAAGTAAACCATTTTTACGTTCGATTGGGAGTGCGAAGTTTATGTGTTTTATAATAATTAACAACATTTTTCGCGTAGGTTAATGATACCGGATAATTCAGCGTACTTACTGTGTTTTATGTATGATATGCTTTGTAAATGTGCCCGTTGTCTTTTTCAGTCTGAAAATTTAAACAAACATTGTTAAAATTACGAATTGATTGAATACATACATTTTCAGCAGAGTTCAAATAATTCTTATGGGTTTACTTGAATAGTTGCCATGTGAAATACCTGGTACTCCCTTAGTCTGATTTTCTTTATTTTAGTTCTACTACAAGTTTAGGACTGTCCGTGTTAGCCAATTGAATATACCCCCTGCCCATAGGTTTCAGTCCCTTTACACAACTTGATGTAAAGTAGGCGAACAAAATTAGCTACCTCCATATTGGTACACACAAACTTCAGAAGCCCCAAATACTGAATACTGGTTTATGTAGATGTCATGAGCTAGACATCAGTTAGATATGAAACTGTCTGAAACGACTTGGCTAAAAATAACAATTTTGGACAGAATAGAGTTGATGATGAGGATGATTATATACATAGTCAAAATTTTGTGGTGTAGTCTATGAGTCGTTTCTTGCGCTTGAAATTATTTCCCCGATTTCATCATTTATTAGGTTTGGTATCTGCTTATTATCACTCCATTAAAGATTCAAGAGTCGGCAAATAAAGGCTCGCTGGCTGCGGCCGGTGCATGAAGAGTTTGTTATCGGGCTTATACTAGTAACTATTTAAAATTTCAGCTATTGATGAAAAATACAGATTTATTTATTCAACTTTGAGTTCGTATTACCTACTTTGCGACAGATACATATACTAAAAACTCAATGCAAAGCAAGCATGTTTCTTCCTAAAAAAATATTTAAAGGTTTTTGCAGTGAGAAGTTTAAGTTGCACCGTGCCGGAAAGCGTTGTGAATTCAATATTTGAGCTAATCGGTAGATGGCGCCAAAGATTTTTGCATAATCGGCAAGATTGTTAGGTTTGTATCTATGGATTTCAGAATTGTTTGATTTACTCGTAAACGAGCTTGAGTTTTGATTAATATTGGTATTTTCATAAGACTGTTCAGGTAAGAATTAATTCGTATTCAAAGCATTTTCCATGGTAAAGCTTGGGATTTGTGGCACATGCTGGAATTTGGTTTTTTATTTTGGATATTTAATAGAGTGTGTTATATCATATATATATATATAAGTTCTGACTGGTGTGGCAGAATCGAATTAAGTTTTTTCGGTCAAATTTGACTAGCTTGGAATAACCACATTTCTTGGATTAATGTGCGTCTACGTGTCTAAATACAACGTACATTGTGATGAAAATAGGGTAAACTGCAGAAAAACCTCGTTGCACACGATGTGACGTATGGAATTTTTTGCTAAATTTTTGTTGTTGTTGTTGAAACAAATGTATCATTTCAACTAATGGGCAACGGATATAAAATTGTTAATACTTAAAGATGGAAGAAATCACTAGAAAAGTATTATTATGGAACCCAATATTGCATCTAAACTTGTGCTCCTTTCATTTAATGCATTGGAATACTTTATTAAAAAATAGGATGGTTTCATTCCGTCACGCTTGCCAGTCAATCTTTTTTCAACTAAGATCTACTTGTGGTACCAATGGAACTTTCGTGTCCATGTATTCAAGCATTGCTATTTAGTTTTTTCATGTCGAAAATTACATTCATTCGCGAGAATTAAAATATATAAATCTATGAGCATAGGATTAAATTGACTTATCCTTTAAAATAAATTATGTTTCAATGTCTAAGTTAAGATTCATAATATCCAACGTCAAAATAATCCAGCAACATACGATTCTTCATATGCTCCATGGTATCAATATTCTGGTTAATTAACTCACTTACAATTTCACCATAGGTAGCTTCCTATCTCAGCTGTTTTAATCAACATCCTCTCCCCGATTTACTTAATCTAGATCGGCTTTGAATTATTTGCGGAAGGCACGCAAAGATAAGACTAATATAGCGACGGAAAACAAAGAGACCAGGACTTCCATTTTGGGGATTAGTAAACAACAATACGCGCCTGAGACAATTACATGGCGGGAAGTAGGCTGATAAGAAAACCTTTTTGTGTGAGGGATATTAAGATTAAATATATTCAGAAAATATTCCTTTTGAATAATTTGTTGAATAATGAAATCAAACTGTTGCACCAGCAATTAGGAAACCAATGCTAGGTAAAATATTACTTGAATTATTGGAGTCCCTTGTATTCTGAATTTTCAGACTTGATTTGTACGCAATTACAAACTGCTCAAAAACAAAATTTACCACATCTAAACTTATATTTTTTAAAATAATATTGTAAGCATTATGTTAGAACAAACATTTAATATGTTTCATCGTTATATCTAAGTATAAATTTATAAAACAAATTTATGACTTGCCACTATCAGAGTCTGATATAATATATTGTATATTAGCAGAAGCAAACATTTTCAATTATTCAACTCAATCTCATTATTTTGATGTCTGTAATTTTACGTGAAATTTACATTCAAATTTACAGTTTTTGCGTACAGTATTGACACAGTTCAACTTGATATCCATGAAGCAGGTGTGGAATAAACGTCGTCAATGTAATTACTAATCAGACATTTTGCTTTGAATTGTTATATCCGGAAAGGGATGCACGCACGATTCGGTTACACGAGAATCTAATCCCGGTGATGATTATGATTATTTCTAAACCAGGGCAACTATGATGTCAAAAATTAGAATTTGCTCTGGTTCACCTGTTTGTTGTATCTATTTCAATAGAATTTAAGTTATACTGTACAGGTGTAAAAAACATAATACTTTTTGTTTCTGAACCAAATGTGGTCTATATGGATTATAGATTCGTTTGGAAAGTTCGGTTGTTGACAATTGTCCACAATACACTAAACGACTGAACAGTCACCACGAATTTGCCAGTAACAGACTATAAATGTTTAATCGCTTGGCATGCGTTTGATTATTAAATTGCTCAATGTAACTAATTCAAAAACGGTTGATTTCAATTTGACTTGTTATATACATCTAACTAATGTCCGAATTGAAAATTAAAACATGTCGCAGCTGTTTAACACATTTTGATATGCTTTATGTATCGGAAAATATTCATTGCGTGCATTTTAAATGAAGTTGACAACTATAGATTATAGCCCAGAGAAAAATTTAAATATGGTGAAATTGCCGAAGGCTGTGTTTGAGTGTGCATTCTGCGGTTTGTAAATTTAATCGACCTTGATTCTCTACCGACGCGCTCAAGTGCGGTAGATTAATAAGAACGTCCAAATAATGAAGCAATTTTGACAATTATGGAAACGTGAATTTGATGTTTCTTTAAAATTTTTCGCTTTGTGTCCGAACATAAAAAATCAGCATTTTGTATACCCTCGAGAAATCACAATTGATTTTTCCTTGAAAGAAATTCTTGTATTTGTCAAAATAGTATTCCCGCTACAGATCACGACCTACCAGACCACTTCGGTGCTTTTCAATTTACCAACTCCCATAGGACGCAAAAAAAGCTTTAATCTATCGTCGACAAGATGAATATTCAACTCAAAACAATTTTTGAAATGCAAAAAATCACAAATCCTTTAGTTTTTAGTTTTGTTTTTTCAATTTATTTTAATACGGATATATTGTTTGTACAAACAATCTAATTTTTCTCAATTTTTTGTGTAATTATATTTAAAATTTGCAATTTTCATTCAAAATGTTTAATGGAAAGTGCAATAATGACACAACACAAAACATTGCTTAAAAGTATTGCCAAGCTTAGCCAAACGTATAGATAGTCACATTATTGAAGGCCAAGGCTAGGCCGCGATAGTACGTTGTAACTGGGATATTCTTGATCTGTTCGATTTTTGGATTTCGAAACACCGTGTCCGAATTCCCAACAGACTTGAATTTCGACTTTTCGTTCTTACAAATTTCATTTCTTCACGTTTTCATTATTAATTCGAAGAATGAGGTTTCATGTATCACTCGAATGATTAGGACATTCTAAAAGTGGTCTCCCACTACGACAGAAAATGTCCGATAATTAATGAGACAATCACTCATTTGCTATTAATGTAATTAAACTTGAGGAATGAACATGTTTTTTAATTATGTATTCATTTCAAAGCCGTCGAGACAGGCCATCCTGTCCAGGTTCGTTATGGGAATGACCGTGTACATCTCAAACGGAAGTAGGCCTACCCGTAACTGAGTCTTACGTTCACTTCTCAGATTATTCCAATAAATGATCGTTTAGAAGTGTGGTATGGTGGAATATGATTTTCCAACTGCTGCACCACGAGTTAACTGTGCTATTTCGATCTTACGGACAAGCCTAGCCCATCGATAATTGTGTCAGTTTGACGTATAACGCTGAAATTGGATTAATTCAGCTATTTAAACTGCAAAACTACATTCGGGCATGTTTACTCTGACAGTTTATTGAACCTTACGCACGATGTTTCTCACTTTACGTAACTACGTCACGTCGCGCCAGACGTCGGGCGTGCGAATGTTGTTTTATGTTTCTTTATTTTATATTGTGCGCCTATTGACAATATGTTTTCCACTTTTCACAGCTGATTTGCGAATGTTTTCTCTCACTCGTCCATATTTATTCTCTCGTATTATTACATTCCATCTCACTCACCATGTGTTGCCTCTTTCTGCAATTGTTGAATGCTCTTCATATATGTATAAAGGAGCGAAGGAATTTCTCATATATGGTCATATTGGTCTCTAAGTATCGCCCAGGCATGGTAATGGGTCACGCGTGCCTTCAAATAAGATGCCACGCGTGATCGATGGCATCAGTCATGCACTTCCGATTCCCATTGTCCGAAATAATGAATATTAATGTCTGGCGATCAAATAAGAAAAAGAAGAAAAAGGTTCCTGTTCGTTCAACAGACATGAAAAGGTCTTTAAATCAGTGTTTAGCGAGGATTTCCTGGTTTAAATAGCGAACAGCGTGAAAGGCCGACACGTTGTTTAGTGCTACATATGTTCAAAATAAATCTTGGCAGACTGAAATGGCGAGGGAATATTTTTAGTGACTTCAATCTTTTCATAGTTGATTTCATTTGTAGACAGTTGCATTCGTGGAATAATTCAGGCAGTGTTTAAGTTTAGCAGAAGGATTTAGAATAGCAGAATCTGATAATGTATGATAGTATAGTTATAGTATGGTTTAGTACTGTACTTTAGAACAGACATAATTGTGATACTAGCTCTGCGTAATATCAAATATTCGCGACATGTGAAAGCCGTCCGCAATAACCAGTGTCGACAATCATTTAGGGTATTTCTCGCGTGGACATGGTAAATAATCAGAAATGTTACCAAGTTTTGCGGACTATTTAGCTGATATATCGTAATGCATGTTGTAAGGTCTTATCTTTCCTATTTTTACTTCAAGACGAGGCGCCAAATCGTGGAGGAAGCCAGACGTTTCAATGAAACAGCAATTTTTCACTGTATATTTAGAACGCTCTGAATATCACACTTGCATTGCCAGTATATTTTAATATAAGAAATGATTGATGTAAAGCTATTGGTCGTTGCTTCAAGGTCGTTACGTTGGTCAATGAACTTGAGATTTCTTTCTAAGGTGCCTCTGTACGAGATACAAGACGTGATAAACTCTTGTTGTGTTATAGAATAATTTGCAATGAATATCTTGTTCCTAGCGCAGAAATAAACTATTCTTTGCTTTCATAGGTCATTCTAGGGGTATAGTCAACGATTATCTAATTATGAAGCGACTACATCGGGAGATATCTGGACTCTCTGTGGGGGAAGTGCACTGCGAGGTGCCGTCAAAATCCAGACGATGTTCCAATGACAGTTTTGGTCGCCATCGAAATGAAAACGAATACAACATTCGGCGCTTTGCATTTTCAAAAAAGAGTATATTGCAACACAAATGTGTTCCTGTGACAATGGGTGGTCGTAGATGCTGCCCTGAAAGGCTTATGGATTTGGCGTCAAAAGTTTGCGCAGAGACATTGCCCTTCCAACACGTCGAGGAACAATGTTCAAGAGTGCCCGCCCCCGTTATGCAGAAATTTATATTTTGGTCGTTTCCCAGACAAGAGAGCGATATAAGGCGATATAGTGCACTGACTTACGATAGTACCGCGTATTCGGCATCAAATACGTCACCTATGACGTCATCACAATCCGCCCAACGACAAGTGCCAGACATCACAAGCAGCCAATTTCCCAATTCCAATCATAGAAATTCTGAATTAGAAAATCGAATTGGAGAAAACAGTCTAACATCTTTCAGTAATTTTGGAGTTGTGACGTCAGAGGTCGAAGGTCAGGAGCTAACGTTTGAACAAGGAACAGCGATGGCAGAAACTGGACGAGTGAAAGAAGCACTTCAAATCGGTAAGTACAGACTTGTTTAATCGCGTAGTGTTTCGAAGTTAACCAATCATAAGTTTCAAGTTTAATGACAATATATGCGAACTTGGAACTTTGTAAAGCAAAATCAATCAATCTACTTTCAACAGCTAAAACATTTCTCTATTAATCTATTTTCACATGATAGAAAACGCCATATTACCATACATGATTTTCAATAAATATGGTGAAGTATTGGCAGTCTTTTATATAAGTATGAATAAATGATCAGTGTAATACTAATGGAAAATACTATATATGGAAACTAAATAATAAAACGTTTCGACAATACGTAACAAACATTTTTTGTGATTAAAGACATGTACTGAAGTCACATATCAAACTATTTTGAAATTGGAATAGAGAAATGTATTTTTGTACAAATTTATGAAAGAAATTGCCTTTGTCATATACGTAGCATGCCGATACTAGATCATATTTGTTTTTTAAACACAAAACAATCTATCAATATCATTTATTTAAAAAATGATATTTCGAAACAAAGTACTGACTTAAACGTGTATGTCATGACCTGAGCGTGTAATGCAACATCATGCCAGATCTGAAGTGTGAAGATATTGGAACACCCAAACAACTAGTTTTGTGTATTGATATATTGATGTATAAAGGCCAATAAGATTCATTTATTCTGTTTCTCGGTCACGATATATTATGTATTTCTCAGTTATATATATCTTTGAAATTATCTCTGGCACAAATAGTGGTATAATATATTTTTAGTATATTGATGTAACATGTGTTTTTAGTGATACTGGCGTTTAGATATACTGATCTCAGAAACGATAGGGTGTCATAGATTGCTGACAACAGTCTCGTACAACACACACACACACATATTCACCACATCACTTTAACTCTCTAACCATTTGCACATGCATTTCCATCGTTGGCGCCATCAATAAAAAGATCATTTAAGATTTTTGATTCATTTTTTATATGAAAAATATTTTTTATTGTTTTTGTGGACCCACTAGTCACACAAAAGCTTTACGCTTCAATTGTTTCATAGAAGTGGGGAGTATAAAGATCACCCTTTGTGATGAAGCAATGAAACATCCTTGCTTTTTTGTTCTAAGTCGTGATTCTATCAAACTTAAATCATGCATTTCCGTTGATAATTAGACTGGTCGTGTCTTCGAGCCATGCGTGGTGGACTAAATATTAAAAGTTTTCGATCACTGCACTTAGAATTTTATCCATACACACAATTAGCTATACATCCATCGATTCGGAACCGCTTGAAGCACCATTTAGCCATTATGTTATGTTTGCTATTTTACAAAGCATTCATTCCAGCATCGATTTCTATACCTACTTATGTATTGTGGACACTATTTCAGAGCTACTCTATGAATGGTTTGTGTTCGTTTACCCTAAAATTCTATACCTCGATATAGAATGGTACAGATGAGTGTCCTCTGTACCGCGATGTGTGTTATTCTGAAGAGTAAATCTTTCTTTTGTGTTGATTGTACTGCTGTATTAGTGGTACAGATGTTTGAAATGCGAACCCGATTTCATGGTTCTTCTATGCAGAAACGGCTGAAAAAGAACTGAACTTGTTTTGTAAAATCATTCTGGCTTTCTTACAGTAGTTAGAAGCCTTGCACATATATAAATACATATATTTTTATTCATGCACTACGTACTCATTCGATTTTCACTCCGAAAAGCTCGGTATAAGCATTCAATGTTAGGTAAGAAGCTACAATAGATTTGAGTTTCCACATTTCCCGTCCAATTTATTACATCTCGGGTGAGGTAAAGGGCATGAGATTTGAAAGCGAGATCCTAAGCCTATGATGCCAATAGAGTCAAGTCTAAGGCCTGAATCACTTGTGCATTGCTTAATTTCTTTCTATCTAACTTACATGTGTCCGATATTCAATTTGATTTCATTTCAAATTAATCAAAAACGCCAAACTCGGCTCTAAAACGAAAAGCATTGTATGGCGATCTAAGTTTCTTCACTTCAACATTTTTAATAATTTTTCAACTGGACTTAACATTTCATCCACAGAAACAATCCCCATACCACAGTATGAGCCAAAGATGATATATTCCCACCCGTGAGTTTGGTTGGACTCATCGTGCCTATAAATCTTTATCTGACGAGTGGAAGTGGGGTGTTGTATTTCTTGTGTTACTCGTTCGGAAATTCCCATTTTCTAAAACGACTCGTGTTTTGTTTGTGTTAGGTCTAGTCTGCGACTAAATATATAGTCAGTTAATCACAAATTGCGAATAAATTGGAATTTCAAGCTTGACTTATTAGTGGTAAAGCGCAGATAAATGCTTCATTATACAGTTTTGCACGCTCAGATTACATGATAGATTGCTCCAACTACAGATAAGAGAGAAAGCTAATCTTTATTTGTGTTGCAATCACATACCTTGGAAATTTGAGCAAACGGTAAATCTAAAGTAGACTTCGTCACAAGCGTTTAAATCATAGGAACATTGTAAAATAAAAGTGATATTATGACGCAAAGATACTGCATCGAAAGTCCTATATTAATGTATTTTGTGCGTTTGAAGATGTCATAAATATGAAGTGCCGGGGTATAAAATGTTGTTAAAATTATATGCTACGTTTCTTTTCCCCCTTCGTTCGCGATCGTGCTTCTTTCTTCTACGATGATTTCGAATTATAGCAAAAATAAATTTATTGCTTTTCTTGGCTAACAAAGCAACGGAACGTCGTCATCGGAGAGAAATCGTCGTTCAAAATTGGATTACGAAAGACCGTTCTGATTTCAAATGACACTTGGGAAATCTACACAAAACACTTTAAAAATCAAAGCTATTGTGAGCGATACGTCCTGTTGCTTTCCCGAGTATTTGTAAGATTTTCCCATGAAAATTGAAGGCACCGTCATCAAGATGGCGATCTTTAATGTAATATGGTTTTATTAAATCATTGAAATGGAGATTAAGGAAATCATAATCTTATACATAATTTGATTTGAATTGAATCTTCGTCCACATACCTTTTCAAAATGAGCATATTTGTTCAATGTCCAGCTTCCGGTCGTATTGTTTATGCCAGAATGATACTTTTGTATATGTCGGATAAGCAGAAAGATGTTGAATTATTTGATTGTGTACTTAATCGAATATTCAATGCTCAAAAGATATTTCAAACCTTGTGCAATTTAAAACGTGAATGCTGTTCCAACATGCTTTATTTAGTAGTCACAAACGTTGAAACTTTTAGACGTTAGCCGATTCCAGGAGTAGACGTTCGATCTCAAATAATATTGAAAAGTTTCGCCCCGTAGTGTTTCCAAATAACGCCATTTTGTCACAGTTAATGCATATTTCAATGCTGCTACAACAGAAAGTCAGTATTCAAGATACCTAAAAAGTGTAATGTGAATAAAGTTATAATGGATGTATAATTCGTTAAAATATCTAAAAGTAGACCATTTATGCTTAAACGGATTATATTACTAAAATTGTGGTTTGTCATTGAACGTTTAAATATGTGAAGTACGGATGCGAATCAACAATTTTCTTTTTATTCCATGCTTTGTTTGTAAGTTCCCGTGTCGCGATGTATCACCATGCGATAACCAGGAAATCATCATACTACATATGATTTGTGTAAATAATAATAAAAAGGCTTCAGAAGGATTTTGTCCGATCATCCCAAATTTGTGGATAATCATGTATTTTCATTTATAATCTCAGAGCGTAGACGAGCTTGGTCAGGTATTGAAGCTATTTATACCAAGTGATAATAAACTGTGTTATTTGATATAACCCCCTGTATCCCCTTACCCCCCTTTTATCATACTTTCTGCGCCAGTGCACAGCGCCACGTCGTGTCGCTTGTCAACTTCTGTGATGTGTGCTCACCCAACTAAAAGGGTGGCACTTTTGATGACCTTTTAAAATTAGGAAAAAATTCTAAATTTTGTTTGTAAAAGCAGTGATTATGTGTAATTATATTGAAAGCAGCGCTGTATTAGCCGAGTAATCGAGACGTCATAAAAGGCGCGGAGTGAAATCATGGCATGTGGGGCCGAAAACTAATCCGACAAAAAGTGGGTGATTCAACTAGGGCACCTGTCTCAACCATGGGTCGCTTTTCTTATAAAGAAAATTTGTCTAAAATCACGTTTGGTGAAGAGTTTCACATGGCACACACTAACAAAACGAAGACTGCCAGCTCATTTTCGACTTAACGGTGCTTTAACTATGTATACACCAGCGTATCATAACAGCATTGTGCATTGAATAGCAAACGGGCGAAGAATTAGTCGACAACGCCTCGCTGTCTGACTGAGCGTTAAACACAGGCTTTGTTGTATTTGTGGTTTTGCTCAAATGAAACTCAAACCGATTGTTTGGAAATAATCCACCGACGAAAAATTCCGAAACCGTAAATTTTTCGCCACTTGAACGTCAAAAAGATGTCTTTATGCGCAATCCGGCACCAGACGCGTTCCCACGTCGAATATTCATTGCTGCCCCATTTTCTTTACTGAAATATTAACCCTGTTTCAATGGAAAAGAAAGTGTGGTATAAGTTGAACAGGATGAAATACAGATAAATAAGCAATAAATATATATATACGACCCCTCTCCACATTTGCTCAAAGTTGATCAGTTTTTCGAAACTAGTACCTTAATTTGAGTTTTGTTTTGGCTTTACGTGTATGTGTATGTACTACGATTCGTAGTCTTTTGCTAAATTGGCTTTACTGCAGATCAAGATGTGAGTTGCAAGTTGTAAATTTATTTGTATTGCTAAATTTGCAGATTTCAGTTTCTCTCAATTCTTCAATCAAATTTATACTTGCTATTTAGAAATGAAAAACAAATATTGAGACTGAAAAGGGTTAACATTGTCATTAAAATTCTACTCCCTTGTCAAGACACAAATCCCATAACCCTTTCAGTTATTAATCGCCAGTTTAACTGAAGCATATCTCCGGCTCGACGGGGGCTCGCATATTTCTGAGGTTATGTAGCGTGCCAATAAGACAGGATAATGCGGTAATTCTGTAATACTATCACCAGTAAGAAATGATTCATTTAACTGTAATGATTTCACCATTATATAGCATTCATTTTACAAAAGAATCCGTCAAGTGAAAAGGTTATATCTCCGGGTTGGCGATTTTCATTGTGTTTGTTACCACAGCGTGATTATATTGCGTCTTTTGTATAGGAAATTATACTTAATACTCCAATTATGCGTTCCAACTGTCAACTATATATGGAAAAATATGTCACCATAGAAAGCTTAATGCTTGGAATTTTATTACTGTTTGAATATTGGTTCCCATACTAATAATATTAAACCTCCTCCATTTGGCACTTGTATTGCTTTCATTTTTGACTTTGCAGGATATTTTTTAAACAATTCGATGTAAGCTATCTATTATTTTCTCATATAGGTATCTTAATATAGGCATGTTTGCATTTCAGTCAGATTGAACCCAAATTTACATTTATAGTTTTAAATTCTATTAGATCCGTTTCATTTAGGTAAATTAATCGGATGATGTATTGTATGACGTCATTTTGTATTACTTCATCTTACTTTTCTTATCAATAATAAATGACGCCGAGGGGCTGAACGTAACACTACAAACAAAAGAAAATTTCCATTTCTAACAGCTGTTGTGTGAATGGCCAAAGGGGAAATATATTACAGATTTTTGTAACGTTATGATGAATTGTGGTCTGATTATTCACACATTCAACAGATTGTTAGCACCGATTTTCGCTTTTGTAAAAAGAAAAATGCGAGAAAAAAGTTGGTTCTTCGTTTCAAGTATAGAAAGTAACTATAAAGTTTATTTCCTATTTTTGATGATTCATGATCTTTGGTTTAACCGAATGCCCCTTATCTTGCTCGCGTTGGAATAAATCAGGTATGGGCTATGATGAACGAAAAGGTTCTTAACAAAAAAGTAGCTAAAATCGACTATTTCTTGTGAAAATATTTTTGTGGAGTTTGCAATTTTTGCGTCTGAGATTGGTCGCATTGAATACTCAGTTTTGGTCATTCGATCGCTAGGACTTTGCTCTTATCCATAGCTCACACAAAGTTGACAAATCGCAAATATTGTTTTGTTTTACCATTCAAACACTCAGAAATCATCAATTTTACGACCCTTCGGTTATTTATTTGAAACGTCATTTTAACGAGCCATATTGGGTAAACTTTGTTCAGTTCTCCTTAGATCTAAAATAGTATTAGTTATGTGAAATAAAGTGATGTAGGTCATGTATTGAAATTTTCAAATCTAAATTACATACACTTCATAATTCGTAAGTTAATCAGGACTGTAAATACATACACAGTTGAACAGGCCCGCAAATATTGCAATATTAATGTATGGGCCCATTCAAATGAACTGAAAAGCCGGCTATAATTGTTTATTCGTAATCGGACGTATATTATATGACACATTTTACTTCAGAAAATTCTGGAAAACAAACATTCCGCTCCATTCAATGAGTCGTTTGGATACTCTTGTTTAAATGCTGTAAAATTATATCACTGGTTAGTCACTCAGACTCGAATTCGATCGATTGTGCTTTATGTGTTTCGGGCATTTTCTTCCAACAAAAAGCAATAAAAGAATTGTACAATGAACGGCACTGAATAGACAGACACCTATCTACACAGTTCTAGTCAACAGTCGTGTTTCATCAACGTCTAACCTATCATTTATTTGCGCTTATCTTCAAGATAATAAAATTATATTATCAAGATTTGGTTCTTACGTGGAACGTAGAAAATATTTGACTAAGAGTGCAATTTTTCTATGGTCCAAACAAGAACAATAACATCGAAATTAAAATCGAGATTGTGTCGCATTGTCGTTAGTCGATATTGTCTGTCGTTCACTAACCTATATCTCATTGTGAGCGATCTGGTTTGTTCCATGCAGTTTCATTAGGGCATAGCAATCAAAAAGGGTTCCTATGCATTCATTGGTAAGCCATACCCTTTCTATTGTTCTGTTCTATTCACTAAGATTCTCTATCAAGCTTTTCTTTAGAATTGCGATCAAAAGATGAGATGTTTTTTGTTGAAAACGAAACGCCTCGTTCCAAAAACACCAAATTTTTGTGAAAGCCGTCATGTTGTCTGTCTTACAGAATATTTACAACCACGGATAATCACGAAATTTAACATTGAATAGTTTATTGCGTTATTTTGGCTCATAATGTGTATCCAATTGAATGCGTTTAAATCCCAGGCTTAAGATAGTGGAGTGTGTTATTTCACAAAAAAAAAGAAAACATAAATTATATTGTCTTGTATATTTATATGACAGTTGAATATTGAAATTGGGTTTGTTTCTAGACTTCAAGGTGCTTCCTGGCCCACAGTATTTTTTTTTTGAAAATATTCTCTTTTAAGACAGACAACTGCTCTGTGATCAATCTATAGCTTTACGTTTTTATTTGTTGTCTCCGAACATCAAAGTTATTGTTCAATACTGATAGGCGCATCACAATCCGCTCTAATGAACCGGAATAAGTCAGCACGGTCTATAAAATATGCCAAAGAGGAGGATGCGACGAAAGCGCAAATATTGAATGTCATGTATAGAATAGCAGAATCGCGATGAAGAAAAAACATTCATAGAAAACTAAAATATAAAAAAGCAATCGCTTCTTCAATACATAAAGGGCCTTATATCTAGATAATCCATTTTCCATAGTTATCAAAACCATTGTTATTTAAATTATCTCAGCGCATCTCATGAAATCAAATTTGATAAATCGGGTCGTCTAACAACGCATGATCAATGTCATTATACATTTGCATTGAAGTGATAATATGCCTAAATCGTCAGGGCCAAATATGAAGAACTACACTTGATTTAATCGCGACATTGAACAATGGAAATTAAAATTCCTAAACAAAATTACTTCTTTCGTGGCGATTTAGATTTGAATGTTTTGAGGGTTAACACCATTGGGAAGGTAATCAATTTCAATGGATTATTTGTCCTCTAGCATGCTATCTCTCTAATTCTGAAGTTAAAATACCGAATCGTTCTTTATATATAGTGCATTAGTTTGTAGTTACGAGCGACCCCGATGTTGAGTGTTGCATGAATGTGTATGGAATTTGAATTACTGTCAGAAACGACAGAATTTGATGCATATTTTTTATAGTATGCTAATTTTAAAACATTATCTTTGGGTGTTGTTTGACATAACCCAGATAAAATAATCAAAATTAACTTTAGCGAAAACCACTTACCCTGTGCAGTGTGCATCTATTTGAAGATTAGCAACCAGGCGTGGCATAAACGTGATGGGCATAGATATTTTCACGGTTGAATGATATCCACGCGTGATTTCGTTTCAATGGTGTTTTGGTTTACCTACATATCTTGCGGTTTTCTTGGCTTCCTTGTCGTATATCACCGACAGACAGAATCTTTGTTATTTACATGAGATTTACATAAAAAAATTGTTGGGAATTGAACAAGTAAGAAAATGAGAAAAGCGGGAAATACACTTATCTCCATGCATATTGCTAATTCAAAATTTGTGATGACATATTTCGATTTACGTCTTTCCGAATTATCAAAAATAGGATTTTATTCAAAAAACCAAGTAGTTTTCCCAACTCAAACATAGCTCACCGAGTAGACTTATTAGGATACTCGAAAAAATATTATCTTCATTTTATGAAAATTTATCAGATTTGAATAATAATTCTTGTTTCTGCGTTATAGGTTTTCATTTGAGCGGAAAAGTGGAACAAGATGGATCGAATGCAACACCTGGGCAAAGGTAAACAAACTTTAGTTAAATGATAAGCAGATTATCCTACTTGAAACTGAGATGATGATAAATAAGATTTAACTTAAGGGCTTCTAGCATTCTACTCTTGCAATGCCAATCACTGTCGAAAAATAAAATCCAATGGAATAGTAAAGATGTAAATTGACGATACAAAGTCATAGTTGAATATTTTATACCAGTAGTTACCCAAATTTACAAAACCATTACACCTAACTCGAATTACCGAAAGTTTACCCTTTCATAAAAACAAAATTTCCAGCTCGCATTTTATCAAATTTAATGGCAGAAGTAAGATAAGAAACTATAAACACACGAGTAACCTCCCAATTTAATCTCAGTTGGAAATGTGGCGCTGTTTCTGTGATATCAAACGATATATTTTAGGATTAGTGGACGACATACGACATATTATATCCTCTTCAACTATAACAGAAAATGGTATCACATTGAGTGTCTGAATTACATGTAAAAATTGTCAAATTGTTTGACAACCGTCTATTTATACCATACAACAATGTTTTTTTTTTAATTTCATTAACATTTGAATCTAATTTGTGATTTAAATTTTCTTACAGTCAACTCAGGCAAGATGCCTCTGACACGTTTCATGTAGCTATCACATTTGATCGATGCAAAATCACATCTGCGTCTTGTGACTGCAACAGTGGAGAAATATTTTTTTGTAAACACGTGGTGGCGCTGGCAATCTTCAGGATTCGAAAGCCTCATAAGGTAATTTGAATTGAATGTACCTATCAACAAAGGTAATTTGATTTTTTTTCAATTGGAATAACTGATCTAGATCACTCCAATTAAAATCATGGACTGATTTAATTAAAGCGACGGCTAACTGAAGGTCATCTCATCACATTTACATCGGTACGCGTTGAAGCGATACAAGAAAAGATAGCAATGTTCAAATATTTGTACACTAAGATACCAAACGGTACCGATATGGTTGGCTAAGAGCATCCAGTTTGATGAAAAAATCGGCAGACACGTTTAACGGAATAACAACGTGTTTCCATTTATTGATAATAAAACAGCAAACTTATTGGCGAAATGTTGGGTATTATACGAGTCACAAAAAAGTTGAATAAAACAAAATAAAATTAGTCTTTCGTTGGCTTTTTCATCTTCAATTACTGAAATTTGAAATATATTGATACACTATTGGCCAAGAATATATATATATATATCAACTTCGTGTTCAATAACCTAACGAAGCACTGATTGGAATAAACTTTCTGGTTGAAATGTTGCAAATAATTTTTAACGTTATCAATTTGTTAACAGGTTACAATTCGATCACCAATATCTGAAACTTTGCAACAAATGGATCGAGATCAACTTCAAAAATTAACGCAGTATCTGCTTGCACGCCATAATCGAGTTCTTCCAGCCGCACAGAAAGTTGCTGATTCTTTGTTTGACCCAAAGTCAGAACTGAATGTGATCAGAGGAGCTCCTGATCCTACAGCCGGAGCTGGTGAGTGTCTTGTAGATAGTTAAAATAATGGTTGCCAGATGTTTTCTTCGTGGCACATTTTAAAAAATACTGTGAAGCCTCTGATTGGTATATATCCTTCAAATTTAATGTGTTTTTTATTCAGGTCTTATAGACGAGGATCGATGGTCTCTGGAAGATAAAAAAGCTACCCGTCATGTTTCAAATTTATTGCAAAATACAAATAAACAAGAAAGTGCGTTACAATTACAAAGTCTCTTGACCAAGGTATATTTTTATTTTTATAGTATTTCCATGCAGCACAGAAATTTAGATACTCTAAACAAGCACCAACTGATACCTGAGAGATATTTAAAATAGGATCCAAATCTCTATGTTTCTTATTTAAACAAGTCAACAGATTTATATATATTTTTTATTCGGTTCTCTTGAAGTATGTGAACTAAGATGGCGGACACCGGAACGTAATATGTGTACCAGGTTAGGGTTAGGACATAATTTCAGGTACAAAAACAACGGGAGTCACTTGGCTAGTCCCCGAACTGGTAATAGAACTAAAATAAGTAAATTGGAATAAAATGGAACTGATACGTTCATCTCAATTCTAGGTACGAGAAATGCTGAAAGCTCGGGACAGCAATGGATCTCGACTATTAACTTTGATCACAAACGAACTGATGCAACACTGCAGTACACACAATCATAACCAATCAACTCAATCCTTGCTTCCACCTCAACCTGATATATGCAGAATTATGTGGGATCAACTAGGTATGCTGCTCATGCTGTTCTTCAGTCTACAAGTATTCAGTTTTCCACAGTCTATTCACAAAAGTGATATAAATATCTTTTTACAGGTTTATTGTGGGTCTGCGTAGTCTTAAATCCAAAGATATCCTCACAAGAGAGACAATCATTTGTAGTTCAACTTCAAGAATGGGGATCACAGCCACACTGTCCTCCCGAATCTGGAGAGGAGAACCAGAATCAATATGGTCAAGCTCCACGTTCTGGTAAGATATTGTGAAAGATTCAGACAACGACTATTTTCCATTTTGCCGTTAAAATTTGAAACATTTTATTAACTAAAACAGGGAATTTTAATGAAATCGTGTTTATTTTCAGGCCGCACTGTGCTATCACGAGCAATTGATGCAGGAACTATGCGTTGGGATGACGTACATTTACGAAGAATTTTGGATGATTGCAAGTCTTCGTCAGAGTCAGGTCGTCAAAAATTTCAAGATGATCAAACTCAAGAATTTCACGATGACGAAGGAAAACCTCTGTGGCATGGTAAGTTGACTGGTGTATTGTAACATTTTAGTTATAACCAGTGGTGGGAGTATCCAGTAATGCTAATCAGTTCGCTGATTTTATAAAATTCCGTACGGTTCTATAGAACCGGTGCGAACCGGCTGAATCTCACCACTGGTTATGACCACTGAAGGTGATAACATAATCAGCACAGAAGGGTCGTTCTCAAAAATTTAACAATTTTTAAACTTAACATGTGTATTTTGTCTTTGTTTTCAGAATACGTTCCTACCGCCTGTGCCAGAGTCGAAGCCCTGCGTTCTCATGGATGCCAGAAAGAAGCCATTGCTCTTGCATGTGCTATTACTCGAACAATAAAGAGGAAGTTCATGTCAAATTTCAACACTTACAAAGAACATCAAACCAGTAAAAGTAAGAATTAGATTTACAATAATAAAAGTTGCACTGGACGAAGTATTATTAAACATTTTATATAACAATAGCAAATATATAGAAAATGGTTACTACCAGTTTTATCCATAGTAATACATGCACCACTTGTAGGAAGTAACTTTTTTCCTCATCATTGGAAAGTGATAAAGTTTGTTTTTATCAATCCGCTCTCTTTTACAAAATAACTTGATCTCAATATCTGAAGTATTCAAAATAAATTATTCCCGCAACGAATCACGTTACAATTGGCATTGGCGTTTATTCAACTAGTTTCAATGTTTATAATTCATTGCGTATATCTGTGCATCAACTTTTACAATTTTTTATTATTTCTTAGGTACGAAAACTCTAGATGAAACATTGCTTCCAAAATTATCACAAGGTTTGATTGGCCATCCTCTTCGACCCGTCCACATATTATTTGATACCTTGACTGGAGCCAAAGGTAAGCTTATTTTTACAAAATACAAATACAACATTTTAATTAATTTACTCACCTGAGATTTGATTACTTACCCGACAAATAATCTTTAATTAATTATCAAATATATATGTTATTTTGTCTTCATCATTCATTTAACTTTTTTTGCAGAACTTTGTGAACAATCCATTGATACCGATTCCACTAAACTTGCAGCTTTTGAAATAACTTTGTTAATCATGGGACAACAGAGACTAATGCCGGAGGGCCAACACAGCCAGGTATGCAAGTTTGACAAGTTAAATTTTTAGTCATTTTAATAATAATGGCGAACAAACCTAAGAGACATTTTTGATTATATTTGGATAGCATGAATGTAATAATGTAGACTTTAGAATGAATTTGCGAAACCCCTGAAACTTTGGTGTTGCCGCGGATCCCCAGTTTGAAAACTAGTAAATTAGAGTCTTACTGGTTCATTCATAACAGACAAAATTAAATTAGTCACGTCAGAGTTGTAAGAAATAATGAGACAGCCATAGTTATTATGACATTCTAGTGACTTTCTTAGAGAAGTCTTTCTTTTTTAAACTCGCATTTTCTCACGGTCCTGTGATGTTTCTAAAATATTCTCCCAATACTGCTGTGGATTACATTTAACTTAGTCAAATAAAAATAATTTTCAATTTACAGGATAAAATGATTTCTAGTGAATTATCACTGATAAATCATTTGAATAATCTTGAACTCGACGACGAAATGATCACAGTATTGAAAAACGTTTGTCAAACATTGGTTGAAGGTAAGGAATATTTTTTGTAATATGCGTTTTTGTTCGCCAAACAACTTCGTTACATATTATTGTAATATAATGAAAGATTCACGTAAACAACGTACATTGGCGTTTCATTGAAAAAAATTCAATCTTCAGGTGGACCTACAAGTGGTCTTGGTCTACCACTTCACAGAGAATCTGTTCCACTTCACAGCTTTGCAAAGTACCTATTCCAGTCAATACTTCCATATGACCGCAAGCTTGCTTTCAGGTTAGAAAATGATCTTGAAAAATTTTATTTCCATTTTCAATGACGTAACTTAAAATTTAACTTTTCGAATAAAGGGTTGGAATTCGAGCAATGAAAACTCCGGTTTATCATCGTCACGAGCCGAATTTTTATCCTGATCTACACTCTCATGTGGTGGCACCGGGACATGAGCATTCCGCTATAGGTTCTACGTTTCCGGAACAGCGAGCACATCACAGACCTCAACCGGGTACAAGATGGCATATCATGGATAAATTGGAAGCGAATCAATGCTCTTTAGCTTCAATATTGATTCAAACAGCGAAAGGTATTTGCCTTTTCAAATATACTTGACAGCTGTAGAAAATAGCGAAGTAGATTTAGATTTCTATGCGTTCTCAATCTTTTGCCAATGTAATTAATTTATAACGACGGTTGAGTAAGAATGGCCCATGTACGGGAGATGATACCCATCTTTGCAATAAAAGTAATCAAAGACCTAGAATAGAATTCTATTGTCTTCTTCAGGTGAAGTTCTACTTTTGGGAGAAGTGGTCGAAAGTGTACAGAAATATATCTGTAATCCAACTCATATTTTTCAACTTTCACACGACGCATACAAAGCAGGAACACCACCACTTGGGTCTCCAGATTCTTTGATGCTTAACGTTGCTTTGCAAATGGGAATGCAGGTGAATATATGACCCTTGTTATTTCCATGTCTTATCATGTATAGCCACATTGCAGTCTATTCCAAATCAAATATATTGGCACAAAATTCCGGAAAAATTCACAGTTACCTAACTATAAATATTACTATAAACGCGTATGGAGGGTGAACACCTCATCTAAAATTTCAAACACTCCCTCTTGATTTTGAGGTGTGACACTACACTTCAATCTTTAACTTAAATATAAATGTATTTGACTATCCAGAAAATGGCGTATATACCATTGCAGATGATCAATCAATTACATAATACATTTTTATAATTTACAAATAGCTTCATCGCTAATGGTAAAATACTACCACCCCTACGTAAAATGAAAAGACGGAGAGCATTTTGTGTGCTAGATTTTATGATATTTACTATAATTTTAAGGTCTTGCGAATGACAATACGTGGTGGTACTTGGAGAAGAACAGAAATGGTTGGATGGTTGGTAACTTGTGCAACTGAGATTGGACTATGTGCTCTTATATCAATCATAAGGGTGAGTTTGAGCTTTGTATTTTCATTTGTATAAACAAGTATCATGCAGAATAATTTTGAACAAGATCCCAATGTTAAGATAAATGGACATCAGCGTAAAGTTTCTAGAGATTATTTCCGTAAAGCAAAATTTTGGGTGGAATATAAGACTGTAGGCATGAATAATAATAACCTTACAGCGACGTCTTCTATCTAAAAATACTGATCGAAAATAAGATGAATTGTTTCGTTTTGATTAGTTTACAGCAGAATAAATTCGTTATATTTCATTTTTTCAGACTTGGAACACACTTTTCACTCCAGTAGAGGCAACGACAATGGTTGCCAACTGTGTGGTTTCGCCTAATACTGCGATGAGACTCAACCTTGACCCTAGACAAAGAGACGAATTATTTCACTGTGTATGTCAAATGGCAATTCAATGTGCAGTCAAAGGTAAAATTATATGTTCTGCTAAATTTGTATTATACTTGGATATTGTTATGGTAGTCAATAGCTGGCCTAGGTAAAAACAGATTCCGGTGTTTTTCTTCTTGCTAAGTCTTCACTATGTTTTAGATCCTCAATCATGTGCTTTACCCTGCCTCACTTTGTGCGAGAATTTACCTTCTGCCTTCGACGCTGCTTATCATGTTGTTATCGATTCTTCAAACAAAAGAAGAATGGATGCAGCTCAACTGTATAATATAGCGAGGTAATTTTTAAATACTTTTAAAGCTTGCCGTATGCGACGTCGAATAATATTAACGTGTATAAAGTGATCTCTCTATCGCAACAGAGCCCTTCGTACCAGCAAATTTTCAGCCTTATAATATTTGATGTGTTTGAACAAGACTGCTACTGCCCTGTTATCTACCTAAATGTTAGTGTATCCATATGCTCTGACTGCCGGTAATATATAGTGAAATCAAAAAGGCTAAACACATATCCCAACTAATCTCTTCGGCTACTCTCGGGCTAACATTTTTGATCAGTAAATTTTGATTTGCTCATTATTATATTAGTTCAATTTTGCAACTCTGGTGAATGAAATAGTGCCCACCAAAACAGGGGCAACATATTCACATATTTTTCTATTTTCTTTCAGATATCTTGAACAACTTGGATTAAGACAAAGATCATTTACTGTTGCTTTTGCTGCTACGCGTTGTCTCACTATTGCTTTCAATCATGACACACATCCTGCTACAAGTGACCTTCTTTGGACAATGCAGCTTGCTCAATCGTTAGGTAAGTCATAAGCACATTCTGGAAATAGACTAAAACAACAGTATAATGCAAAAATATATGAACACGAAGGCCAAAACGAAGTAGCATCAAATATTTTACCGTACCCGTATATGGGTAATGTTCCTTAGCGTTAATAGTCCTTCGCGGCTTCACCACGCGGTGCGCAAATTCTAATTTTGATGACGGCATCACACAACACTTCAAAGTGAAAATGAATTCCATGAAGGCCACAAAAATTCATGAAATAAATAAAAAATAATAGCCTTCTAACGACAAAAACAATCTTTAACCACTGAAAATTCGAAAGCAATTGGTCTTATAGTAAAAAAAGCAATTTTTTGTAGAATTAATATTGAATAAATGCAACTATGGTGCGTCATTAATACATTTAAAACCATGTTAACAGGTCGGAATGAACTTACACAAATGGTATCTGTGGTCAGTCGTAATGTGAAATGTGCTTCCGTCATATCTGATGTTCTACGAACTTGCACGTCAGGTGTTAACTCAAGAGACACAACGAATCTGGGTAAGGTTTAAACTACGAAGCAAATTTTACTTTTATATATACCATATCATGGCACATTTATAACTTAATATTTCATATATTAATGTATCGAAAATAGTCTATCAAAATCGGATGGGACACAAATGACGTGAGATTGAAATAAAATAGTCGCGAAATTAGCTATAGCACAAAATGCAATATTCAAAGTCCCATAAAAAACATGTAAATATAAACCTAATTTTTTATGAAAATTTGTTAAACTTAGTCTTTTACCTACAGCACACTTTGGAGAAAGAAGTTTGCGAGCTGATGGTCCAATACTCCGTCCTTTGCTTGAGGTTGCTATTTCTGCATACGTCAGTACAATTCATGCAAAACTCAGTCACATAAGCCCTAGACACTACACCGAATTTATCGATTTTTTGAATAAGGTAAGCAAATACATATACTATACACAAACATGTAATAATGAACTTGTAATTTTCATTTTACAATATCAAAGTTGCGCTGCGTATGTCGCAGGTTTCCATTCACCTTTTGAACGCAATGTACTACGATAAAATCGAAAGTTCGCAATCTCGGACTGTGACTGTGATAAAATAGCACAAATCAACTTAACATATATCAGCAACAACGAAAACGCAACCCGACTCTCTTCGATCCAAGGCACAACAGGCCAAAAGACAACGTCGTGGTTTTTCACGTAAACAAACGGCAAATCCTATTAAACATATACTAATGTACCTTACTTTGGTGTAATTCAACATTGGAGATTATTTTAAACAATTTATTTACCTGTATATTTGCTCAGCAACTCTTGATACAATGTCCTATTTAGGCTCGTGAAACGTTTCTGCTCGCTTCAAATGGACCAGCACGTTTTGCTCATCTGACTGCAAATTTGAAGATGGTTTATAAAGGAAAAAAGAAACTTCTTAACCTGGTCACACATAGATTTGGTTGATCAATTTGCCAAAGTTCAATGAGTCATGAGTTCCTCGGAATAGACGTTCAACAGTTGAAAAATATTATAAGTTTGCATAGTATAAAGACTTGGCTTTGCCGTGACTTTTATCTTTGCTCAGAAGATCTAGGCAAATGATATTAGAAATTTCTGAGGTTTGAATTGTTTTCTTCAACCTTAAGCTGTGTTTATGTTCCTGCTCGTTATCTTCAGAATTTTCTTTTGTTTACAACTCTTTCGGTACTACAATCACTGTTTATTATCGCTTTTATAAACATAAGTATTTTGTTTCAAACAAACGTAAAACAACGAACCCATTTTTAGTATTTCTTACTCCTCTCCTTCCCTATTTCTCCCCACTCCTGTCCCAAAAGTGATATTTCCTCGGTTCAGTTACGAAGTTTAAATCAAATATCAAATGATATTTTTCAAATGAACATTGTGAAAACATTCAAACTTGATACCTCAAGAGTGTGATAAAATTAGATTTAATAAAAATCGTTATGTACTATCTATCCGTGTTAAAAATAAGTATACCATTTTGGGTCTTATAAACTTGGAAAAACAATTTTGTATTGTATTTTGTATATGACGATACATATTAAATCTATCGAAGGTCATAAAATTCTAATAGGAATGCTTGCATAATCATTTACAAATTTTCTGTGATAGTATGATATCCATATTAATTGAAAAAAATGTTTGGAATTTAAATGAACTTACCGATATGCTGATATCTCACTATATTTATATGATTCTTATTACTATACAATATCTACTTTGATAAACACATATGAGTATTTGGACTGTATTTTATTGACATTTCAAACAGCATGTTACCCAAGAGTTTGTTTCTCGTGAACCAACTGAATCTGCCATTTGACAATAATTAGCCAAAGATTTATCTATAATCTAAACATTTTAGCAGAAAATGAGTTACTCCTGTAGTGTGTGTACCAGGTTAAGGTTAGGCCATAATTTTATTCCGATTTTCCTTATTTTAGTTCTATTACGAGTCCGGAGACTGTCTGTGTTAGCCAATTGAATATACTACCCACCCATAGATTTCAGTCCCTTTACACAACTTGATGTAAAATAGGCGAACAAAATTAGTTTTCTCCATATTACCTCCCACACACTTCCGGAGCGCCGAAAAGGTTATGGTATTGCTTTTGTCGCATTCCTTTTTATGTAAATATGTATATAATTTTTACTATTATTTTGATTACTCTCACCATCTGCTTTTCTTCAACCCTACCATTTTTTTTGATTCCTTTTTTTCTTTCCTCGTTTTATTTTGTTTGTTTTGTATCACTTTACTTCAATATTATTTTTAGTATTTCAACAATACTACTGTACTTTTCATTTTATTATTCAATAAAATCATAAGTTTAACTAAAGTTTGCACCAATTTTCATCTCTATTTATAGTAAAATTACAGTAGTACAGACAAATGAAATGTTGAATATTGAATATAAACACAAAAAATTGTAACACTTTTAGAACTCTATCTACAGCTTCCACATATCATGTCACAAAACTTAGAACACTAAAGAAAACATAAATACTGTTTGTATATGAATTTCTATAAATTTATAAATCAGTTTTAAAAATAAAAATTACTGAAATTCTGGCTGAAATATCATTAGTTGAATTTACCGATAGTGTTTATTATTTTGATAAAATCGTATTTTTGAACTGATATACCAATATTGTCGGATATTGAAAAAAAAAAATTAAAATACCGCGAACCCCGTGGGCCTTAGAACACTATATAAAGCATAAAAGTTTTAAGATATAGTTATCGACGTGAAAATTGGCTGTTTATAATACCGGGTACAACTTCATGAATACCTACCTATTCGAGAATAATTGAAAAATATGCTAGTTCACCTTGATAAGATGTCAGGTTGTTATACAACACTATTAAATATAACAATCTATCAAACAAAAAAAGGTAAAGATAATATGAAATTGAAAGTAAATATAATACAGTAACAACGAAGAACCTTATCACGGTATAGGCATTTGTTTGTTCATTTCTGACTTTTTTAAAATTGCGTCAGCTTCAGATTTGTCTGTACAATTCTCCCACAGTGCTTTATCGCCACTTGTGGCGCATATCTTTTCGTCCTCGCGGTTAGACAGTGGTACAGACTCTTTGTAAGTCGAGTGATACTTTGCTTGAGTTGCATTTGGGGATGACTTTCTTCCATTTGTATTAGTCACACTTGCCATCCTTGCAACACCAGACGTAACGGACCTTTGACTCATTGTACTTCGCCTTCTGTATAATAATATTTGTTGTTGGTAAGAGAGATATATTGGAAAAGCAAAGGAAACAGAGTGGTAATAATATTTGCTACATATCTAACAAAGATGTTTATTGCTGTCAGTTTGTTCCACTGAATTGAACTTTTTTTGCTAAACTAAAAGAGCATTGCGTTTTGGAATTCGCACGCAGAAGATTTAACTTAGAACTCCCTTTCAACTAACAAAGTAGACGACATAACTATAATGTATTTTGTTTACCTCCTAAATTCTCTGCTGCTCAAACAAATTTCTTGAAATTCTCCTTTATCACATCGACACAAAAACAGTAGTTTTAAAATTCGGAAAGTTTTCATCAGAATGGAACGACGACACAGAATGTAAACCTAAAAACACAAACTTCTGTTTCAGATTGAATAGATCAGTAATGACACATGGTGGCACATGAGAGTTCTTTTTTTATTATAATTGTTGCTTGGTTTACATTCAAACTGTCAATTTCAGTGCTGTAATCTATCGCAGTTTCATTATTTTGTGACGGAATATTTATTCCCTCCAGTATGTGTATAAGACAGGTTCATCGTAAAAATCAATGCACGTTGCAGGCACCCTTTGGAGAAGTTGCAAGTTCGATAAACAGTGAAGTAGAAAAATTTTGAACTTCTTATTGAAACAACATATAAACGCTTTGGGCAAGATGTTGGATGAACAAGTAAGCTACCAACTGAATACAAAATGTGAATGTGCTTATGTTGTTTGCACAGAATAATACCAGTTAACAAAGAGCTACTATGGGTTTTGTCCATTGCTTAAGGAGGTAAAGGGGCATTCATTCAAGCGATAAAATCCATGACTAACAAAACTAAAATATTGACGGCTGGCGTTTTTCAAACTTTTTGTTTACTATAAACAATAAAGATTTAATCGGCTGCTATTGTTTGGTGTTTTAGAATATAATGGAAAAGTAAATATTAAACTTTGACCTCCAATTGTTTTCTTTCGTCCACAAGCGTGGAAAAGGTTATGTCCTTAAAGAAAATAACTTTTTGACCTGCAAACAGCACGTTCCATTCATACAAAAACTGTTTTACTTACCCATGGATCGATGATGGGATTGATTGACGCCATCCTGACAGCAAACAGATCCCAGCTTGACAAATTTGTTTTGGCGAATTCTTCTGAATATATGCTTAATACTTGGTTTACGATGATTCGAAGCTGTATAGAGTAAGATTATAATAATGCAGAATATTGAATTAGATTGGAGGTGCTCCCGAAGTATGTGAACCAAGATGGCGGACAGCGGAATGTAGTATGTGCACCAGGTTAGGGTTAGGCCATAATCTCAGATACAAATACTGCGATAGTCGCTTGGCTAGTCGCCGAACTCGTAATAGAACTGAAATAAGGGAAATTGTAATAATGTTATGGTTGTAATTGTATTGTATGTAAATTGTAATTGGATTTCGTATAATTTCAGAAAATATAGTGAACAATTTCTCGGATTCAGTCGCATTTATATGGGAAGCACAAAAAGTTTTTTTTTCGTTTCAATATCGCTTGCATGGTGTGTGATTTTGTTAAATTATCACTTGAGTTTTGCAAAAAGTTGTCGATAAAAACTATGTTGTAATAATTTCCTTAAATTCTGGATTTGGATAGAAAACATGAGATTGTCTAATAGTTTTGGTATATGTGTATTTCAATGTAAACAAATACTCTTTGTTTGGTGCTCTCGAAGTATGCGAACCAAGATGGCGGACATCGGAACGTAACATGGGTAACAGGTTAGGGTTAGGCGATAATTTTTTTTCCGATTTTCCTTATTTTAGTCCTATTATCAGTTCGAAGACTAGCCAAGAGCCTCCCGTAGTATTTATACCTAAAATTATGGCCTAACCCTAACCTAGTACACATATTACATTCCGATGTCCGCCATCTTGGTTCGCATACTTCGGGAGTCCCCTTTGTTTATAATTGAAACAAATTGCAAATAATGGTCGAAATACAATCAAATCAAATAGTAACAAATATTCAAAAAATTCATACAATGTGACATAAATACATAATAAGCAAGACCTAGCTTTAATAACTATAATCTACGTTCGTATGAAACAGCAAAGGTATAAATTATACATCTTATGATCCGCAATGACACGGTGATTTTCCGCTAATTAAAAATAAAGTATCAAACGGAAATTCATATTAACGTTGACGTCTCAACACCGTTTGGCCATTTCTACAGTCGAGAAATATTGAATTTTAAACTTCAAATGAAAATTATTGATTTTTCGGATATGAATATTTTGAAATTGGGTTTGATAATAAAAGTTAGTGGTGTGAATATGAGTCAAAAAGCTTTAGAAAATTGAAAACAGCCTGGATCGCTACAAAGGTCATTTCATTGACGTGCACTTGCAATAATACCGTAAAGATTACTATAACTTCAGTGCTACCTTGTTGTCTATCAGTCCTACCAATTCATCATAAACTCAATATTACAAAAAAATATTTGAACTATTTGGACTAATATTTCGACACAAACATCGAGTAAATTTTTGAACTACAGCTGGAAATTATTGCAAAAAACGGGTGATTATTATATATAATTCCAAATATATTAATTGCGCTGAGTTGAGCTCTATACTGTAGAAGTGGGGTAAATTATTCACAAGATTTTGTAGCGTGCACATGAGTGTTAAATGTTGTTTAACACATGCGATAATGCGAACTTGAAAAATGTTTTAAGTATGCTTATGTTCGTCGTTGAATTGTTGAAATGTTGAAATTTGGCAATGACTTTGAATTGTGAACTCTTCAAAATGTTTTAAGTTCAAATAAAAACAAACAAATATTCTAATATATGATAATATGGAAATAGAGTGGAGCTAGACTTGATTGATAAAAACCGAAAGTATGGCAAAATTCGAAAACTCCCGTAGTATATGTACCAGGTTAGTCTTAGGCCATAATTTTATTCCGATTTTCCTTATTTTAGTTCTATTACCAGTTCGGGGACTGCTTGTGTTAGCCATGCAAGTGAATATACCTCTTGCCCATAGGTTTTTAGTCCCTTTATACAACTTGATGTCTAAAGTAGGCTAACAAAATTAGTTACCTCCATATTGGTACAAACACTTCTGGAGCGCCAAAAGTTGAACTCGTCTACGGTGAAACAGAAAGTAAAAAATCTTGGGTTTAAATCCTATGTCCAAAAATAAGGTACTGAACCAGAAAGAATAAACTTTCGAAATACAGTTCCAAAATATAACTTCTTACATAGGTATAACTGGATACATGCACAGGGCTTTGCTAGGAGCGAAATCCGTGTACAACTTTAAATAAAAATGGCACTCAACGAAAAAAATGTAACAAAACGTAGAAATGGTTGTTAAATTTTGTCTATTTTTCCGTATTAAAGTTTCACACATGGGAATTTTTATTCGAAGGAACATTACTTTGATCAAAGTTATCTTATGAAAATCAATTTTACGCTCGTTTCTGTGTGAACATTCTTATTTATAACTTACTAGAATAAATTCACAAATTCATTATCATTGTGTAAGGCATTCAATTGGTTACTCTAATAAATAATAACCGTTGATAATGGGAAGCGAAGAAATCTAAATCTGGATCAAAAAGATTTGCTGATTATGACTAAGGTGGGTAACCTTAATAAAACATACCAAAATTGGTAGATAACACACAACAAATACAGTCGTCATCACGCCGAGCAAAATCATCATCTGATTTTCTTGTTGTGCCATTTTCTTTCTTTTTGATTTCGACACGAGATTATGGGAGGAGTTTCGATCCTTCATTCGCCTTCAAAAAAAATTGGACAACTTAAATTTACGATAAATTGGTTCAAATTGCAGAACATTTGTACGTTTTTGAAAAAAGATTTTGGAAACGTTTGCAGACGCTTTGAGCTAAAGTATGAAGAAGAATGATATTAAACGCAAATTCAGTATCAATGTCTAGAACTTTTTTTATATGTTGTTGCTATACAAATATTCGAACACGGTGGCGAATAGTAAAACGCACTGATAAAGTTTATATTCAATCATATTTTACTTCGAATTTGTGCACTTTCTCTTGAAAATCATAAAATTAAGAAGACGAATTACATTTAGGAGAGTAATTAATTTTTTGAAGGTTGATAGTCTAGAAAATTTGCTCCAACATTATGATATTTTCCCCAGTTAAAATATCGGTGAATCGCAAATTTTGGCGGTAAATAAATTTTAAATTCTGACCTTCTAGCCGCCGTTACCGTCCCAACAACAATCAAGTTACAAATAATAGTTGCCAACATCAGCAAAATTCCAAGGCATGCAACAAGAAAGTTGAACACCTGGAGGAAATAAAATTTAATAAGCGCAATTGTTACTTCAAAAATATTGTCGTGATAAATAAATAAATTTTATGCTAGTGCACCATAAAATGCTTCAAATTAAAAAATAAATATATAGGAAGAAATAGAAGACACCAACTTCATTGCCTATCAGTAAAGATGAAATGAACAATTAATTAACATGACCATGAGCCAAATTATTATTCAAATGCTTGATAAATTGCTTCTTTATCTCGTAAGTATCAGAAATAGAGAATTGTCTTACGAACAAATATATAAATTGATGCAATTATGGACATTTATAATTTCAGAACTTATCAAAATGTGAATAACATAATCTCTTTCCACGAAATAGTAAGTTTATTTATGAGCTTTCGTTAGATCATAGTCTAACTTCTGCAGATAAAACAAGGTATGGCTCAATAAACAGCAAATAATGAGAAAATAAACACGGAGAAAATACTTGCAGTTCAGTACACAAACCCTAGTACATCACTTATTATCGAAATGGCTAACGCCTATTTATGATTAATTGATAGAAAAACGCCAATATGAAACAACAAAATACATTTGCCAATTCACATAGCGTAGGAATATGGGCCAACGATGAACGAAATTTTATTAGTGACGATCATACTTGGTAAACAACAAATTTTATGTTGTTAACTTGTTAGACATCCACAGGAATTCATCCTTACAGACACTAAACCACGGGCTCGCCAACATAGTCTTTCAAGTTCCCAATAGCTGGAACTGATTGCTCCCGTGAGATGTCGTTTCTTATTTCATATTTATTCATTCAAAGAAAGTGGAAAATAAATACCGAAACAGCAAAAATGATTACTTTGTTTTCACGTTTCACCCTACATGCACTATGTTACTTGCAATAAACAATTTTTAAACCTGCGCGCACGCACAAATGACGCACGTCACGGATGTTTTATAGATTTTCTTTTATTTATTCTATCATTACTAGAGTTGGAAAACTTATATTATTGGGAAATGATTGTCGACGTTTTTGAGCAATCTGGTACGTAGCCTGGATACCATTTGAACATCTCATTTTCATTTTTAGAATACTTCGCATTTCAATATTTTGTAATTTAATTCAAATTATAATTCACTCTCATTCAATAATTTAATTGAAATTGCAATTTGTGAACACGTTGAACAAGACGTTGAATAACATTTGAACGATTTGACGTATGTAGTGGCTACTTCTGGTCAGTAAATGCTGTTTAATCAATGTTGAATTAATTTCAAATAGAAAAATACTGAATGATTTGAACTAACACTAAAATAATCTAAAATTGTATTATTATTCCTAGAAAAACATGTCGTAAAGCAGGGATCGGCAATCTACGGCCCGCGGGCCGGATACGGCCCGCGGAGTAATACAATCCGGCACGCGACGCTTCACTGAATTATAGTAGCAAAGCAGCTGTTTTGACGATTATATTTTTCACGTATCAGAATTTATTGTGAGACTAAATATGTAGACTAAATTCTATTATAATCTAACAAGTCTATAATTCACAATTACTCGTTTAATGAGCCTATAATTTAATTATAATTAGATATATGGCAACAACACGGAGAAAAGTTAATGCTAAGTGCAAAGGGTTCAATGGCGCCGAAAATATTCACATGGGATTCAATTCGATGAGGAAATAAATCTATATTCTGCTTGATTTTTATTATAAAAAGTATCATCCGTTCGGTTTTCGACTTTCTAAAAATATATGCGCCGCCAATGACTTGCAACCTTTAATTTGAGCAACAAAAGTTTGCCGACCCCTGTCGTAAAGCAAATCAATTACTGCAGTCGTTTCGTGATTCTGTGAAAGCTATGACGCAATTTTTGATTTCATTTGTACAAATTTCTATTCAAAATAATTATCATTAGAAATTCACGTTTCCATTTTAAATCAAGTTTCAAACGATTCTTGATGTTTCTAGTCATTCCAAAAGCTCGATATGTGTACGTGACGAGAAAAGTTTAATCTGTTCGCATTTATTACAGTGTAGGGCAAATGCAATCGAAGCACTGAAGTATTGAATATTTCTTGGTCTATGTTTTACTTAATATCGGTATATTGAAAACATTGTATTTCTTCGACTCGCTATGAGTTCAAATGGGATGCTTTATCTACAAAGCGCTAACAAAATCCCTTTTTGAACGTCCATTTGTGATGGGTAATCATACGATATAGCATTTTCATGCACAATCCATCTTTATTCGTTGCATTTTAAAAGAAAAGGAGACTCTCAGCATGTTAATTTAACCAAATGCGATAAAGATATTGATGCATCGCACTCGAAGGCAAATTTTTGAACATCACCATATTCTGTATGAGATTCATAAATTTATAAATTATAAACGAATTCCGACATAATAAATTTAAAATAACCTACTTGATGATGTGGGTCTCTTGACTTCCAATCTAAAAAGCACCAGGAACCAGGAAATTGTTGAGCGACATCCCCGAATCCAAGTAATGGTAGCGAAGAGAGAATAATTAATCCAATCATAATTACAATTAGAAAAACTCGGGTTTTGTGGGTTGTCATCGTTCTCTGAAAAGTAAGATATTATCGATAAAATTATGTGTAAAGTAGACGGAATTTAAGTGTAGTTTGTTGGTGCTAACATTTGATACAAACGATTCAAGGTTCGGGCGAATAAAAGTCAGAGTTGATGAAAATTAACACATTTTCGATCCCAAATATACAGGGTGATAACTAAGGAAGATGCAAATGAATTTGACCCATGATTGTGGCGCCGAAGCTGGCAATTTCTGCTGGCATTGGAGTCAAACCCGGATTTTAAATTTTTTATTTCTTGGAGTCGGAAAGCAGTCTTGTGTAAGTTTTTTTTACCAACCCCGCAGATTTCGGTTTTGATAGAGAACTGAAAATGCAAATGCAGGGTATACCAACCAGATAAATAGAATCTGCAGATTGTCACCTGATAAAACATTGTATATCGAATCGCGATGAATCTTTCCAAAGACATTGCAAATACAATCGCAACAGATCCGATGCCAAAAAAGATCATTGTAAAACCAGAATATCTACAAAGTGCCACGCCGCCAAGTTCAGTAACCTGTAACAAGTGTGAGGAAATTAATAAAAATTTTAATAATATAGCACTTTCTGGAATTATGGAAAATGTGCTTTCGGAAAATTATTAAAAAATTTTTGAAGCACTTCCATGCAAATTCTGACTAACCGTTTTTAGTCCACCCAACCATTGGTCCTAGTTCGTATCTGCATTTCAATCTCGATCTGTAGATGATTTGTGGCTATTTATTAATTGTTATTCAATTCAAGTTATGAAATTTCCCTAAGGAACTGGTGGAGCCAAGCGACAATTTTTAACGTGAAAAACTGAAAATATGATACGGAATGATCTAACACTAATATAAATTTCTAGTGGAAGAAATTTAACAGTAAGTTGAATGGGTTGACGTTTTGCCAAGTAATACAAATAATACACATGGGCATTTAAATGGACCATTCAATTTGTTCACATCTTGAAAAATATTATCGCAACCTTTTAGGCGTGTGGGGTGACCTTAATTAATGTATATGAGAATGCTCAAATATATGGACACGCAATTTGCGCATCGGCAATGTGTAGGGGAGTTCTGAGACCATCTAGTTTGGTTAAGAAATGGACGGGAATGGAGGGGGTCTAGTAATCCGTAATAAAATGTGCTGCCTTTTAATAAAAATAAAGCTTTTTTGTTAAAATAACGCTGCGCATAGCAACAACGAAAAACTTATCATGGGTGTCTTTTACATCCACAAAATACTTTCAACTTCTAAGTTACATTTCCAATACAAATACTATTGTCAACACTTAATTGGGAGATTTCATGGTTTGCCGATCAAGGCAGTATCAAAATAATCATATTTATGTGCAGAAAAACATCACAGGAGAGTAAGGAATCATTCCTATCCACCCACAAGTCGTCACAAAGACAGATACACGCCATCGTAGCACAAGTGTTGATAGAATTAGGCCATATGATCAAGAAATCACAGACAGTCAATTCAAGGAAAACAAATGCCAAAGACGCGTCTGCGCGTCACTAATTTAATTAGTAACTTACTCAAGGTAACGAAAGATTGGCGTGCGGAACGATCACGACAAGGTTGGACCATTCATTTCTCTATATAGTCATGACCTAACTTTTACTCTTAAAAGAATCGCAGTTCAGCCACCACACTTTTAACACTGTACTGAACTATGACCAAGCATGAAAATGACATAGTGCTTGGTTAATTTATGATAAAGCGGATAAAAATAAGCGATTACAATAAAATTAAATTCATTCAAATTTCAGTTTTTACCGTTTTTCCAATTGCAATTTTTGTGGTAGTGGAAGCAGACACCTTTTGAGTAATCATCAGATCATAAAGCTTCAAATATTGAAACTATGTCGCGCATCCTTATTAATTATCGTTTAAGAAAATCGCGACAAAGGAACTTGGTAATGTATAGTCTGGGACAAACATCGCGATACAGTGAGATCAAATAACGTCTGTGTTGATCAGTTATAATTGTTAATTTTCTCAATAATATTTTTCTCATTTTCCATTTACTTGGTTACGCAATCTTGGGCACACCCAACAAGATTTTGAATTATAAGTATAATTAGGTGAAATCAAATATTTCTCTGAGAAAAAATATTCATATTCATAATATTATAAAAAAAATGTATTTGAAACATAAAGACCTGTCAAAACAGTTTCATTTTTTTATTGCCACAACCGGTTTGGAATAAAAACATACGTGAGCGTTCACTCATAACTAGTCCATAATTTTATCCAAAGCCCCAAGTTTAGCCGCAACGAATGCAGAAAGTTTCTATTGTTGTGTGTAAGGCATCGACAGTAGAAAAATGGCAATGCGAAATTACATATCATTTATAAGTCTATAAACGCTACCTACTCAACGTAAAAAAATCCCAAAATTAGTAGTTATTCCATTTCTAATTGCCGCCAAAGTGTAAGCAAACCCGATGACGCAGTCATTTCCGGGACAAAATATTTCGACTATAGTGGCTGATATTTTGTCCTGTCGGTGAAAAGATTTTAGTCATTATTTTGATTTATCTTACACTGCCGGAAACTGTCGTATAACTATGGAGAAATTTATGCAGTAATTTTTCAATTCTTAACCTAGGATTAAACTATGACGCACAATCCAATACGGATTATTATTTTCCAGACAATAACAGAAGAAAAACTAATACGTAAAATTAATTGTAATTTCGAAGATTAAATCTAGTGTTTTTGTACAGTTGATAACTACAGTTATCCGAGATACATCGGATATTTTTGGCTGTGGAGTTTATATCACCATAAAATAGCCGCATTTTCTATTTGTTATACCTCTTTACAATACGCAACCGCCAAACCGAAGTAAAAAGTCTCCAATGTCAACATAGTCTTTGGGAAAGTAGAACATCTCATATATGAATGATTTTTTCTACTTCACTTACGTGTACTAGAAAGGATAATTAAATTTGGGTTTGCAAAGGTATTAAAACATAAAGAAACGAAAAAACTCACACATCTTCCACTCATATAAGCGACGAATGTTAGTGGTGACGTCAATATAGCGCTGACAAAATCACAGCATGCCAATGTCATCACGAGTGTGTAAAAGATGTGTTGCTGAAAGACAAAATGAATGTTTGATTTGAAGATAATTTCATTGTTTTCTCCATTAAGACCTCATTTATATACTTTAATGCAAATCACAAATCGACAAAAAACTAGATAATGATACTATTATAATTTGTTTATTACAGTATCATTTCACAATTTCAAATTTGTCACAAAATTTGAATACCTTGTGATAGACTTCGAATTTTATTTGATATTTCATTTTTATTTTTTTAACCCAAGCTATACATTGAGGAACGTTCCCAAAGGACATGGGTACATTTATTCAGTTACTATCTACGAACTTTATTATATCCTGGGATAAGTGGTAAATATGGGATGGTATAAATAGGCATTGTTATTGGTGAGCCGAATTTGAATTTTTCCTATACGTATAGTTGCTACAAGATCACAATTCTCTATTAGTTTTGGTCACAGTTAAAAGCATCTCTATTGAAATCACGCTTCATATTTTATTTAAATAATTGTTAAAATATTTCATTGGTTTAATTCATTGGCTCATATGTTCACATCTTCGATTTGAATGCTCTTTTTATTATCGAGAATAAGCAATAGACCAATTGTTTAGTATTAGACTAATGTCGTTTGAATAAAGCAACAAATAACCTTTGGGCTGACAAAAGAAAAAAACTAGGTATGCACCTTATTATCCGATCTTTGATTACTTTTCCATAGAAACACAATGGCAAATAAATTTCCCAGTAAACAAATAGTGAAAGTTGTGACTGGTATTGTCATGTTAACCATTGGATTTCCCTCAGAATTCCGAAGTATGCATTCTAGTCTCGTCACTGTTGTTTCGTTGGAAGTGCTATTACTGTAAACGTCTGTATAATACGGTACAAAAGGAGTTCCAGATCCAACATCCATTACAGATTTTGCAACGATTCTGTTTCCCTGAAATTGTATGAGCGAAGGTTCAGTTTCGTACATATATATAGTGTGACCATATGAAGTGTCCTCGTACACTTGAAGATAATAACTATAGTCCATATGAAAAGCCATATAGGATATGTTAAATGTTAGTATTAGGGCAATATAATGCATAACTCATCATGACATACTATCGCCAAACAGAGAAAGTACGCTATTAACTCATTTTATCTTTTATTGGGACCTAGGGTAATTTGAATCAGAAAGACAGAGTCTGAGAGTTCCAATCGCATGCATATATTAGAATTGCCTTAACACTCACCGTTTCAGAAGCCCACGATTCTGTAACCTCATTTTCAGTAGTGTTAGCTTCCATGTTGGCTGACCAAAATGAGGATGTAGGGGACCAGTGAATATTTTGGTCCTTTGACACTTTTAAATTATTCGAATTACGTTAAATTTATTGAGAAACCATGTCGTAAATTCGTAAATTCTTAACAAGATATAGAACATAACGTGGTGTTATGGGTTGTTAATAACCAATCTATATTTATTTATTTTCTCAATGTTTTGTTAACAGATGAATAATTGCCAAAAAAGCGTTATGGTGTGACGCAATGCTATGCATGGTATAACTCAGGTCTGATCGATCTAATTAGTTACATAGGTTGGTCTGAAATAGCTGTATTGTAGCATAAACGCTCACTACCAGGTTCATACTTAGCAGCAGGTAGCAGTCACCAACGTGATGTCCATTGCTCCCCTTTCCCTATGTTTCTAAGTAATATAAATTACAAACACCACAACTGGAAAGATGCTAATATTCTGTGCATATGCACACTATCACGAAACTGAAGGTATATAGAAAGATCACTAAAATGTCGAATTCTTCGTGTAAGTCTTCCTCTATAATCCGACAAATATCGAAATGATTGCGCATTTCTATTGACCGAACTTGACGAACCGGGCTCAACTACGACGGAATTCCATGACCTGCACTATCGAATGACAAGTCCCTATTGAAACGACGTAAGACGGATTACAGCATACAATAACGACTCGTGATGAATCAAATCGCTTATAAATGGTGTCGCTCTTTTACGTCAACTTTTTTTTTTAATTTTGTTTGGACGTCATTCTCTCTATGAATGGTTGTCGGTAGAGACTTTGGATAAAATCAAAAATTCGATTCCCTACTTATCAATTTTTGCGCTGAATGTTGAATTAATGTATAAATGTACGAGAATAAAAATGGATATTACACGATTCTCGAGTATCTTTGATAAGCTTACTGGATTACTCTTTTTTTTGTTTAATGGCACTATAAGCTACGTCAGTGACTCCAACCACAAAGGTGCTTGAGTGACAATATACTAAATACAAGAACAAAAAACCAGTATTTTTGTGGATAAAGTATACCATATTTTTGTTGTGTTTTTAATTCTTGTAATAACCCTATTGAGAATTATATTCGATGGACAGTGTCATTACCTCATTCGTTAAACAAAAATTCTTACAGAGAGATAGAAATATTCTGACGTATAGCAGGCCAATATTTAGGAATAAGCAGTTCACGTTAAACGTTACAAACGATTTATGATAATGAATATGTTGAAAAACTACTAAAAACGTTATACATCTTACACGCCACACGCGTAGCTTTTTTTTCATAGATCCTACACATAGTCTATTTTTTTGCCCTTTTCCCTACCAATTTAGGGTTACATGATAACCACACACTGAATATATTCTCTCATTTTTAGAGAAATTTCTATGAGGAAATATTTTTCTTCATGAAAAAGTCGGTATTGTAAAATAGTTACCTAGGTGTCCACTGTGCAGTGCTATATTCTTTTCAAGTCTCGCTTTGTACTTCGTAATTTGTACTTTCTTCCTGCATACCTAGTGCTTAGGTAAACATATGAGAAGCAGTTTTTGCATCAGTGGTTATATCTGACTAGATTATCAGCGATTTCTCTTCGCTAAGAAGAATTGCTTCAACCAAACTTAGGTGAAAAGCGAATGTATGTAGCGTAAATTTTATGGGTAAAAGTCATTTTTATTTGAGGTATTTTATAAAATTACCACTTCGTGAATCTACTGAAAAAGAGTTGCACGCAATCACGGAAAAACAATCTCTAACACGATTAGTGTAATCTTCACTATTTATTTCTTAAACTTCTGGTGCACTTTGTTAGGCTGTAAATCACTAATGACTTTTTTCAAAGCGGCAACGCCAGAAAACTGACCCCTTACCGATGGTTTAGCATGGGATAGCCGTTTTGGCACACACACTCTACAAGTTTCCGAAACAATTAAAAGTGCTATTTACATGTAAATAATTCTGATGGTCGGTAAACATATCTTTCTCTGTTCACCACCAAACACACTTTTGCTATGATGACTTACTTACGCCGTATAGCGGAAGTACTGATTTAAGTTTTTCAACGTATGTACAAGCTACTGTGTAAACGAAAGAACCCTAACTGTTTGGTTAAACTAGGAATAACCTTATCGTCATATTACTTGTGCTTGTTTCGCTTCTCATACTCTTCTTTTATTATTTTCCGAGTACCGCATTCTATGAATAATTATGTGCAATTCTTTCAGTCCATTGCGTCGCTGCAATTAGGTTAGCATTATCGGGGTGACTCGTGTCAAATGTCACAAGCCGATGTTGTGACATGCGAGAAACACTAACGTAATATGATGCCAGAACATTTATGCATAAATAAATTGTCCATTTTGGACCGAAAGTATTGGATAATATTGCAAAACTATATCAAGTTTTCAAAATATACTAATTTGATTTTTATACCGTTGGAGAGTGGCGAATTTTTTGGGAACTACACCTCTAAGTGACCGCCTACTTTAAAAAGGTACTCCCGAAGTATGTGAACCAAGATGGCGGACACCGGAACGTAGTATGTGTACCAGTCTAGGGTTAGGCTATAATTTCATTCCAATTTCCCTTATTTTAGTTCTATTACGAGTTCGGGGAATAGCCAAGTGACTTCCGTAGTACTTGTACCTGAAATTATGGCCTAACCTGGTACACATACTATGTTCCGGTGTCCGCCATCTTGGTTCAGATACTTCGGAAGTACCTTTGAAAGCATGCCTTGTACGTAACTTTTTTTTTTTTTAGATCATAAGTTGAGATATTTATATAAAATCTTTCGATAATATTTGAATTAAGCTTCAAAATTCAGAACTATAACGAAATTGATGGTTGTTGCTGGAGAATGCGAATTCATTTCTTCATGCTATCTGTTTTATGTTAATACCAAGGATTCATCTATAACTCGATGTACGTATTCATTAGGTTTCTCAGTCTACCTATGTACTTACCTACCTACGAACGCCTGCGACCCCGATACTTCTGTATATATAAAAATTGACCTACGTTCGATGATGGAATTAAAATGCACGATTTAAACTAGTTATGTTGAGTTGGTGCTGAAATCGTGTTTTTAAATGTTTCAAAGTCGGTATCAAAATTATGATCTCCCCCTACTCAAAGATTTTAAACGTTGAAATTTTCGACTAGAATGCTTGACAACGCTGGGCACATTTTTTCAAATCGAAATTTTATTCAGTGGAAATTAGAGAGATAAATCCGAAGCCAAAGCTGGATCCGGAGTCTGATTTTTGTCTTTTTGTCAAACCGGAATCAGTAGTCTGATTTCTAACGGTTTTATTGCAATAGTTCGATTTGCGTACTATTTTGAACGGCATTCTCAGTGAAAGATTAACATTTCCCAGAAGAGAAATAATAAGAACTTGGAGACGTTCTTAGATTAGAAACTTAACATGCGCGCAATTTACACCAGTGAAGTCCCGGTAACATCTTTACCAGAAATTGGTTCGATAAACTTTGCTGAAACTGCGCTTAATTTTTTCCAATTACAGTTATGGATTTTGCAGAGAGAAAATACGGCTATACTCCCTTGATTCAGAATTTAGATCATAATTTAGAGTTAGCCCATGTGAATGTGACTAATGTGCTTATTCTAAGGTAGCAAGTTGAAATGTTGAACTGACTAAGCGCAGTGTTTTCGGGAGTTGCATTGCCTGTTCCAAAATAATCCTCATATAAACCGAAGTCTATAAATATCATAGATTGAAACTCATGATTTTATTCAAGTCATTGACGTATTAAATTAATCTCAATGCAAAGTTTTCACCAATTAGCGTTTTTCAAAATTCACCTCAAAATCTAGGGCTTTGTACGTTATAACTTTGAACACACCAACATCAAAAGGTGGAAGGGTCTCGTTAGGTTTGCGTACAACTCCTAGTTTCTGAACAATTCCTGTTAAAAATATAAACACCTCCATCCTTGCCAGTTGTTCCCCCAGGCAATGTCGAGGGCCGATGGAAAATGGTATCACGTGATTTGATTTGATGAATTTTCCGTCACGGTCGAGAAATCTCTCGGGACGAAATTCTCTCGGATTTTCGAAATGACGGGGATCAAAATGAACTGACCAAATGTTCGAACATACCTGAAGACAAAATCGGAATTACATGTATACAAGAGAGCAATGCTTAAATTTATGGACTATAAGGTAAAATAGAAGTAGTATCAAATCTTTTACAGCACCAGTCTTCCGTAACAAAAACTCGCGACATAGCAGACCACCTGATCGTGCAATTTGTCACGCGCAATTGTTAAAAAAGGAATTTATTAAAAAAAAAAGACATTACCTATTTGAGATTGAACATGCAATAGAAATTAGTTTTTCTAATACAGACAAAGAAAAAATTTGTTCTAAAACCGATGAGTATTTTTAATTGGCGTGGAGAGTGAAAAAATCGATATGCTACGTCATTACACAAAACGTATAGATGCAAAATGAATCCCATAGATAGAGCTCCAAAAAATGTTTAAAAAATAAAAGTAATAGTCCTCTAGAGACAGGCTAATTTTTCTAAACAACAATAACAATAAGAAGAAAAGCTGAAAATATCAAGAATACCAACAACATAATAAAAAACGATCCATAGGTCCACTTGGTGTCCAACAAGATGAAAACAAACAGTTCTATGTTGCCTCGGAGTTGATCCCCAAATCCGCACATACGCGAATTACCGCACCAGTACTGAATTTGTTTACATTGATTGCACATGCAAGGCATGAAAAAGACCTGATCACATATCTTCCTGTCGAATTGTGTTCGACTAAAACACTAGCTTCAACGTATATCATTAACGAAACTCACCGTTGTATTTCTAGGGATATTATAACCTTTTAACGTCGCATCCTCGTTTGTTTTATGAAATACACTCAAAGGTATCAGAGTTCGATGTCGCATAAGTTCTTGTATAAATGCACAAGTGTACGGCATATCATCTCTGTGCTTCATGGACGGAATTCCACCTTCCCCTGTTGAATAGATCAAAGGGTAAATACAATATGAACAGTACAATAATGAATTGTATGTATTATTACACAATATGCAATGTTATATATACCAACCCTGATGTACTTTCTGATATATATATATATGATATAGTTGAATAGTTAGTTCTATACAATTTACTGACTTTGTTTGTCGATCTACCGCAAATCGTGATAATTTGTAAATATTCTTTCCGGCTTGGACGAAAAAAAAATTACAGTAATATGATGAGCGCTGAGAGCACACTTGTTAGCGCATTTCTAATCGTCCTGCGGGGTTTCGCAAGTTCGAATTCCACGAGGGATGAGTACGCAAAAGCATAGGCTTCTTCCTCCAAGAGGTTCATATATTGGAAACAAATACCTGGGTAACTATTACTCGACATAGTCTGGTAACCGCCGAGGTTCTCATTTTCACATTTTACAGAGATGTCTGTTGGTTTCCCCACGAAAAAAAATGAAAATCCTATCTTATATCACCGAGAAATGGAGTGCGCATTGGCTGCTTATATACAGTAATAAACAGAATTATATTTTCTAATACACCCATTCTATATACAGATTCGATGCTTTACGACCATTAGTCTCACCCAAAACGTTCTCAATCTCCTTTGCAATTTTTTCTTGGTATTCTGGATAATTGGCAAAGCACAAAATTGCCCAACGTAAAGTATTCGTTGTTGTTCCCGTTCCAGCTTCGAATAAATCCCGGATATATTGGATTAGCTGGATATTCTGATAATAAACGTTTTAAAATGACCAAAAATCAAGATATCAAAAAATATCGTTAACCCCAGCATTATTCCTTTCGTATATTCAATTATCTTCAAGGTCAGTGTACAAAATACTACATTTTATGATAGCTCAGGTTCAAAAGACACATTTTCGAAAACTATTGAAAAAAAAAAGAATGTATTAGAAAATACGACATCACTGACAAGTAAAAAATTTTTTTTATAACGGATGAGTATTTTTGAATGGCTTGGAGAGTAAAAAAAGTAAATGGTTACGTTAAAAAATGGAATTTTTAATTTTTGGAAATATAGGTAAAATAACATTCAATATATATTTAAAATTTTTATCACACCCAAGAATACAAGATTAAAATTTTTAGAATCATTGACAATATTCCTTATAAATATGCCGAAGTACTACACTTACATTAAAATTTGGGTCATTCTTATCTCTCGACCTCATTTCTTTGAGAAAAGCGTCAATAAAATCCCGAATATCATTTTCATCAAAGCTCGATTTGTGTTCTTCGATGATTTCACGTATATATCCTGTAACAGTATTTTATGCATATTTACTTAAAGAGCTGAAAATTTGATATTTACAACGAGTCAATTGATGAATACATGTGTAGTACTAACAGAATAGTATTTCATGTATGTTTACTCAAAAAGAGGTCCCGAACCATCAACTAAAACTTACAGTCGATTATCGTAAAAATTTGGCGCAATGGGTGCACAACTGTCCTCAGCGCCGATTTGGAAAACGTTTCAGACAGAATAAAACTTTTTTAAGAAGCATTCTTGATTACTAAAACTTTCAGCAACATACACAAACCAGAAGTTGAAGAGGAAATTTTATTTTATAAACTATCTTCAGTTTCATAGAATTGAGAAATTTATGGGTTCCGTTTTTAGTCACCCTGTATAATGGGGCAACGCGATTTCAAAACCAAAAAACTGTACTGCTACACCAAACTCAAATTATGCCATCTCAAAGAATCAACGTAAAAGAGGAAATGTCTGCTAGTTATTAATTGACCATACGCAACAGGTGTAAGATGTGTACTTCAACTTCAATGTTGCGTCACTACGCGTTAAACAGTGAATTTTCAACTAGAAATATGCATTCCATCAACCATCATAGAAGTGTTCGGTAAACGTAGGCTCGCTTCCCTAAAGCGGACCACATCCAAATTTGTTTGTGACCCTTCAGCACGTGAGTTGGGAAACTCTGGTTTCGGATTACCTGAATTATATATATGATAATAAGTCGGTATAAATAAAAAAAAACTCAATCTTAGCAATATATATCACCTGTAAGTTCATCGACGCCATCCATAGCACGCTTCAATGCTCCACGAAACGGTGGTATAAATCGGAGTATGGGAGCGATTGACATCAAAGCTAACATTTTAGCGTCGGATGTGTTCGCAAAGCTGGAAAATTGATAATTTAAAAACACAAAACCACATTTATGGGAAATCAAATCAATATTTTTCAATCTACTGAATACGAGTTACTAATGGAAGATGCTGAGTTGAATGTTGGCAACAAGCTTGGAATTATTGGATATTGTCCCAATGGTTGTACACTGTTTGAATTTGAAGGTTCAAATCCTGTAAAGGGTTATTATGTGAGCCGGAATGCGTGAATTTTGCGCCGACGCTGTTCGCTACGACTCCAAACTAGAAGCAAACGGCTTCGACAAAAATTCTGACTTTCGACTGCATCTCAAAAGTCCGTAAAAATTAAATTTTGATGGCAAAAACGTTTGCGATTGAAATACTGGGTGAACCTACTGGATTTTAAGTCGGAGGTTACGACTTTTCGCCAATAAAAGTCTGAAATTGAAACTCCGACTTTCAAATTACGACTCCGAAGACTTTGTAATTGGGAATATATCTCCGATTTTTTTATTAGAAAAAAACATATATGTATAAAACTCTGCTGCCCTGATTTGGTAGAGTAGTTACAATGCATTAAAATATGATGGGAAGTCAATAACGGTTAAACTTACAACATTGCTAAAATTTCAAGCATACGGTGAAACTTCTTGTCTTCATATTCAAATCTTGATCCGAATACAATTCGACAAATGATGTTAGATACAGCCAAAGTAATTTTACCCTGAACAACAAACAAGAGAGCAATGCTCAAATATATGGAAACAAAGACCAAAACGAAATATTATAAAAAAAAATCATATTACGAACGAAGTAGGGAACTGCGGAACAGCTACTGCAATTTAGCAGTACCTGTACCGATACACGAACTGCCCTTGATTTCCCACCAGCTCCTGTGGCGATGATGGCATCGCACATGACAAGTTATTTTAATGACGTCACTAGACAATATTTACAAGTGAAGACCGAATCCCATAGGATCCACAGGAATTTGAAATGAATGAACTAATAGCCCTCTAGTAAAAAATAAAATTTTAAACCACCTTAAATTCAAAGCAATTGGTACGGAAGTTTTTTCACAGAACAACAAAAAAATAAATACCGCCAACAACAACATAATATCTAAACGATCCATAGGCCCTTTTGGGGCCAATAATAGGTAAACTTAAAGTTTGACTCGGTAGGAAAACATGGGTACGACATGCAACCAACGTGAACAATGAAAAATTAGTCATTCACATACATGCAGATTATTATTGTTTTTCGAAGTCAGACTTTCTACCAACAATTCAGTTTCTTCAACCACATTTCTTTCCATTCCTTTCTTTCCGACACCAAATCTGAAGAGAGAAAGGAAAGAGAAATTTGTAGCATTTGTATTTTTGCGAACCAAAACTAAGACAGATGAGGACCAAAATATTCCTTATTAAATGCAAATTACGAAACATCGTTTTCCAACGGGGAACAGGTTTGTGCCACAATCCAATATAAAACTAATTTCCAGTTTCATAGGGTCAAGAAAGCTCATCCTATCAAAACAGTTTAATTAATTTTGAAAGCGTATGATCATTTGGTTTGTATAAAATGATAACTTGAATCTTGTTCATTTAAGAACCGAGGCTAGGAATCCGAGCTGAACCTGAAATCGAAGCACGATATAAAATTTTTCATATATATTCAGCGACTACTGATATAAAATAACGAACCAATACGCCTGTGTTCGGATACATTTTGTTTCACTGTTGAATATTTAATGACATATTTACCCTCGCAGAGTCATTAGTCCAAATTTTCGTAAGATTTTCACTCCCGGCCCATAATCTCTTGCGACAACACCTCGTCCTTGTGCGATTATTTTAAGAAAAAAGTTATTCGGTCGACCTGAAAACGCTTCTCCTTGCTTCAAAAATGCCTTGAAAGAAAATTGTTAAATATAGCAACATTTGGCGGAGATTTTACAGATTTAAGTTTCCCCATAGATGATCAGCATCCTATAAAAACATGAGAGCAATGCTTCAATAAATATGAACACGAACGCCAAAACGAAGTAACATCAAATCTTTTGCAGTATCAAGACCGTAGACTTTTAGACTTGACCTAACCAACAGATCGCTGCGATCGTGGAACCGCCACATGGTGCGCAATATTTTATTTTGATGGCGTCATCACACAAAATTCGAATAGAAAAACGAATTTCATATAGCCTACGGAAATGTTTGAAAATTTAAAAGTAATAGCCCTCTAGCGACAACAACAATCGTTAAATTAGATTAAAAAAAAATCGTTAAATCGTTAAATTTCAAAACAACTGGCCCAGTAGGAAAACATTGACTTTTTTCCAACCCCTAGAAAAGGAAGATATTACTGACAAGAACAACAACATAATAACAAAACGATCCATAGGTCCATTTTGTGTTCCTTGAAAGAAAATTGTTCAATATAGTAGGCTAACATTATTGGAGGCATTTCGTGTTCAATAAAGCATACAGTATAATGACCAAATTTGACACCATATCGAATCGTCCTTCTAAATCACCCCCGTATAGTTACCAGAAGACCTTAGGCCAATAACATGACTTGTACTGTGACATAGTCATGAAAGCCTGAGAGATTTTTTAAAGCATTACCCTTTTGTGGTAAACGGACAACTATCTTCAACTAGGCCTATGTCGTAAAAATATTCTTTTTACCTCATTTATGGTGTCGAAATCATTCAGTATCACCCAGTCTTTACGTCCAATTTGAACAGACATGACGGAACCATATTTTTTCTTCATTTTCATGAAATCATCTGCAAGATTATTCTCCAAAAACGGTGCATAACCAACTAAAGGTAGTCCATACGGTCCTGGTGGAAAGTTTTTCGGCCTCTTTAAAATATACCAGCATAAGCCGAGTACTAGCAAGCCAAAAATGACTGTTAGGCAATCACAGGAATCCGTCCACGACATGTATTTTCCTTATTACACTATTTCCAGTCAAACTGTTCTCAGTAATACCGCTATCTATATAACTGAGACCCTCTGCTTTGTTTGCTGTGTTCATAAAATGTTTGCAGCTGACCAGCGCGAAGGGCAGTAAACGCAGAGGTCAAAATAAAATTATAAAATGAACGCTGTGAGATTGAAACTTATTTGCCGTGATTAAAGCCTTTAGGCTTAGCTTTTCCTGCTAAACTCATAAAACTTATTGTTGATGTCCAAGAAGTAAATTCGGGGGTCAAAATCAAGATGAACGAAGAGAGATTGAATATACCCTATCTGTTCTTGTTCACATAGGACTAATTAACTTAAACATAAATTCAACAAGCTCACTAAGCCAATGACTAATAGCATGACTTCTCATTAGCATTTTTACCTCGCATACATAAAATAATTTACTAATAGAGATACTGCCTCCTGTGTGATTACTCGACTGCAACGACATAGCCTATGGCATTTCAATTCATTGCAAAATTTCCTTCATGTGTTTTTGCACTGTTTGCAAACGTACGCATGTTCGCTTCAGATCAATCAGTCCTTAATTTGTGCAAAACAACGTTAAAGGAGAAAACGAATTCTCTCGAATATGAACCGCAGTAGGCACATATGTCCACGTAGAAAAAATAGTCACCGTGGCGCAAAAGGAAATGCAGATATAGGCGATATATAATTTATTTTGAAATCCATTTTGTTATAAAATTATTACAATAAACAAGACTAACACACAGAACATAAATTTAGAAAAAAATCCAATGAAGTGATACATGAGTAATTAATGTACCACATGACAATCTCGTCTTGTCACATTGACCACTAGTGAAACAACACAATTGGATATTCTGAAATCGGGCGAAAGATTGGGAGAATTATAAAAGGACTTCCCTTTGATTATGATTGTTTTAATTACCAAACTAAGCGGCCCCAGTTTATGGTAAGGTCGCTCATAGGCCGGATGTGGAAAAGGCTTAAACCTAATTTATAAGTGTGAGCAACCGAGGTGAAACGAAAGAATTGCATCAAAATTGCCAACGGCCATTTTAATGCAACTTTGATTATGTTTCAAAATAATGGATATGGTATTAATATCAATAGATTTGTAGAAAATAAAATGGAGTCTTTTTCACAAACTCGTTAACATTATTAAACCATTCATGTTCATTCGGGAGTATGCAAATGCAAACGAAATTTGTTCAAAATATTGAACAAATTTATGACCAGAACCATCACCCTGCTTTTGTAAACACCTTTGTTTAAACGCCGCTAGTTGGCGTATACATTAGGCAAAAAGAGTTCGGCGATAGATCCGTTAGATGGTGCTAAAGTATCTGTCGATTAATCTCGATGAAAATAGCCAATAGAAACAGAATCAGGTACAATTTTGATTGAAAACAAAAGTATAAAAGATTGGTAATTAGTGCATTACATTATATAAATAAGAAGAAATGAAATTTGCATTCGCAATCTGACTTCTCCACCTGTCCACATCGTTTCAAATTTATTTTTAGATATAATATATCGCAGTTATATCATATTTCACCCTCATTCTTATAAAATATTTTGTCTCATTAATTCGTAAAACGAATTATTCAAAAAGGCAACAGTGAATGACAACCTTATTCAATTGCGTGACAAAACCCCAGATCTAAAAACGTTTTTTCACGGTAAATGCACTAATCCTCTGAATTATTTGGACTAACCGGAGACAGAATAGCAACAAATACGGGAGGTCTATGACTTCCAAAACGATTCAAACAACACAAGATAATGTTTCTGATTTTGCGGTGGCTTAATTCCACTTTCATGTATCATGTCAATTTTGAAACATTGTTCATGCCGTAGAAGAATTCGATATTTTTATATTTCAACAATATATGAGGTAAATTTTCTTGATCTTTCTATTTAATATTCCATTTTTGAACATGGGCCAAGTCTTAATAAGAAATAATCAAAGCGTTTTCAAAAAGGCAATCATCATTTGTACGTGACCCATGTCGCAAGATATTCCAAAGTTTGTTTAGCAAGTGTAGCCTTCTCTGTGGGTCATGTTTTTATGAAGATATGTTTTTATATTTTGACCGCAATATTTATGTTACGTTGAGTGGATATTTGCGGCTGCTAGTTTGTTAGAAATGTAGTAAACAATATGTTTCATTATTTGCTATATTATGGCATTTGCTAAATGAAAATATATATTCACAACATTTATTAGATTGAAGAACATTTGTTTTCTAAGCTATGAAAGTATTAACTTTCCGCTTTATTCAAATGGCTACAAATATCTGTGCATCGTACGAATTACACTGGAAGTTTACCAGGTAACGTTAACCGATCTACAGTGCGCATTTAAAAACAAAAACTTGATTTTATATACAATATAATAATTTTTATATAGAATATACAATTTTAAGTGTAATATAGAACTTTCTTATAGTAAGTATATATTGCTCGCCATTTTGCCAGCATCTCAAAACAAATTGTTTACACGCCTTCAAATATTTCTACTTCAAATCAAACGTTTGTGTTTGTCTTTCCCTTTAGAAATCAAAAACCATGTAATCGTGTCCGGTATTTATGTCACATTCGAAGATACAATGAGTAAAATGTAAAATGGCTCAGATTTAAAGAAGATTTTTCAAAAATAAAAATGTTTTGTCGTTTTAAGTACATGCTGTCAAAAGAGCGTTGCCAACCTTTCCTTGTTCTCGTGTATAAAGGCGATTGGGGTAAATATGTCAAGTTTAAGAATATTAATGGCTGTAACGGTTTGATGTAAATATAAATGTAAACTAATATAAAATTATCGTTTCTTATTCTGACGTAAAATTTTGATCTAAAACCCGACTATAGAAATGCTGTGTATCTCTATATAACTATAGTTTCTATTTGTGCGACATGTCAAAATTGATTTTGTTTTTGAGTATCGAAAGAATCTTCAACTTTGACTTGTGATGGCGCCAAAGTCTAAACTACCAGCTATTCTGGCAACACTGCCGTTAAATGTCATGAGAGGATGTTATTTTAACAAAACCTCACCTGTGACCTCTGGTGTCAGAACTCAATTCACATTTTTTTGAGCATCGATTGTGTTAGACTTGACGTTTCTTCTGTTATTATAGAACTTTGAATATTGAATTGTATGATATCAACTGTTTTCAGGGACACGCGAATAGCTACTTAATGATAGAATTTCTGTGTATATGACAATTAAATATTTTACCACGTATATCCCAACAAAAACAAGAAGCAATCTTCAAATGTTCGCAATGAAGATATATATTTTATCCTAGTTTTATTGATATTATTCAACACAAGACTTCGTTTGTAAACATAGCCACAACTACCATATAATAGTAATTATATCATATACAGGGTGGACCAAAAATTTTACAATTGTTCCAATTTTCTGATTCATACCCAAGAGGTTATCAAAAGAAAATGCACCGAGAGTAACGTTGTATATAATGGATATATGAGGAAATAGAAATCATATGGGATCAGGTGATTATATATATTGTATATTTCCTGTCCTAATTGCCGAAATAATATCATAAAATAATCAATAACGAGTTGACCGGGTCGTACACCCGACGGATTCAAGATGTATGAGCAGTTATTGGATGAATATCGTTTTTGGGTACCACTGCTCGATAACCATTTTTTGGTTTCCCGTGTGTCCCTTTACCCTGGAATGCTATTTTTTCATTTATAATTTATTTTAATTTGTAAGTGTGCACTTTCAGCACGGTGACAAAATAAATTACTGATTACTGAATAAATAGATATTATAAAATAATGTGTTCTTTTTTAAAAGAATCCGTAGAATGTGTTTACGTTTAGAATAATTCCAGAATTATTTTGAGAACTTTAGTATTAGTTAAATTTTTACAAACGCTATTTTATTAAAGAACTATATTCATGTGAATCGTGGATATGCTTTTTGAAAAACGCGAATGTATCTGTGAAGCTATATACCTTTGCAACCTTCTAATTCCTAACAGTAGCTCCAGGCCTATATTTAGAATCTTTAGTGTGGTAATAAAATCTTGTACGTGTCAAACCTGTAATTCTAAAAACGCCTATTTATTGATCGACTTTTAAATATGTTTTTTAGTTTAACTATCTTCCTTATATTATTTAAATTTGAATTTCCATAGACGATGTTTTATTGGACACGATTTTATTGGATCGTTTTGTGATTGTGTTGTTGTTGTCAGTATTTTTCGGTATTATTCGGCTTGTTGTTGATAAAAAACGATGTCGATGCCATCCAGTAACTTACAGAGTATGATATGATGTATTAATCATTGACTAGTATTGAACATTTAAAAAAAATCCCTTTCTTTTTAACTACTGGACCAATTGCTGTGAAATTATTAGTGTTTAAAGATTGTTGTTGTCGCTAGAAGGCTATTCGTTTGTTCTAAAGATTTCTGTGGGCCCTAGGGGTTTCGTGTTTTGTTTGATGGCGTCATCGAAATTGAAAATTACGCCCCTTTGTGGCAGTTTCGCGATCGCATTTTAGCGACCCCCCCTTAGCGAATTTTGTATAAGGTAGTGTAACTGTACACTCTTTGATACTACTCGCTTTGGCTTTCGTGTCCATATATTTGACAATTGCTTCCGTATTCATATTCGCTATCATCATTATGTGCTGAGTAAATCGCATCATGCGATCAGTTCGTGCAAACTATTAGAACAGCTGGTAAATCAATCTAAGAGTTTTGTAAACATAACCGGGCATGTTGGTGATAGGTCTGACAGGAATGATTCCAGGAATGGGATAATTAAACACACCTTTAACATTTAAAATCGATCAATTAAATCAGGCATGTGCGTGAAGAAATAAACCATCTCATCGGTCAGCTGCTGAAGTCGGGGAAGAATGTAATGAGATACCGTGCAGGATGCGTTCTGTCACGCTGCAACGCCCATGCTTTTCCAATAAAAAAAATCTTAGTTTAATGTTTATATGGTCCATCCATCTTACAACCAAAATTGTATGTTCAAGAACATTTTCAATCTCTGCCATCAAAGATCCATTTTAAAAAAATATTCTTGTTTGTTTTTATAAAAAATGTATATTGCACTTTTACTATCCTATCTGCTTTATTGAGCAATAAATTATTTTTGATTGTTTTTACCTTGAAATGAATGAAAAAAGTTCATAAATGACACATTAATGCGTATTATAAATTTTAGAGAATATACCGAATGCTTACATAACACAGAAGATTATTTTTCCCTTAAAAAGAATAAGTGTCATAAAACTGATGTATACTGATTCTTTGAGTTTTATGATA